TCATAAGTGCCCTTTTTAATCTCTAGTAAGTGCCCCTTTTCAGGTACCTACGAGAAGTGCCTCTTTTCACTTTTGATTAGTGCCTTCATCACCTTTGATTATTGCCCTAATCAAATCTGAGAGGCGCTTCTTTTACTTTGACAAGTGCCCCTTTGCCTTTGTAATAAGTGCCCCTTCCCCTTTTAATAACTACCCCCATTTTAACTCGGATAAGTGTACCTTATATTTTCACATGTGCCCCTTTTCCTAATGATAAGTGCCCCATTAAAAAAGAGCCCCTTCCCCTTCTTATAAGTGCCCCTTCTCTGGTAAATGACCCTTTTCAGGTACGAGAAGTTACTCCTTTTCCCTTCAGATAAGTGCACCCTTAACCTCCGATAAATTTGATCGGTGCCCATTTTCTTTCAACTAATGCACATTTTCCTTTCCAATAAGTGCCCCTTTTTCTAATGATAAATGCCCCATTAAAAAAGAGCCCCTTCCCCTTCCCCTTCTCATTAGTACCCCTTCTCTGGTAAATGACCCTCTTCATGTACGAGATAATACTTCTTTTCCCTTCAGATAAGTGCCCCCTTAACCTCCGATAAATGCCCCTTTAAACTCTGATCGGTGCCCATTTTCTTTCAACTAATGCACATTTTCCTTTATTATAAGTGCCCCTTTTTCATTCACATAAGTGCCCCCTTTTCATATCTGGTCATTGCCCCTTTTCATGTGCGATAAATGCCTCGTTTCATCTTTGATAATTTCCCTTTTAACAATGATACGTACCCCTTTTCCTTTCTAATAAGGGACCTATCTCCTTTTCATAAATGCCCCTTTTCCGTCGACAAATGCCCATTTCCTATTTTCATGACTGACTTTTCATCCCTGGTGAGTGCCTCTTTTTGAGAGTGTAAGAAGTACCCCATTTTCACCTCTGATAATTACTCTTTGTACTTTGACACATGCTCCTTTTCTTTTCTGATAAGTGTCCCCTTTTTTTCTCTTATCATTAAACTCGAACCAAATTTCAAGCGACTAAGAGCAAATTCTCCCAAATCTCGCCTCGCCACATTCGCCCGCATTTATAGATGATATAAATGATCCTGTTACTTATCAACAGGGGCGTCGATCCCGGGGGGACGGGGGGACACGTCCCCCCCCCCCTCAATTTGTCTTTTTTTTTCTTGGTGCCCCCCACACTTTGGAAGTTGCTATAAGAACTAGCTATTATTATCATTTCAGTAATGCACTGACATTTTAAGTGTATATTTTATTTGAAAAATTAAAACGATAACACAGAAAACATTTTGAAATGCATAATTAGTACTTGCCATTTGTATTTCATTGGTAGATTATGATATACAGGGTCTGAATTACAATTATATTTCGAGTTGTCACTGCCATGTAGGTCAAAGCCGTTGCACTTTATAAAAGTAGCCTTGATTTATTTGATGTATGTGTGTGTTTTTTAAACAAACATGATCGGTAATAATACTGATTAGAAGAAATCTTAAATGTTATGAATAAATCAATAATAATTACTAGTAATACATGATGATCAGTATCTATATCTATATAGTTCAATATTTAAGTAAAGGGATTATATTTATATACTTTCAGTTTGAATTCAGTTTATTCGAAACAAACTTTAACCAAGCGTTATGGTAAGGATTGCTAACAAACATGACAAACTATATTCTTAAACTCGAATCATAATATATGGCCCGCAACTTCCGAGTTATTTCTGATCGAATGTTTTGAGCTTGCTACAAAATGGTGTTCAATTCAATTCAATTCAAATGAACATTAACAGCGCCTGTTAAAACAGGCGCTGATCCTTGGGTGGGCGACGCTCCCGCCCCCAAGTTTTTTTAAAAACAGTAACCACAAATTTACCTTTTTGAGTAAAAAAAAATAAAAATAAAACGATTTTAACTCAATACCCCCTCCCCACCCCCCCCCCCCCCGGTGGAATCTATGATGATTTTCAGTAAAATATTATTAGAAAGTACGGTGCACTAATAGCCTAAATCGCGCAAAAATTAAATTTCCTATTAAAGTGCCTACTCTATTAGGAACTACTCAAAATTAATCACGGACAGGCGCGTACGCAGGGGGGGGGGGGGGGGGGGGGGGGGGGGTTGGGGGTTGAACCCCCCTTTGGTATTTTTTATATGTGTAAACCCCCCTAAAACAAACCTAAACCCCCCCCCCCCCCCTTATTTTTTTTTTTTTTTTAATTTAAAAAAAATAAAAATGGCTGACCTAAAAAAGGTGACCTTCCACCCCCCCCCCAAACGAAGAAAAATGTCAATTTTTTAAATTTCGAGACAAAAAAAAAAGCTTACCCCCCCCCCCCCCCTTGAAAAAATCCCGCGTACGCCCCTGATCACGGATATCATATTATTAAGATACTAAACCCTACTGAGTCACACATTTTTGAAAAATTGTAATTTTAGTCACTTTATGTGTTGGAACAAAATAATGTGAAATTAAGTTGTCCGCCACCGGGTCCGCCACTATAGGCCTACATCACGGAGACAGCTATTACCGATTCATTTGAAGAGCCTATACCCATATGATTACAATTTTCATAAATTCATGACTTCCTTATCTATGATTTTCTCCGATCTCTTAAAAACATTTCACCGGTCTACTTCACTTATTTTTCTGTTTTCCTCTACAGTACTATAGTTTGCAATGAAGGTTGGATTTTCCTTTGACATTCGAAGATAAGGTAGCGCAGATTAGAGAACGCGCGCTCACCAAGGGGAATTTATCGCATTGCATTGTATTGCATACTTGGGGGTGCAACCAAAGACGTTTAAATATAATTCATGTCGTCATTATCCCGGTTGTCACATCTTTCAAGCTTCTTCAACTTTCATTTCCTTACATCATTTTTTGACGAAAATCCCTATATTTTACCTGTGGGATAATTCTAGCTAATAAATCAATATGATATTCAGTGGCGGATTCAGGATCTAGCGCCCGGGGAGCGCGCAAGTCTGAACAAATTTTTTTTAGGGGGCGACCGCTCCCACCGCCCCCCTGTAGTAGGAGTCTCTCTCGAAGTCGTCACATAGGATACAAACTCACAGTTCGTAGGGAAAAAATTGACGGCCGATTGACATTCCGACTTCAAACTTCTGCATATAGTATACGAGGATCGAGCAAGAATGCCGACACAGCTGCCCCGACACAGCAACGTTTCTATGCGTATCTTTCTTGCTCCCTTGACGAGACGACTCCACCCAACAACCCCCTCTCTCTCCTACTACCACCCTCCTCCCTAAGGCTCTTTACCCCTCTCCCTCCTCTCTTTCACCCCGTTTCTTTTGTTTTCCTTTGTTTTTATTTTTTTCCCTTTTCTCCTTTTTTTCCTTTTTTTTCTTCTCCTTGATTTAATCTGCTTCCTTTTTTTCTTTCTTCTCTTTTGTTCTTCTCTTACCCTTCCTATCTTTTCCTTTCTTTCCTTTCTTTTCCTTTTCTTTTTTTTTTTTCTTTCCCTTTTCCTCCTTTTTTCTCTTTTTTCCCGACGGCAGCTCAATTTTACCTACAATATCCTGACCCCACCTTTAGCCACGCCCCTTTGTGCATTTCCATGTAGGCACCACAGCTAGTTAAGGTAAGTATAATAATTCTGCACATAAGGTGATATATAGGGCCAGATTCTTCCCTGGTTTTATGTCTAAATAGCCCCAACTTGCTCCAAAATTTAGAAAAAAGCCAAAGGAAAAATACAAAAGGTATGTGGAATATTTAAGTCTGACATAATTATTATATGATACAAATGGCAAATTTTCTCGCTCTGACGGGCCACTTTGAGCGGCTAAGAATGCAATATTTTTATACTGCACAATTAATTCAAATTTGTCTCAATTTTGGGTGTACGCTCTTACAGTTACAAGCCCTTCCCCGATTATAGCTACTATTTGCTAAGTTTGTTCAACATAATGTCACCCACCCCCCCCCCCGTTAATTTCCAGGCGCAGTTGCCTTGTAAGAGTGTTTTTTTTTTTAAGGGGGTGTGTTTCTTGAATTCATATTTGACTAATAATTGTGCCTCGCTTAAATTCATTTACAATTTGAACTTCTTTAGGGGTAATGGGGTAAAGATTCTTTAATTCTTTTTCGGGGACAGGGTTGGCAATTTCCGGGGGGAGGGGGGGAGATAGTATGAACTACTCGGAATCTGACTGGGAAATACCGGGGAAATATTCATATTTATACCAATATTATCAGTACAGTGGATAATAAGCGATCATGCACTGATGGCAATAAACACTTATTTTGATGAGCAAGATACAACACGATCGAATCTATTAACCAACTCAAGAGCAATTTCAATACCCCAAATTATTGTACATCCTTCTGAAATCATATTTGGATCATATTCGCACATTAAGGTGACACACAATGCTATTGAAATTGCCTGAGGTTGATTTAAACAAAAATATTCGCAACCGATTTCTTTTTGCAACCGCTTTCATACACTTTTGTATAATGGAGAGAGACCCTCGATAAAACAGATTAGTTTTATATTTGTTATGGGAGGGGGGGGGGCGGGGGAATATAGCTACCCCACCACCCATCATACACAATATAAAAGGTAAAACAAAGTTTTGGTATGGGGTCATGGATTTGGTTCAAATACATGTAGCTTGAAAGACCTAGCGTGCCCCCGGAGCGTGCCTTATCTTTTCAAGCAGTTGTATGAACCCCTTCCATCATGACTGTAAAGTTATCTTTTCGTTGTATTTTTGGTTCAATATTGATTCTCGGCTCAATAATGTAAACATTCCAAGTTTATATCTGATTCACTTATTTTATTTATTTTTTTATTTTTTAAAAATTTATTTATTTATTCATTTATTTAACTATTTATTTATTTATTAATTTTTAAAAAATTTATTTAAAATTTTTATTTTTTATTTATCCCCCCCCCCCCATTATTTCCCAGTATTTCGTGTTTTTGTAAAAAAAATTGTATAGGCGGTATTTACCGGTAAATACTAATATTTACCACCCGGTACTTCCCGCCCCCAGGAGCTCCATTTGAATGTTGACTGTTTTCGTCGAATTCCTAAATTGACAACTACATTCATAATAAAACCAAATATAAAATATTTGCGTTGGAAAAGCTTGGAATTAAGAAGAAGACTGAAAAGGAGAAGCAAAGAAGAAGAAGAAGAAGAAGAAGAAGAAGAAGAAGAAGAAGAAGAAGAAGAAGAAGAAGAAGAAGAAGAAGAAGGAGAATAAGATGAAGAAGAAGAAGAAGAAGAAGAAGAAGAAGAAGAAGAAGAAGAAGAAGGAGAATAAGATGAAGGAGAAGAAGAAGAAGAAGAAGAAGAAGAAGAAGAAGGAGAATAAGATGATGAAGAAGAAGAAGAAGAAGAAGAAGAAGAAGAAGAAGAAGAAGAAGGAGAATAAGATGATGAAGAAGAAGAAGAAGAAGAAGAAGAAGAAGAAGAAGAAGAAGAAGAAGAAGAAGAAGAAGAAGAAGGAGAATAAGATGAAGGAGAAGAAGAAGAAGAAGAAGAAGAAGAAGAAGAAGAAGAAGAAGAAGGAGAATAAAATGAAGAAGAAGAAGAAGAAGAAGAAGAAGAAGAAGAAGAAGAAGAAGAAGAAGAAGAAAATGATGAAGAAGAAAATGATGAAGAAGAAGAAAGGGGTAAAGGAAGAGAGGAGGAGGAGTGGCGGGGGAGTTGTGATTTCTATAGAGGAAAAAAGGGAATATTTTTTTACAAATTATATTTTTTTATGAAACTGAAAGATACCATACAAGTCAATGCGAGTTGAAATTTTAGTCTGCCGATAATTCAGAAAAACAAAGAAACAAATTTAGAAGGTAGGCATTACACTATAACATATTTATATGATAAGTGCTATTTAGGCGAAAATATTGACTTGCTGCATGTATAGAATTCTATATTTCATGTTTTGTTATTATTTATTTTTTAAATAGATTTTAATCTGGCCCTACAGTGGATCATGTGAGATGAGCTGAAGAGCTTTCACAAAAGGATATGTCCCATATGTTGGTAATTATGTTGGGTATTTTTATACAACGGGGGTGTATTTTTTGTGACGTATTCTGAAACTATATTGCCTATATTGTCAGTGAAAATTATGTTGATTGGCATATTAAATTGATGAGACAGTAAGTATCGGGACTTATGCATGCAGAATTAGACTCTAACTATTTCTGTGAATAGTGTGAATGTTGTACGCCCACCATGGCCGGCCATGCACCAGTCATCATCAGCATCAGACAGCGGCCGCTTTTGTCTTTTGAAAACTTGAACTGTTTGGGCATTGTTTCACGTAGCCATCATCATAAGTACAAGTTTACAAGGTCACACACATCTCAATGAAATGCATGTTAAACTTAATACAGCCACTTTACCTTTACCTTTACCCGAGATTCTGGAAGAATGCTGTGTTCTCAGCAGTCGGGCTTCCAGTTCAATTTCATTTTCTTCCTTCTCGTAGTTGGGTATCTTCTTGGTAAGTTTGTCTGGCTCAGTTCTGCGTCGGGTATTCTACTCATATGGGGAGCAGAAACGCTTGCTGCAAAGGGTTGTCTGCAAACTTGGATTTCCGGCAGTTTTGTGAAATGCTGCCCTGGCCCCGGTGCTCACTTTGAATCAAAAGCGAGATCGTACTGAATCCACTCCTACAATGCATGAAGTCTAATTGTAAACTCAAAACGGGATGGACCTCATACTAGCTTTAACGTGTAAACCAAAGAATTCATTTTTGAACTTTTAAAATACTCTACTATTACAACATAATATAACATGGACTATCAAATCATGAGGTTGAATCATTTACCATTTTGGTACATGATTATAATACTAAAATGAAAGAAATTTTGTAAACTTACATTTTAAATCTCTTTTCCCTCCTCATTCTCGAGAGACGACTGCTTAGTTACCTCCTCCTGATATCGAATAAAATCAAAAAGCGTGTATTGCGGACACTCTACCAGTGACTTCATTTAAAGCAGTTGCGCAATATCCAATGAGTGGCTGTCTATCTCTCATGTGCAGATAGCCTGCCGCTGACCTGTGTCACTGTTCAGTGACCTGTGTTAACAACCGTTCACAACGATAAACAAATGCGATGTAATCAGGCGTTGAGGTCTCTCTTTATTTTGAAAAAACATCATAAAATTAGAAAATGGCGAATTTTAGCTGAATACAGTTGGCCCAATCTGTAAAAGTAGGCTCAGATATCTGCAAAACCAATGAAATTTGGCGCTTGTTTACAACTGTGACTATATGGACCTGTGACTCTGGCGTGGAGATCCTCATTAAATTCATGCAAGGAATTCACATTATGAATTGATGATGATCATTACTGTTCCTAAGTTCACACACACGCGCTCACACCCCGGCCTACTCATTCTAATTTTTGTTTAATGATTGATAATCCTTTTTGTCATTTCATACAGCAAATCTATGAGAAATTCAAGTGAAATCTACTACTGAGACAAGCTCTGGTATGTTGGCTGTACCAGAACGTTGGTTGAACTGCCCTCGCAAGGGAACCTTGATTGCAGGTAATATATTAATACTACAGTCAAACCTGCTCTAACAACCACCTGTATAGAAAGACCACCTGTCTGTAAAGAGTCTTGGAGTTAGAACATGGTACAACATATTACTCTTGAAGTTAGGATATTGTACAACATAACTCCTGAAATTATAACGTGGTACAATGTACAACGTAACTCTTGAAATTATAATATGGTACAACATAACTCTTGAAATTATAATGTGGTACAACATAATACTTGAAAAGGACAAATAAAAAGGAAAGAAAATATAGTTATCATGACAAGAAAGGAAATGTATATTTCGATCTTCTTCTCTTTCACAGGAAAGTTCCTCCCTTTTAAGACTCCGCTTGGTCCAAAGTACAATGACAGCATTCCTGAAGAGAACCGTTTTGACACTTCCATGTTGTTTGCCTACATGAACTCCAGGCAGGTCAAACTTGGCTGGGTCTTTGACCTCACCAATACAAACAGGTTCTACGATAAGGATGAGATCGAGAAGAATGGAGCCAGACACATCAAGCTGCCATGTAGAGGGTCAGTCAATTTTGCCTAAGAAAAAAAAGTGTTGTATTGCCCTTTGCGACCGACCTAAAAATCTTGAAATCTACGGTCGGAAGTTTTTTTTTGTTTTACCGGTTTTTTGAAAAAAAATTGTATTAAAGCATTCAACACTGAGAAATATCAGCCCATAGAGGAAGTCAAAAAATAGAAAGAAAAAAATCCTGATCCACCGACTCATGTTTTGGCACCTAAAGGGCAATACAACATCTTTCTTTTGTTAGGGCTTATACAAATTAAAAACTCAGTTGTAGAATAGCATTTTCTATGCAATTAACTCATTGGAGTGGGAGTTAATTTCAAGAACAAACAGAAAGCTGAAATCAGACAATATAAGCGGAAGCTAAATGAACAAAGCAGGAAAAAAAATGGACTGTGATTGCCTGCCATTTTTTTTTCTGCACGCTTTGTTTCTTTAGCTTCTGCTTGTATTGCCTGATTTCGGCTTTCTGTTCGTTCTTGCGATATATTCCGATGGGTGCAAGACAAAATGTTATATTCAATTAGTTTGGATGGAACAAATGAAATTAAATGCATTTTTCAAATCTAATGAAAAGAGAGATGCAATTTAGATCAAAATCGGATGAAAATGAATGTAATCTTTTCTAATTGATATGTTGAATGCCCATCAAGGAGTTAGACCACTTTTCATCCAGATCTGCAATAAAGATACCATACTATTCAATCAGAAGAAAGGTGTCTTTACAGCTACCAAGCTTCATATAAAAGAAACAAAAAACTAAATCGTATTATATCACACCCAATCCCAATCCGAGAAGTGATTTGATTTAGTACCTTTTCCTTGCAGTTACAAATTGCTGCACACATCGCTCCAAATATTTTGGTCACCGAAACAATAAAACATTATCTTTAAAAAGACCAGTTGAGCCAATTTGATCCATTGTTCTCTAGCAAAGTAAATGGGATTTCAGATGCTCCTTGAACTGGTCAACAGATGAAACTGTCTTCACAATAACAGATAGCTGTTTCCACAAATACAGTCAAGTCAAGTCAAGTCAAATCCAATGATATTTTTCTTACCCCCAGACGTGGTGAATGCCCTTCCAAAGAACAGACATCCCTCTTCATCCAGATGTGTAGCACCAACTGCAAGAACCCTGATCAGATTATTGGTGTACACTGTACCCATGGTTACAACAGGACTGGTTTTCTTATCTGCGCTTACCTGGTAGAGACCTTGGACTGGAGGTGGGTTTTTTTTACTCATCCTGGGGGGTCTTTCACAAAGATCCTAAATTGAACTTATCACTAAGTTGGACTTATGCACTTGTCATTTGTAAGACGCACCTCTTGACCCCCAGGTATGGTGCGTCATTGTACCGATGTGAGTCGTACATTTTGATACCATGACGCACCTTCCGTCACAGAAAGTGACACACCATTACGTTCCATCGACGCACATTTGAGTCAAACATATGACACACCATTTCATGAAAATGACGAGCCAATGACGCACATTTGAGAAACACTTCTGCTTGGAGAAAGTGACGGTCCCATTGACACACCAAATGACGCAACGTGGTAAAGTGACTTACTATGACGCACATATGGGTCAGTATTGTGACGGACATTTTGCGGCCATGACGGTACTGTGCGTCGCGATTTTGGGGAACATGACGCAACCATGACGCACCATCCCCGGGGGTCAAAAGGTGCGTCTTACAAATGACACCTGCATTAACAATAATGGAAAGCTCTTAGCATCTTTGAAAATATTTTGTAAAAGTTATTTTAAAAGGCATAAAATGTTGATTCGTTCATATTTTCTATTTTCAAGGAGATGTCATTTTATTGATGTGGAATTTATGAAAAGTCTAAAATACTTTTGCTTTTGAATATATTTTATTTTAAGGCTTCAAATGGCTCTCCATAATTTTTAAGTCCTACTTAGAGTAAGTTCGACTTGGATCTTTGTGAAACACTCCCCTAGAAAAGATTTTTCCGTAGAGGCAGATGAATCGGCTATTCATCCTATTGGTTGATTGGAAAAGTTTGTTATTTTTCCTTGGTTTTTTTAATTCTGCAAACCAAATGGCCTGTAAATGTCTATATGAAAGTGTATGAATAGGTATTTCATAATGCAGCAAGTGAGATGATTTTTTATAAGTGTTGGTTATTGCCAATTCGATGATTTAAGTGTCTCTTTTCCAACAAATATTTTATTTACTGAATTAAATAATAGAAATGTTCTCATAATTATTGTGTTCTGATTTTTAACTTCCTTTTCCTTGCACATTTTTGTTATTTATAGCATTCTTTGTAGAATATGAAATGCCATAATTTCCGTTTGAACTTATAATCCTCTACCAATTCTAAAATTTATGTGAAGCTCAACAGAATCCTTGCTTTAGGTTAGTCATTCTGTCGTGATGGGGAAAAAAACAATAACAAAATCAGGATGAGACATCATTCTGCATTATGGGAGCAGGGGGGTGTTTCATAAAGCTGTTCGTAAAGTTACGCATGACTTTACGAACGACTTGTATATGAAAAGCCAAATGGGATGCTCAATCATTATTAACTGCATTAACTAAAGTTGAAATGTGTAGATATAGATTAACATTCTTGTTATAACAAACATTTTTAATGCAAAGTATATTTTTTGCCATAATTTAATTGAGGTTATTGAAAATATCAGAAAAAAATTTGGGTATCCTATCTGGCACTCCATACACAAGTCGTTTGTAAAGTCATGCGTAACTTTACGAACAGCTTTATGAAACACCCCTCAGTTCTGAGTCTGAATACAGATGACAAGAGATAACCAAACCAATAGGGACCTCCTTTGAAAATTGTTTTACTGTTTCATATTAATGAGACCCAGTATTAAAAGTTGTTGTTCTTTGCCCGACAGTGTGGATGCGGCAGTGAGTCTGTTTGCCCAGGGCAGGCCTCCAGGCATCTACAAAGGAGACTACATCCAAGAGCTTTTTGATCGCTATGGCGATGTCTCGGAAGCTCCTCCCCCTCCTGACCTGCCCGATTGGTGTGTTGGTGAGTTAAGCATGAAAAAAGTTAGTTTGGTTGTGCAGGTTTTTTCTCAGTATATAGCATGTGATATTGCTTCCATCTTTTAGGAATCAAGGAGAATTATAACAAAATAAAAACAGGTAAACACTCCACGTTCCAATAACCATTACAGTGCAGTGTAAGAATACTAGATGTAGTTAAAGGCTATGAGGTGTTGTGGTCGAGTGGATACGTCACCGGATTGTCGATCGAGTCCCGCCGAGGCACTAATGTTTTTTGGCAAGACATTGATCTACATTTGCCACTCTTAACCCAGGTGATGTAAATGGGTAGCTGGTAGGATTATTCCTTGAAATGCACTGTGCGCTAATAACGACTGCCGGAGCTAAAGCTAGGGGAATAATTTCCAAAGCTCTTTGGAAGCGCATAGAGATGTTATTTCATAACGTATTATGCGCTATACAAGAATTGAATATTATTATTATTATTATGAACAATTCCTTTTGAACTCCAGATATGTTTTCAAACTTTTCAGGAGCTGATGACAGAGATGACGATGAAATTGCAGCTTCTTCCAAGAAACAGGGAGGAGGAGGAGGCAGAAATAAAAACCAACAAGATAAGCAGGTTAGTTTAGAAACAAAAGAAGTAATCTGATTCCCCATCTAGACTTTAAAATCATTCATGTTATTAGATTGTATTCATAAAGGAAGAAAACTTTATAATGTATCACCGAAAAGGGAATTTTTGCTAATATAAGTAGTACCATGTCTTTATACAGTATTCCAAATATTACCTCTGTAAAGAGAATTTTGCAAAGCGACTTTCGAGAAGATAACTTGGTGCATCCATACGTGCTTTCTAAAATTAGGTCTTCCAGCCAGAACCCAAAGTTCAACTTGGGTTCCATTTGTGCTGATTTATGTTTTTCCTCATTTCCTTCATATTCCTTATCTGTAGGCCCATGGAAAACCAGTTAAAACAAATTGAGGTTGTTTTATACATTCTAGCTGTGCACAATTGTTTTTTGAATTGATTGGTACACTTTCAGCTTGGTTTTACTTTTTTTTCCCTACTTATTTATAGACAGCAAAATGTCAGTGATTATTTTTTTTGAACAAATCACTGTGATTCTTTAACAAAACACATATATATGAAATGGATCCAACAAAGATAAACATCGTGAGGAAGTAGCAGATCTCCTGATACATGTCGATTTAATCATCTCTTTTAAATACTATTTGTAGTGTCATTTCTCTGTACAACATATGCTTTACATTTGTGTTTGAAGATTTCTTATAATTGTTCTTTCAACCGTCTTTTTGTTTGTCAGGTCAATGTACTGTTCAATGCTATATTCATTCCACCTTAAAATTGTATTTTCTCTATTCTGCATCTCTACAATTATGTTGTATTTGTTTGAATCGTGTTATTTACTGTTATACATTTACAATTATATTATTCACATATCCTTACCAAGTTTTAGAATTTGTTAAGTATGTTAAAATTGACGTGTCCCGATTATAGTTTCTTGAGAATGTGACAAATCCAAAGCTTACATCAGAAGGCCCTAATTCAAACTGTCCAACTTTCATCCTTGAGTTACAAAAAACATCAAATTTACAAGGGGCATGAATAATTAAGTTGTTAACTGTATTTGAAAAAGTAGTGTTTTTACAAAGATTTGTTGTTTGTTTTGGTTGATACATTAGTTTGTGGAGGGAGTAAAAGGTGTGACAGTTGTGACAGATTTCCAGAAAGCCAACCATCTCAGAAGAAAAGTGGAGCAAATGGTCGGATGGAAAAGGTAAGGTTTACATTGCTGTTTTTTCAGTGAATTAAATCCTATTCCATGCTTTAAAACAAACTTTTGACTACTGACACTACTGACTACATATGCAGAGCTCCACACTTACCTTTTTTAAACCTGTCTATAGCCACCGCCAAATGGTCTTTGTAAACAGGTGGTCACTAAAGCAGGTTTGACTCTGACACTACTGACTACATATATTCAGAGCTCTACACTAACCCTTTTCAAATCTGTCTATAGCCACCGCCAAATGGTCTTTGTAAACAGGTGGTCACTAAAGCAGGTTTGACTCTGACACTACTGACTACATATATGCAGAGCTCTACACTAACCTTTTTCAAACCTGTCTATAGCGACCACCAAATGGAAACGCAAAAAGTGGTCTTTGTAGACAGGTTCCTTTAGTACATGTTTCAATGAGAAACCATTTCCAAGGTAAACAAAACATGTGATCTTTGTAGACAGGTGGTCGCTAAAGCAGGTTCGACTGAACTGACACTACTAACTACATATGTAGAGCTCTACACTAACCTTTTTCTTAGGGTCTGGAGCAAAGTACTTAATGGGGGGGGGGGGGGGGCTTGGTTTAGTATAAAAATTTTTACAATTTGGGCAGTCCAGTGTAAAACTTTGGAGATCTGTGTACAATGAATCTCTGATAAGGTTTAGGCATTAGTGCATATACCGTTTTCTGAGTTTGTGTCATTCAGTATAGATGTAAAATTGATTATTTGATGACAATTCTGTGCATCACAACAAGCCTGAGACAGGTGAAAATTGTAACTTCTCTTGTAGCCTTGTAGTTATTATATGTATTATATATCGGGATTTCTCCTAACAGTTTCTCACAAAACTTTGATTTCACTACAATTACTAAACGATCATGAGATAAGAGACTATCACCCTTGTGGAAGGCATGAAACATCCAACCCCAGAGCTTGGAAAAACAGACGTTATATTATGATGATGACAATTACATGTACAACCCTTTAAAACTGATGTTTGATTTTACAGACAAGAGTTCCCAGGCAGTCAACCTGTTTCCATGGATAGGAACAACATCAACTTCCTGAAGAAGAATTACTACTGGGTCAGCTGGAAAGCAGATGGGATAAGGTAAACCTCCGGGAATGTGGAAGAGAATGAAACTTTCATAGTGTAACATACCTGCCAACCCCTCCGAATAATCCAGAATATTCTGAGTAATATTTTGATTTTTCAAAATTTCTATTAAAAAAAAAAATTAATTTTATGTTTAAGCCAAGTTAAGCTTTTTATGCCTCCGCCACCGAAGGTGGTGCCGGAGGCATCATGTTTTCGGGTTGTCCGTCCGTACGTCCGTACGTCCGTACGTCCATCCGTCCGTACGTCCGTCCATACGTCCGTACGTCCATCCGTCCGTACGTCCGTCCGTACGTCCGTACGTCCGTCCCGTTTGACCGTTATCACAATATCTCAAGAACCATTTAAGATTTAAACTTAAGACTCTGGAATAGTATTTATCACCATAGGAAGACGATCTGATTAGATTTTGGAGTACGTAGGTCAAAGGTCACAGGTCACAGAGGTCAACTTATGAAATTCCTTGTATTGAGTTTGTTAGCGCGATATCTCAAGAACCATTTGAGATTTAAACTTCAAACTTAAGGATAGTATGTATCACCATAGGAAGACGATCTGATTAGATTTTGGAGCACGTATGTCAAAGGTCAAGGGTCACAGAGGTCAACTTATGAAATTCCATACATTGAGATTGTTATCATGATATCTCAAGAACCACTGGAGATTTAAACTTCAAACTTAGTGATAGTGTGTATCACTATAGGAAAACAATCTGATTACATTTTGGAGCACGTAGGTCAAAGGTCAAGGGTCATAGAGGTCAACTTATGAAATTCCATACATTGAGATTGTTATCATGATATCTCAAGAACCACTGGAGATGTAAAAACTTCAAACTTAAGGATAGTATGTATCACCATAGGAAGACGATCTGATTAGATTTTGGAGCACGTAGGTCAAAGGTCAAGGGTCACAGAGGTCAACTTATGAAATTCCATACATTGAGATTGTTATCATAATATCTCAAGAACCACTGGAGATTTAAACTTCAAACTTAATGATAGTGTGTATCACCATAGGAAGACAATCTGATTAGATTTTGGAGTAGTAGGTCAAAGGTCAAGGGTCACAGAGGTCAACTTATGAAATTCCATACATTGAGATCGTTATCGCGATATCTCAAGAACCACTGGAGAATTTTCACTTCAAACTTAATGATAGTATGTATCACCATATCATAATATCTCAAGAACCACTGGAGATTTAAACTTCAAACTTAATGATAGTGTGTATCACAATAGGAAGACAATCTGATTAGATTTTGGAGCACGTAAGTCAAAGGTCAAGGGTCACAGAGGTCAACTTATGAAATTCCATACATTGAGATTGTTATCATGATATCTCAAGAACCACTGGAGATTTAAACTGCAAACTTGTTTAAATTGCTCTATGGCGGAGGCATCATTTTCGACTGCGCGCAGTCAAAATTCCATCTAGTTTTATTATGTGCCAGGATTTGAGAGTTCCTGTGTTGCATGTGTGGAATGGCTGCATGATTGAGCAGCGAATTTGTATTAATTTTTTTTTTACAGATTTACTGCATATTGCCAATTACACTTCCGCTTCAAGTCCGATTTCTTATTTTTGAAAGCATACCGTGCTAAAAATTCCTAATTCTTTTTTTTCAAATGTTGGCAGGTATGGTGTAAGCAGAAAAAGTATTGAGTACTGAAAGTTAGCAAAACTTTGGACAGTCATGAAAGTTCTCTTGAACAAGTAAAAATCATGTCATGAAATCAATTACTTATTTTGATTTTATGACTAGATTCATTCCGGTGGTTTTTTTTTCTTTACAGAATAAAGATTGACTCTTTGCGCTCCATAAATCCTTTCTGAATTAATGAATATAAGCTGTAGTATTGGCACACACATGAAAACATAAAGAACCATGAGAATTATTTTCTTTTTACACTTTCTGGGGACATGATGTTTATTATTTATTTATACTGTTGAGGGGAGATTTATCTTTTTGATAGAGCTTTAGTACTTCCATGAATGATGGGCATTAGTAGTTTGAGCAAAAGCATTTATGAGCGAGAAGCAAAGAACAACAAAAGAGAAAAAACCCACATCAGTCAAGCTACTTCATGTATGTTCTTTTTAGGTGACGGTATGTATTTGTTGTCTATTGTGACTCTTTCATGAACAAGCGGCATTTTCAGTAGAAGCTTAGAAAATGCTTAAAGGCATTGTTTATCAATGTTAAATCTGAGATGCATGGCCCTATCTGTTCTTTAGTGTCTGTGATATGGTGAAATATTGAAGCCCTAACAATATTGCGCTTCAAAATGATCATGAAGTGCCTCAAAAAAGTAAAAATCTTTGAGTGACCGGTTTTTCCACAATAGACTGTAGTGTTATAAAAAACGTTAGGAAAACAAATGTTTAAATTTTGATTTCTAATCATAAATAACTTGATAATCAGACAGGCGATCGGCTTGTAAAAGTCATGGGGTCCTGACTGACCTAAAGGTTTATAATCATCATTGCAGCATGAGCTAAATCCAGGATTTTGTTTCAGAATCTGAGACAAAGATACCCAATCCCTTTAAGAAGTTGTAGAGAAACTAAACTACCAAAAATTAACCCAATTCATCCATTTTCCCTTTTCAAGGTACATGATGTTAATAGATGGTCCAGGAGAGGTGTATCTCTTTGATAGAGATCACGTTGTCTTCTCAGCTCCTCATCTCTCATTCCCAAATCGTAAGGGACCTCACAGAGATACCCTTGTAGATGGGGTGAGTATGTTATTATTATTATTATCATTATTACTTATACCATGCTTTTCCATTAAAGACCGTCAATACTACTGGGCCAGAAGGGATTAGACCACACAGCGAGGTCACTGACAGGTGGCTATCTCATTAACTCAGCTCTCAACTAACATAAGAAAAAGAGGATCATGGGGGACCAACAGGCACTGATTGGGGAAGTTTTCTATATAGAGGGAGCAAGTAGCTACAAGTAGGACAGTGGGGCTTTAAGGCCCAAGGCACTTACCATGAATAAAAATAAAAATAACATAAACACCTTAAAACTACAAACTGCAAAAAAGATGTGTTTTTAAGGCCTTTCTGAAGGTAATAACTGATGGAGACTGCCTAATTCTAAGTGGTAGATCATTCCAGTATTTTGGAGCAGATACAGTAAATGTCCTATCACCTGCTAATGTGCGGGTAACTGAATATGTGGTACGGAGAGGATCCCTGGCTGACCTCAATGCCTTGGCAGGTGTATATAAATTCAAACAGTTATCTAGATATTGTGGAGCTTGATTATTTTGTATTTTCAAGATAAAGAAGAGTAATTAAAAAATTATTCTTTTTTCAAAGGAAGCCAGTGTAATGATCTCAAGAGTGACTGAGATGGATGGTCCCTGAAATATCAATCGGGCTGCCCAATTTTGTAGCCGTATCACTCATATCGGTTTAGCAAGACATCAATCTACATTTGCCTCTCTCAACCCATGTCATTTGAATCGATACCAGTAGGCAAAGTTTCTAAAATGCCATGGCACCTTAACAAGGCAGCCAGGCTACAGCTAGCTAATAATTTTCAAAGCTCTTTGGAAGTGCATAGAGATGTGTATGTATAACGTGATGTGAGGTTTACAGGAGTGGATGATTTTGATTGTTCAGCATTATTTCTTTATTCTTAAGGGTAAATACATACATGAACTGTAACGGTCAAGCACATGACACAACGGTGCAAGTGTAATATTTTCCCTAGTTGATAGGATTTTATTTAATTTTTTTTCATTGAATAAACATTTTATTTGATTTCTTTTGTATTACAGATGAAAATCGGACAGATTTTTTCCAGATCTTATTTCAAAATACCATGCGTGTAGATTTCAATTAAAATAAGAACTTCTATGTGCTGTGTATTCACAGAAACTATTCCATGGGTGCTTTGATGATGCTCAGGGCGATTATACAGCTTCATGCTTTTACAGTATCAGTTAGTTAAAAATTCAAAATTCAATTTTATTTCACATCTCTTTAAAATCACATCAAAAGATATACAAACAAATCAGTATAAATTAAATAATATAAATATAAAAACATTCATTGACATGGTACTATGGAAGAGAGATGGAGGGTGATGGATGCGAGGGATCAACAAAGGCCATTGGCCTGTCAAGGCTGATCCCCTATATTACCACCCTTCAAGAGAAATACATTATACAATATATAAAACATAAAAAACAATCAAACAAACAGAAAATATAACAGAGCATAATCACATAAAAAACACAACATAACTATTTACATAAATCACATGAAAGGCAATTAGATCAAATAAAACTACTCATTATTAAGAAGATAATTGAGAAAGTTAGCTTTCCTCATATCTGTAAATGCAGGGGTATCTCATTTGTATCACCACTGTTTAACTATATTCTACAGGAGATGATTATCGACACAGTGGACGGCAAATCCGTAGCAAGATATCTCATCTATGACATCATCAAATATTGGGTGAGTTGAAGTTTGATCCAAAATTCCATATTTCTCTTGCCTAGTCATGGTAGATTAAATGGCTCTTTTGAACAGCAATCACAAAATTAAAGGTAAAGACCAGTATTGGAAATGCCCCAATTTCAAAAAATGAAATGGAAGCTCTTATTACCAATCATGTAAAAGAATATGTTTTGAATAATACATGATGATAACAATTTTGCCAGGAAACCGCCTACTAATTGATATATTTGGTAAATTAGTTTATCTATTGGGATGTGAGAGATAAAGCACATGTCACGCACGTGTGCGTAGTCCCATATACATCTTACAGTGCTTGTAACTTTATGAAGACTGGGCCAAATTTCTTATAATTTTGATGATTCCAGATTCCAGAACCTTGCAGTACATCTATGCTAGATGATCAACCTTTTCTGATCGATTCCACGTTTCTTTCACAATGCAATCGCATGACCATAACTGATCTTTATCTTTAAGTTAGTTCTATGGCAGATGAATTTAATATTTTTTTTCTTCTCCAAACAAACGTCAGAAAATTCAACACAATCATAAACAGTGACAGTCAATACTGATGTCAGTCATTCAGATGAAGTAGTACCCCAATCAGAAATTAAATGGGCATTGATTAAATTGAAGTTGAATTGAAATTGATTTGAATATGATTTGGATTGCATTAGAGAATATTTGAATGGACTTTATCTACATTTTGAATTTTAATTGACTTCATTGGACAGATGAAATGGAACTTGATTTAGATTATATGAAATTGGATTACCTGTATATTGAACTAAACTGAACAAAACTAAATTGGAACTGAATTAAACTGAATTGAATCAAACTGAACTGATTAACTGACGCGATGTCACAAAAATGTATAAAATGTGTATTTCGCCAATTTTAATAATAATAATAATAATAATAATATCGAATATTTAGGAGCGCTAAAAACACTAAGTACCATAGCGCTTCCAAATACAAATATATGAAAAGAGGACAAAAATGTACAGTCTCACAGGAAGTATATCACATAGATCATTGGGGGAAAAGGTGAGTTTTGAGGAATCTTTTGAAGGTGGCAAGACAGATACTTCAAACAAATTATTTTGATCATCATTATCGTGCAGGGCAAACCAGTAGGTGGATGCGACTTTGGTTGGAGGAGACGATGTATCCAAGATGAGATCATAGCACCTAGAGAGGTTGAGTTGCAGAAAGGCTCCATCGATAGGATGCGAGAACCTTTCGGCATCAGAGAGAAACCCTTCTGGGATATAACCTCGTCTAAGAAGGTAGGTCGGTTAGGTGACATTGGGTTAGCAGAGCAAAGAGCTGTGTGTTAAATTGTTTTTCAGTTTTTGTCTCGACTGCGTAGCAAAAAGCGAGACATAGGCGCCGCTTTTTCGGTGACGGCGACGGCGGCGGCGTCAACATTAAAAACTTAACCTAAGTTTAAGATTTTGAATTTTTAGGATAATTTTGAAAGTATAAGTTCTCATTCAACCTCACGTTAAGTTTTTGAATTTTTAATATAATTTTGAAAGTATAAGTCCTTATTTAATGAATTATCAAGTATCCCCAATTATGTAAGTAAAATTTCAGGTCACTAAGTTAAGGTCAAAGGTCATTTCAGGTCAACAAACTGAGACTCTTTTGTGGCATCAACATCAAGATTTTGAATTTTTAGCATAATTTCAAAAGTGTTTGTTCATATTCCATGAAACTTGTACACAAGGATTATCAAGTATCACAAAGCTTATGACACAAATTCCAGGTCACAAAGTCTAAGTCAAATGTCATTTTAGGTCAGTATGTGAGGATTAATAAATCAATTTTTGTTATTTTTTCATATTCCATTAAAGTTATTAATCTTGGTACAGATCATAGTAAATAATTCTTCCGATGACTCTTGGCCAATATTCACTTCAAAATGCTGATTATATTCAGAGGATTTCATGGGGGGGGGGGGGGCATGCTAATGGGCCACCCTGCCTATGAATAATGTCCCAACCTCAATTTTTCATCATATTGAATTGCGTAATGCAGGCGAGACCGCCGAGAGCATTTTCCCTTTTTTTTACCTATACCATTTCAGAGTTTTCTAAAGGTCTATTTATAAACAAATTGCTTTTCCTCCTCAAATTGGCAATCATTATTTCTTTTTTCCACTCTTCCATAGTTTACCTTTAATGAAATTGTGAGTGAAAAACAAAGGTGTATCTTGGTATAATCTACAAGCCTTTAGATTTGGTGATGCTGCCTCAAGTTTTCAGTCTTTTATAGGGTCAAAGGTCATATTTGTATAGATGTCTTGTGTGCACCCTAGTGTGCTGTCCTACGTACTGCCACATTTCTTTCAAATGTTGTATGGAGGTGTGTCGTAGTAAAATCTAGACATCTTAAGTGTTTGGTGATGCTGCTATTAGTCTTGACAATGGGTCGAGCCACTAGTGGCGATCTCTACGTCATCCTTTTGTTTCATGGAGGGGAGAGGGGAGAGGTGATCTTTGTCCCTCCTTCGAACATAAGGATGACACAAAAATCACTGCCAGTGCTGTGGGATACATTCGCACTGCGCGGCAATGGAGATTTGCATTATTTCTAGTTAATATTATTATTTTAGCTCTGTCATTAATTAAACTGTTCTCCTGAGAAGCCACGCAAAATGACAATCACTTTTTTCTATGAGATATAAATGATTCTGAGGTCAATACAGATGTAGTACATCTGAAGTAGTTACTTCAGAATATTCAATGTGTTATCTTGTAACCAGTTTGTTCTGGAATAACTTAGTCCAAATTTCTGTGTAATGGTTCTTACTACCTTTTAGATACTTGATGGAAGCTTCAGCCAAGAACTGATGCATGAGACAGATGGACTCATATTTCAACCGCACAAAGATGTAAGCGCAATTTTGATTGCTTTGTAAAAAGATCAATATAAATGACTTCAATTAAATTAGTTGTGGATCATATTCTGCTACCAGGAGTGCACTAAATGAAATTTTAAAGATTCAGTTCAATATTTTGTAAATGTTTTCATTCATATTGTTATGTACGTGCATGAGAAAAACATGATACTAAGTTAAAAATAAAAAAAAAATCATTGTTGGCCGTTTTCTATATTGTGAAGTATGTTCATGAAGTGCAATCAGAAAGCAACAACGATCCTATGGTTATCTACAACTTAATTTTGAGAATTTTTTCTTCTTTGTTTTTTGTTGCTATTGCTTCGTCTAAAGAAATGAGGGAGTGGGAGTAATAGCGCCATTTTTCTGGAAGATGCAATTGGCTCTCCATGTTTCAGGGTTGCCAGTTTTCAGGCAATAGAATGAACTGATGAATTCAGGCCCTGGCAAGTTATTTTCAGACCATAGTTTAGGATTTTTTGTGTACAAAATAGCTCATTCTAGGTGATTTTCAGGCCCTCTGATCAATTCTAACTGGCATCCCTGATGTTTATTTTACACAGCCGTACATACCAGGACGATGTGACTTGATACTGAAGTGGAAGCCACCCAGTCTAAACTCTGTTGACTTCAGAATCAAGGTGACCGTTGTCAAGAGAGAAGGGTAAGTACAGTAGATCTAGGAGGGCCGTTGCCATCAATTTTCTCCCTGTGAATGTTTTCTGCCATGACTTACATGAAGGCAAGCACATACCTCTCTGTTTTCTGTTTTCTCCATTATGATTTTTCTGTAATGGTCATTCAATGAATTAAAGCCCCATTGCACTAGTTTGGCCAGGAAGGATTAGATCTCCCTGCATCGTCACTGACAGGTGGTTATCTCATCAACTCAGCTCTCAATTAATATAAGAAAGAGAGGATCATAGGGGACCAATGGTCACCAATTAGGCATTGTTTGCTATATAGAGGGCGCAAGTAGCTATAAGTAGTGCAGCTGAGCCCTTAAGTGATTTTTTGTTTTTTTGTTGAAATCAGAATCTACAGAAACATCTAAAGACTATCTTTCATACCCTTTTTAAACCTTACAGTGATGGTTTTATCAAAAAGAAGGGTATAGAATAGCAGATTTAAAGCAATTTTGATACCACTTTACTTTTTTTTTCAGGTAAGATAAATAATAGTAATATACCGGAACCTGGTTCATGTTGTAGAACTTTAAAGACAATATGGCACCAGAGCTCATTTAAGTCATGTATGCACAGTTGCATCAAAGAGAAATAGTTTGAGAACACTCAAGTTTGTCTTTACAACTCAAAAGCACCCTAATATACATAGGCTAGACTGGCGATGTGTGCATAAGATCCCATATAAAGACATTTTGTTTGGCTATAGCTATGTTTTATTTTCATGGATGACCCTGGAGCCTGTGTCTTTATCCTTGCATTCAGGTGCATCCCAGAGACGCTTGGTCTGCTCTTTGTCGGGGGTCAACAGCAACCCTTTGGACAAATGAAGGTCAGTCTTTAATACTCGGTCAAATCTATCATTCTTACTCCACTTCCATAGGTTTCCATTATGTTGTGCTTAGATAAGTTCATTATGATAGGAAAAGTGAAGTTCCGAAATTTATCTGGAACACTTCTCAAGCTACACATACAATATCGCATTTAAGTGTACTTTCCATTTTAAGTGTTCTTTAGATCAATTTAAACAAAGGTCATTAATTGATATAATGACAGTGATTTCAAATTAAGATTATTTTCACTTTTATAACTTTATCAGAACTCAGTATTACATTTGTTTCATCTTTGAATACTTAAAATTGGTAAGAATGAATTGCATTATATGCTAATTCTGAATATAATTTTTTTTTTAAAGTAAAAACCTGACAAATCTTCATTTTCCTTGAGCGCAGATCACCAAGGACCTGAAGCAGTATGACAATAAGATCATTGAGTGTTCCTACAACAACAAGAAAGGTTGGCAGTTTATGAGAGAGAGGACGGACAAGAGCTTTCCCAACGGCTACAAGACAGCCGTCGGTAGGTTACACTATGACTACTTCTCCCATTTGCTCCAGACCGTCACAATGATTTGATTGCTCCTAGCTTCATTTTGTCCGGGATATAGGGCTAGTTTTGGGGTTGCAGTTGGTTTTATTTTAGGGGTAGAGTTAAGCTACGGTCACAAAGGTTTGTACGAATCTCCCTGTTTTTCCATTGTCTTCCAGAATTTCCATTGTCTGAAAATCGTTCGTACGGCGTTCGTAACAGTACGTAATAGCATTTGTGACCGAGGCTTTAGGAATTGAGTTTGGAAAGGGGTTGAAGTTAAGAATTTGGTTATTGTAGGACATTGACTAGGTAGCAGTTGTTGCAAGGGCACGTTTTATACAACTTGTATTATCACATTTTTATTCCAATGAAGTACATCATGTCTAGGTGGTCAAAATTATCATGACAGATTCAGTACTTGCTCCTACCTCACTGTCTATTTTCAGAGCAATATTTGTTTTATTCGATTTTGCATATTTTTCTCCGAAGACAAGATGGGGAGACCCGATCTAGAAGAGTTTCTTTGATTGAGTGAGACTTTGGGAGAGTATTCAAGGGGCATATTTAAATGAGGGAAAGGATTGTTTCAGAGTTACAGAGCAGTACAAATGTAATACTATGTTGTCTCTTCATCCCCAGCCGTGTGTCAGAGTATACAAAATCCAGTCACCAAGGATTTCCTGATGAACTTCATCGACAAGGAAGCCATCAAACCTTCCAGCAACAAACGTCCTGCAGACAACAGCAGCAGCAGCAGTAGTAGTCCTCGGCCCCCTCCCGCCAAGCAGCAGAGGACAGACAGCCACCCACCTTCCTCCCTGGCCAGCGGACCAGGCAGGCCATCAAGCTCCCTCATGCCTCCTCCTCCAGCTCCACTCCATCACTGAGAGAGGGAATGTTTTTTTAAATTTCTTTGAGAAAAAGGACTCAATTTGACAATGAAGCTGGTTGATTTCTTGGCGGTGACGAGACAGGAACCATTATTCGGCCTCTCTCTGTACCATGAGATTTGCAAAGCCCGCAAGCTTGCTCATGCCTCGTCATGCGTTGGCTCTACGGTCATCAGAAAGGAGGGGGAAGGAAGGGAGAGAGAGATGAGAGAGAGAGATGAGAGAGAGAGATGAGAGAGAGAGAGACGAGAGAGAGAGACGAGAGAGAGATGAGAGAGAGAGAGACGAGAGAGAGAGAGACGAGAGAGAGATGAGAGAGAGAGATAAGAGAGAGAGAGACGAGAGAGAGATGAGAGAGAGAGAGACGAGAGAGAGATGAGAGAGAGAGATGAGAGAGAGAGAGACGAGAGAGAGATGAGAGAGAGAGAGATGAGAGAGAGAGAGATGAGAGAGAGATGAGAGAGAGAGAGAGATGAGAGAGAGAGAGATGAGAGAGAGAGATGAGAGAGAGAGATGAGAGAGAGAGAGATGAGAGAGAGAGAGACGAGAGAGAGATGAGAGAGAGAGAGATGAGAGAGAGAGAGATGAGAGAGAGAGAGATGAGAGAGAGAGACGAGAGAGAGATGAGATTGACAGAGAGAGACGAGCAGCGTGAAAGGGAGTTAGAGAGAGATTTGTTATAGTTTGGGAGAACATACTTTGTTTAGAGAGACTGGTCAAATGTAGCACCAACCAGGAATCATGAGCCGTTTTACTACAGGATTTACCAAGTCACTGTTTAGACTGTTGTCGTGACATAAGTGTAATTTCCTTTTACCAGCGATTCCTGTGCCAAAGGTAGAACAAACATATGCCGTCATTTTTTACCTTGAGGGAGAAAGGGAGTTGAAATCTTTGATATTTGCTTTCTTGGTTTTTTTTAATTCTTGCATAAGTTATCAGTTTGAGATGCTGTTCACCAGTTTGTAGATACTATCTATACATGAGCAGGATGAAGGTCATTTGTACAAAAACTTGTGAAAGTTACTAAAATCATTCATTTTTATAATCTGCACCAACAGTACATTCAGTTATTCGCAGGTGGAAATATTCTTTTCAAGAGGGCAAACAAAAAGGTGTCATGAAGCACCTCCCTTTCTTTGCCAGTGACAATTCTAAAACGCTCCAAGTGGGACTTTTCCATTTTCGACAGATCTGTGAATATTTGGGGTCATTTGTATCATGTGCTACCTACGAACTGGTCTGTTGAGATGCTTCATGCTATTGCCAACATACACTGTACATTCAACAGCAATGATCTTTATAAGGATTTATTACCTGTTCATTGTGCAATACTTCAATACTATATTTTGCATTTATATTTGGTGCAGTGCGTAGCTTGTGATAAATGTACATCAAGTTAATCAGAAGTTTTAAGGATAACTCTTTCGATGTTCTGAAATTAGATAAACTGCAAGATAGAAAGAAGTATGCATTTAAACAGTAAACAAGTTTGGCGCCACCACTTTTGGTTTGTTGATATGGATTCTGAAATATCTATGTTGACTATATGGACATGTTTGTACATTTCACCCAGCTTTAAGACAAGAAAAGATTTCAGAGCATTGTCAGAAAATAGAGCTTAAGAGTAAAGAAACCTTGCTGTAAATGTTCATGAATCTGTGCGCATATGCAACTCTAGTACTACATGTACTTGCAAAGTTTTTTTAATCATAACAAATTTTCTTATAAAGGTTCCAGAAGTCCATCCTGATATTAGCTGGTATTAATAAAAGGAGAAACGTAAAGAAACTGGACAAACATGAAGAATGTCATGAATTTTAGAAAGATGTCATAACCAACTTGCTATTAATATTGGCTTTCCTTGTAAATTTGAGCTTTTGTTAATTATCCCGCTATGTTTAAACCTAATCATGAAATATGGTACACACTAGAAAAGTGTTTTCACGTTTTCTGGTTCTCTCTTCTCTCCCTCATTCCTTTCTTGCTCTTCTCTTCCTCATTCCTTTCTTGCTCTTCTCTTCCTCATTCTTTTCACGTTCTTTCTTTTATCTCTACTTTCTTGACATTCTCTCCCACATCTCTTTTTCATTATATTTTGTTCTTCTATACCCCCCTCTCTCTTTTTCTCTCGCTTTCTCTCCCTCTACTCCTCTGTCTCTCTCGATCTCCTTCCCTCTCCCCCTGTCTCTCTCTCTCTACTCTCACTCTCTCTCTATATACATGTACATTGCAGCTTTGTCACAGGCTTGTTTGTTATAGCAACACTTTGGATGATGTATGCAGGAAAAAACAAAATGGATAACTATAACATTGGTACAAACATAGTTGGTTTTTTGGAAAAAAAGTAACAGAGGATTGGAATATGATATGTCATAAGTTTAGTGGAAATTTGATACAGGTATATTTGTACAGTAACAGAATTGTAAATAAAGTGATTTGTTCTATGAAGCTACCTATGGAATCTATAGGTGACATATTTATGAAACCAGGATTGAAAGTAAATGTTTCTTTCTGATGAATAAATATGCTGTGATTATTTTGATCTCACTGAATCGTGTTGTATTAGTCTGTGTATTTTCAAACTACACTGTATATGATTATGGGTATACTTTATGAGCAGTGACACTTCAAACGAAAAATCAATAATACACAAGAAAGGTTTTGTTATAAAAAGTTATTACCTTTAATCCATGATAAATATACATTGAAGGCACTCAACACATTTGATCCTCTCATACGGTTATTGTGTAATAATCTCTCTCTTTACTTTTTACCCTGTACTCCAGTAGTGCACTGAAGTTATTCAAAGTACATGTAAGTGGGTGCATGGGTCGTCATTTCCATGTCCAGAAAGTCATAAGTCGCTGACACCAGACTTGGTGGAAATACCAATAATGGGTATTCTAGTCTGCACACAGCAAACCTGTTGGGTCTTTGGGTGATGCAATTGTCAGATAAGGACTTAACCATATGGGGGAATATACAGAGCATTATATAAAGTTTGTTTGTCATAAAGGCTAATCCTAGTGATTGGCACCATCTGTTATTAGGTAAACACCTGAATGGTGACAAATCCCCTATAATAGCCCACTTTTATGTGTCTTTAAGTCCCCAGTGCACTACTTGTAGCTACTTGCGCCCTCTATGTAGCACACAATGCCTAATCGGTGACCATTGGTTTCCCAGGGTCCCCTTTTTCTTATGTTAATTGAGAGCTGATTTGATGAGATAACCACCTGTCGGTGACCATACAGGGAGGTGTAATCCCTCCTGGCCAAATTAGTGCAGAGGGGCTTTAAAAGAGAATACACAATCATTCTCTATCCACTTTTCTTTCTCTTTCTCTCTCTCTCTCTCTCTCTCTCTACCCCTCCCTCTCCCTCCCTCTCACTCTACCTCTTCCCCTACCCTATTACATGTACATTGTACGATAAAAACCTATATCTATACCGACACATACCCATCATATCTATTTCTCCCCCTTCTCTCTATCTATCTCTCTCCCTCTCTGTGTGTATCTCTCGCTCTCTCTCTCTCTCTCTCCTCCTCTCTCTTTCTCTTTCTCTCTCTCTCTCTCTTTACAACTCTTTTTCATCATGATGAACAGCTGACCCTAATATCTCTAGCCCAGTGTGGGGGTCTGTTGGCGTAGCCCCTTTCGTCTGCTTCGGGTTGATTTTCAAACGGTCTTTTCAGAATCTTCAGTAGATCCTTGACGGTCGTAAAGTCCCCCCTCCCTGCATCTTCAATGGCTGCTTGAGCCATCCAGTTTCTTAAAATATAGTTGGGGTTTACAGCTGTAAATAAAAAGAAGAAAGATCCAGTATGTTTATCCTGTAAATTTTGGTGACAAAATTTGATGAAATGCATGAACAGAAAGCTTTAAAGTCACTCCACAGTCCGAGTCCAATTTTGTGGCGGTATTCGAATATAAATAATTTTTGTTTACATTAATTTGGTAAATCTAGTGAAATATAAACAAAACTTTATTCCCCTTTGAAAATTAGAAAAAATGATATGCAGGTGGTGCCAGAGATATGAAATTTTAGAATTGTCATACAGTCAGTATAAGTACATTTATTTCCTTCCTTGTACCTTGCTATTGTGATAAATGTACATGGATAACATATCAAGAAGTGTTTGGCATGTTCAGACTTTAAATTTAGGTAGCATTATGATTCAACAAGATGAAGAGTAGTTATGAAACCTTACCAGTATTATTTTTTTTTTACCACAGGTCGGTTAGAGCTTCCCAGAGCTAAATCAATGACTGATCTCGTTAATTTTTTTCTTTCTTTTCGGTCAATATATAAAGTGTACTATCATTAAAGCCCATCTGCACTAGTTTGGACAAGAGGGATTATACCTTCCTGTGTGGTCACTGGCAGGTTGTTATCTCATCAAATCAGCTCTCACTTATATAAGAAAAAGGGGATCATGGGGAACAACGGGTACTGCTTAGGCATTGTTTTCTATATACAGGGAGCAAGCTAGATACAAGTAGTACAGTGGGGCTTTAAATAGATTCCAAAATTGTTTTGCAAACCGAAATATATCTTGGGAAAATATCAACTCACCATTCATCCTTGCTCTCCTCCTTAAGTCCTCTTCTTCATCTAAGGCTTCTTGTCTCTCCGCATACATCCTGGCCCATTCTTGAAACATCTCGTGTCTGCTCAGGTCTGTCAATGCCCACAGCTTGGTGGCAGCATCCTGTGTGGATGATCGTAACATTGCCATGGAGATGACCCCGAGCTGCCTGAAGGTCGTGGTGAAGTCAGAATGAGTGTCCTCCATCATCTGCATAGAAGATTGAAAGGAATAACAAAAACAATGTGATGATGATGGTGATGGCGACTGTTTGAAGGGTGAAAATGGTAATGATGATTGTCATTTATGTGATAATGATGGGCGACTGTTTGAAAGGCGACAAGATAATAAAAATAATTGCAAAGGTGATCGTTATGTAGGTGATGACAAGTTAATTAAAAGCTGCTGCAAATTCACACTATATGGTAACAAATATTCTCATTAGATGCCTTTGAAACTTAAACAAACTTGTGTGATGCATGCAAGCATAGCACCCTTTCACATAGATAAAAGGGCTATCTTCTAATCATTGGCGAAAATCAGCCAACGACGATGGAAAACGCCATAAAAACCAACAACAACAACTGTGTTACTATTAAGAGCATCCAGATGTATCGAAACGGTCTTATATTGACAAATTTTGTGTAGTGGTAATCTATTTAGATTTTGTAGAATCATGATAATGTCTCCCTATATCTATAGCCCAAAGTGCACAAAATGAATGCGGCAAGCTGGTTCTGATTAGTCTAGCTATTGCTTACCTGTAATAACATTGCCACTATATATTCATCTTGTTCCTCTGCTCCGATCAATCCAAGTTTCTTTCTGAACAGCTCCATAAATCTTGCCTTGTAGATGTCCACATAACCAGAAGTGATTATAGGTAACCTGAACAATATGACAGACAAGTCATTAAAAAAAGATATGGCCTGGTTGGATATATAAAATAATTCTAAATAATGAATTTGACGGAATGAATATACGCATGAGCATTAGTTTGGTAAATGATCCGACATGAAAATAAAGTAATTTTTATGCATTCGGGCAGGGGTATAGACAAGCAGTGACAAGAAATATTGCATTCTTGAGTAGGAGGAGTGCATGGGAGGGGCACTCTGGTATTAATATTACATCCCATTCATTAATCATAGAGGTATATATTCACAGTAGTACTTGTGACAGGGGACACTTGCTATGTACAGTGTAGTTCAATGAAAAGGGGCATTCTCGGTAGTATTTGGAAAAGTAGCAGGCTCTCTACCCTTCCATGTATGTGGTACCCCCACTGCTTGACAAGTCAAACATTTACTTTTTAAACCGAAAAAGACACTACATTGGTATCTGAATCTGAACTATTTTTTTCTACAACATTCATCTCAGCTCAATGGGCAAAAGATTCATTACGACAAGGATTCACCATCCCTAATTGTCACCTAATTGTCACAAAGCAAAACTAAAGTTAGAATCCATCACAAAGTAAATTGTAGAATGAGCAGGTTTAGCCATACTGTTTTCTCTGAGGCAATGTCAGTAGAGGAGCCAGAGCATCCGCTAACTTCCGCATGTTGAACAGTCCCACTTCAGGCTGCTTCTCGTAACTATAGCGACCCTCATCATCTGAGGTGTTTGGTATATACTGAGGATCGTAGGCATCCAAGAAACCAAACGGACCGTAGTCGATGGTGATGGATAGAAGACTGAAGTTGTCTGTATTCATTACACCTGAAATGTGTAAAGAGAAACAAATATGAATGAAAACGTGTATCAAAATAGTCATTTGAAAGATCAAAGAAATGACTGAAAATCAACAATACAGTTATATCGGGGATCGAACCACGACCTTTGAATTTCAAGTGAAGTGCTTAAACCACTCAACTACGACACAGAGTGAGAGAAAGGTTTGAAACTTGGCACAAATAAATAATTTAACTTAATATGAATACACCTGTGAAACTGATTAAATCAAAGTTGATATTGTAATTATTATAATCAAGTATACACTATTACAATCATATTATAAAAATCCTGCATTTATTATCCACAATTCACCTTTAGAGTGAGAGGTATGTAGGTTTAGCAGAGTCATCAATTTCTCTTATGAGGACACTGAAGAGGTATAAACTAATGGCAGATAAACACCAAACCATTCTTACCATGAGCGAAACCTATGGATTGCCATTTTGCTATCATGTATGCTGTCTTGTTGATGATTTCAGAATAGAAAGCGAGGTAGCGATCATCGTCTTCTGAATCGATCTCCTTGAAGTGGTGCTTGATGATAAAGTCTACCAGAGATCTGAATTAATTGGAAACAAAATGGTTTATTCTGAGGTCATTTTGAAATATGGATTGACTGGGTATAAAAATACACAACACAAAATTTGTACACTAAGATATAAACACAGCCAAATGGAATAATGATATTACGATGTTCACAAAAAAATATTAGGATCCTTATAATCTGTAATGTTAAAATAATATTACAGAATTTCACTTTTACTGGAAGCCCACTGTGACACAATGCCTATATATCAACACTTTCTACAACACTCTAAAATCCACACCTAAGTAAGTCGATTTCTCGATTCTTGGCTAGAATCTCCAGAGATCCTATTCGGAACCACGAGGGCGCCAGTCTCAGAACCACAGCTGCCTTCTCCTGTCTGGGGTTCCCGTCATAGAACTGGTCTCTCCATATCGGGTCCTCACTCACAACAAGACTGCAAGGGAGATTGAAGAATCTTGTAATAATATTTGTTGACCTACCGGTAACAGGCATTCTTATCCAGTCAACATTAAAAACGAAACATATGTGTGTATTGTATAATCATGTTAAGAAGACATAAAACCATTCCTCAAACCATATCAGACATTGACATAGTTAGGATTCAGCAGCACTTAATTGAAAGAAAAAAAATGATTTCACATTAAGCTGGCTTCTACAGAAATAATATCAGAGTCAATTTCCATGAACATGCCTGTGTAAGTTGGTTCTGCTCGCTATTTATAAGGACCGCTATTAATAAAAGACCGCGCTATTCATTTAGTGGCGCGTTGTGAATGGCGGTCCTTATGAATAGCGGTTCTTATGGATAGCGAGCTTGACCCGTGTAAGTATGAGTAGGTTGATTATTTTAGCCATACATTTACATCATTTTTACCTTTACTTACAGTGTATTCAAGCCATTTTTTAAAACTTCCCATCAAGAGTATTCTTTTTCTTCTTCTATATACCTCTCATCCTTTTCCCATCAATCTTCCCTGTCAATACCAGATTCTCTAAACCTCCGTTAACTCCTAAGAACTACTCGTATTTCTTTACAGGAGTATAATATTGAAAGCTGATTTTTTTTTTCTTATTCTAAATCCAATATACCAGTAGCCTATGCAACCCAAATATACAGAGCAAAACATTTTTGGAAATCGGTCCCCTTTGAATAAATGTTGAACACATCTTTCTACTTAGCATTTGCATGATGGTGTGTATATTATATATCTTTACCTTAAAGCTCTAGATGTTGATACTCCTAGATAGAACATAGCTTCTGAGCCTAGGAATTCCCTCACCGATGACCGAAGCACCGCTCGACCATCGCCACGTCTGGAATATGGTGTCTTACCAGAACCTTTCAGCTGCAGCTCCCATCTTTCTCCATTCCTAATTAATGAAAATAAATGATTAAAGATCGCGATTAAAAAACACTTTCTATGAGAGAGAGAGAGAGAGAGAGACAGAGAGAGAGAGAGAGAGAGACACAGAGAGAGAGAGAGAGTAGATTCTTGTAGTCTATACTGGCTTTGGTCTAGGATGGAACAAACAGCTAGGGAACTGTCATAGTTGATCTTTAATTGTCACATACTGTACATGTGTCATACACAGAATACATGGTAAGATAATATTGAATCATATAAATCTATCTTAATCATTATATTAGACCGGGGTGTCACAATCAGCCAATTATCAGTCACTGCTTTATATAATAACAATAATAATAACAATATTTATAAAGCGCAACATAACCATCTCTAGAGATGCTCAAGGTGCATACAAATAATTTCAATTAATATTCAACATACTTAAGATTAAAGAAATATTAAATGTTAATAACTTACATTAGATCACACAACTTCATGGTGCCATGGTACATATAATGTGACACAGTGTGATTATTTGTTTTGCATGCATTGTATAAAAAGAATAGTGAAATTTAACAATATGCATTAAGCATCAGGTGAGTTTTAAGCCCAGTTTTGAAAGTAGAAAGAGTGTTGGGCGTCTGAATAGAAAAAGGTAACTTATTCCACAAAGAAGGAGCTGCTGATGCAAATGCTCTATCCCCCAATTTCTTTTGGTACATATTTCTTTAAGCCTAACATTATATACCCATACATGCCAACATTTGAAAATCAGAAATCTGTACAAATTATGCTATTTAAAAAAAAAAGAGGAACAATCCTAACTCTCCTATTCAATACTACAGACAAATTTGTACAGGAAGAGGAACACCTGCATTAAAATGATAATTATCTTCTCCCAAAAAGAGGAATGTTCCTCTTTAATCTGAACAGTTGGCATGTATGTATACCTACCTATTGATATATTCACCAAGAAGATGAGCTCTCCCATCTCCCAGCTGTCCAGACCAGCCCCCAAACTAGATTGGATAGATACAAAAGAATTTTACACTTTAGTTCCAGTAATTCTGCGGTTAGACGCAAATGTTATCCAGCAAATTCTAGCCTAACTAATCATTGACTAAAGAGACCTATTAATGCCCAGTAACAGTAAACACTAACAAATGTTGGTTGCCATGAAGGCTACATTATGGAAGGAATGTTCGGTCTAGATCATTAAACTAAGATTTAAAACTAAGAGGTTTAATGTTTTCCCCATCCCTCGAATACATAGACGTATGGGCATATTTTTGTCTAAGGGCCATGAGAGCCTCTTGCCTCAAAAATATATATCAATATCTCAAATATTGTGAGCGAGCCAGCGAGCGAGAAAAAGAAAAAAAATTACACTACATGAAATGTTTAATCATATATCCCCCCTCGTAGCTACGCCATTGTCTTCGGTGATGAAAAAAGGAAGCAAACAGATTTGGATGCTTGAGGTATCAAGAGGATCTCAGGATCTCAAGAATTATGAAAGAAAAAGAAAAAAATGTTTTTACCTGATGTCCCCCATATCGATGGGCTAGAGGGATAGATCCATCAAGGAATGTGTTTCCAGCAACAAAAGCCACAAAAGGTTCAGTCTCTGTCACAGATGGGTGCAGGTCTAACAGACCGGTTAACACATCTTCTGAATAAGCCACAAGCTTCGCCTTGTACCTGAGTGGAGTTGGGAGGACCTGAGAGAAGATAACATTCTGTACCTGTCTCACATAGTTCTCCTTGATGGGGTCGATTGGGAACGTCTCTAAAAATTGAAGAGAGATTGAAGGGATAATTATACTTAATAATTTTTTTCTTCTCACTTAATAATAATTAAAAAAACAGAGACTATACTGATAGTTGCTTTACAAATATATTGCATGTATAACTCACATTGCTTTTGCTTACAATTATCAATACCATCATCAATACTATCATTGACATATCATAACTGATCATCACCAGCACCACCTTCACCATCAATAACTCATAACAAACCATGTATCTTATTTATTAATTACTAACTACATTACTGTTTAAAAATAAAAATCCTTTTATGACATTTTAACTGGAAATTGCCCAACTACTTTCACTGGATAGCTTGAAATTAAAACGGATACACAGAAAAAATTGCCAATCATTATTGCATCTTACTAGTTGATCTACATGTACATTTATATGATATTCTCGTTAGGGCCACTACACTCTCATAACATGGATTAAAATAAATTGCATGTCAAATGAAAGCTCATGATCTCAAGAAAGTGAAACGTGTCATACATCTTTTCCCCCAAAATAAATATGCACAATCAGACACTTACAATTGAATCTTGGTGCCTCCGAACAAACGAAACCGAACGCATACAAACTGGATGCTTCGATGATACGTATATAGCAATTGAAGCAATGCCACTTCTGGATTCACACAACGCCATTAACACAAGCTAGACGATCGATGGCAGCCATATTATCATCAATGTTAATGATTTAATTATCATTCATAAAATGAGTGAAATTAGGCCAGACAGTAACTTTATGACATTGTCAAAAAGATCCATGTTTACTCATGAAAACGCCAACTGAAATCCTAAAATGATTGTAATTTCTAATTAAAAACACGTATTTTACATGTTGACAATGTTTGATCGTGAGTGGGTAGATTCCACCGAGGTAATCATCGCGAATTAAGAACTTGTTTACTAGACAAGACAGCATGCAGAGATAGCAGTCGGAAGCCGGTGGAGAAGACATGTTATAGGAGTAATTTCGATCGAAAAAGGCTAAAATAGGTAATATTTACAACAAAGATTGTTGTGAAATTTGTTTCAAGAAGCCTCTACTGACCAATATACTACAAAAAAAAAAAACACTGAGCGATGTTTTATTTGATGTGATTTTGAGCATGAATGCATGACGGACAGGCAATAGCGATCGGAAATACATATTGTGTTAATTTTCAATGATTTCTTTCATCTGTATAATTTCTTCCGTCAGTTTTATAAGCAACATTATCCTTTCTTATTTCTTAGTTTCTCTTTATCTAATTCAAAGAACATACATCATTGCATAGAAATTTAAACAATCAAAACATGCAACAAACTTAGAGCAAATTAAGCCATATACTATAGTGCAGGTAACGAGCTTTTGTTTATGTTTTGGGGACATGCTACAATTGCCTACGTCACATTATTTTGGTCGTTTTATTGGGCGATAAAATGAATTATGAATTATTTTTTGTTTTTACGTCTTAATTATTTACAAATCTGAAATAATTTCTTCCAAATTCTTAAGGTCATAAGCTTTCAATTGATATAATAGCTATAGTTTACATAATAGAATGGCTGCTTTGATTGGAGAAAAAACAACACAGAAATCGTATCATCATCATCACCACTACCATCATCATCTTAATTCATCATCATCATCACCATCATCATCGTCAGCATCATCACCACCACCACCACCATGCCATCATCATAATCATCCATTATCATAATCATATGTCTATATCGTCGATCGATGATCGATTGATGATCATTATCATTTTATGAAAGTTTATATTAATATATACGCACCAAACAGCTGATGTTTACTGGGGAAACGCCATTGAGAAACACTGGAAAAAAGGGAGTTGAGACTTTTCTGCTTGTTCTGGTTGTAAATTGCTCCAGGTTCTAGATGGTTATGTTCTTCAGCTTCGAGTTCTAGTTCAAAGAGCTCATCTTCTTTAAGGCAAAACTGATCTGTTGATTCGAAGTACACCTGCTTGTTGCAATTTTGATGCCTAACTTTCTGATTACTGCAACATTTAATCGAACATAACAATAGTATACTTACTACAGTAATCAGATATCTCTTCATTTTGATTACTGACTGTATCTAACGCACGCGTACATACTAATGCACTTGCAATGGCCATAGACCAATCAATGGATCTATCAGTAGACTTACTCCACGTACATGTAGGCGGGCGCTTGGGTTATGGGGAAAATCCCCTCCTAAAGTAGTCTGATTTCAGACCCGCTTTTTCTCTTGCTATTATAGACACACGGATTCATTGTAGTGGCGGCAACTATTCAGTTACAATCCAAAATTATCAAGAATGTGATATTGATATACAATTAATTTCTGTAAAAATTCTTGTGCAAATCATGATGCCGAATATGATTCATGACCATGAAAATAATTATTTCAATAAGAAGGAGAGAAGAAATCAAGATGATAATGATGATGTTGAATATTTACTACACCGGCAGCGGCCTTTTGCCTTTCCTGCACACTCTACCACTATTATTCCACCCTGGCTATTTAGTCGAAGATGTCAAGATCCAAGATGATGAAAATGATGCAGATAGGCCTATTTATGCATGGTAGGCCTATGCTGAGGATGAAGAAGTTAAACTCAGGAGCGGGTTTATAATTGTGTAAAAGAGGGGACAATGTTATATTGTTTGATTTATATTTCTATTTTCTTACAAGGTACTGTATATCTTTTGTTCGTTTTTAGCCTGGGGGGGGGGGGGGAGGGGAAGTACTCAGATTTGGTTTGAACAGGGGTGTGCCGCTCAAGCCTCGAAACCCTTACCCATTTTAAAGGGTCGATTGGGGGGATTTTTCCAGAAGTAAAGCCCATTTCTCACTATTTTGAAAAAGTGGACCCGTGTTTAGGGATATTTTTGTTAAACATGGGACCGGCATGTTTAGAGATTTTTGTGAAAAAGTGACCCATTAGAACGGCACACCCCCGTATGTCTTGATATGTGAGAACTCCCACAACCTCCCCCCCCCCCCCTTGGATTTTTAGACTTGTTTACTAAATGTATGTAAAATACAGGTATCTAAGGGGGAGGGGCGCAGCATGTACAGTCTGGTTGTGGCCCCTTAATTTGCCAGTGGTAGTCCTATACTGTTTATGAGGTTCATTATACAAAATGCCTCAAATCCATTATTTGCATAAAATTTCTATTGGTTATATATTTACATGATATATTGTTTGTGCAAATTTGAGGGGGGGGGGGTTCAAATATTTGTTTTCCCTAGAAAGTAGTCTTTAGTTGTTATTTGTTAGTTTATGATTTTAAAAAAAGGGCTGATCAATGTTTGCTCTTTTAGGCAGTATCTTTTATATTTCATTTTAATGACATGGTTGCTGGGGGCACCTGCAAGCTCTTTATATATTTATAGGCCTTCACGGCCTTGGAGGCTCAGCACAAGGATGCAGGCGCAGATCCAGGATTTCTCAAGGGGCCCATTTTTTTTTTTTTTTTTTTGCTCCCGAAAATTTGAAATTTTGCACCCCCCCTTGAGCGCCAGGGGGGGGGCCATCCCCCCAAAACGCTTTTGTTTTTTCCCCAGGGCGGGGGGCCCGGGCCCCCCCCCCCTGGATCCGCCACTGCAAGGATACATAGCTACATTTTAGGTACCCGTCTGCAGGAGACTTAATTCACCCTCTCTAGACTATATATTTATCAATTTCGGGAAATGCTATTCACGGTCTTGGCCACTGGACCCGTGAAAAGATTGATTCTAAAACGCCAGTTTCATTAGACTACGGTAATTTCTGTGGCGAAATTTCTCAAAAACTCCTGTAAACTACAACTACTAAAGGATCTACATTAGTACAGCTGGTAGTGGTAGTGCACACGACGAACGAAAACAAGAACTGTTTCTGGCTTCTAGCAGGTAAATTTACTTACTTTAGTGTAATGAATGTGGATTGATACATTTTTGAAAACTATCCTGTTCAAATGTTACCATGAAAATTTGGAAAAGCCGCTGCGAAAAATGTATTTGTGTGTATTCATTGGCCCTATAAATTCTATCGTACACGTCATTGAGATGAATGTCATTTGGCTAGAGTCGCAAGTCTGCTCGTGATGCTATGATTGAGTGCATGCAGCATGCAGTTGCGTCCCCGGTATTTTTGTGAGGTGATCATACATGATGTACAGTATGTGAGAAGAAAGACCAGTGGCATTATTGTGTACATGAGTGATGAATGCATATTATTTTTTGCAGCTGTAGATCTGCTGCCAGAGTCAGAAGAATGTTGTAATACTGAGTGACAATAATGTCGATGACACATAACCTCGTCTGGTTATTCAGTGAAAAAGTCAAATGATGTCCATATGTCAATAAAGACGTGTGGTCATCAAAAATTGGATTTTGTAATTTTTAAGAAAAAGGGTTTTAAAAAGTTATGTTCTTAATCTTTCCGAATTGAATCGTTTATCAATATCCTGGCAATATCATTCTTATGCAATAAACGGTGGTATTTTTTGCTGGAATGGTTTTAGTCACATCAGGAAATCATCCTCATTCAATGCTAAACAACCAGATAGATTACCACCCAAGACGAAAATCCAATTGAAACCAATTGAACCCCAATTGAATTTTCAATTGGTTTTAATTGGGTCTCAAGAGGTTCTAATTTTAACAGGTTTCAATAGGACTTTAATAGGACTTCAGTTGGTTTCGATTAGTCCAGATTGGCCTTATCGGACAAATTGGCCTAGACCAATTATAATGTACATGTAGGTTGCATTATAATCCAAGGTGGCGGCCCGCATGTTTTGCCTCTGCTCTTAGACCAATATTATTTATTTCAAAGTCATGAAAAGGCACTAAATATCAAGAAACATGGTCTACAACATCTCCAAATGACAAAATAATCCCAGCCATGAATTTTTTTTTGAGCATTTGATAGCCAAAACTTGAAAATTTTCGTCATATAAAAAAAAAAAAAAAAAAAATCAGCCGATTTTTTGTCGCTCTTCCGATCCGATACCGATCAAAGGTGCGAGGGTGTCGCTCCGATTTTCCGATGTTGATATATTTGGATGCCCCTGTGGAAATATTATATGCACTAAAAAATTTAGCCCCTAAACTACTTCTGCTTTCGAGAAAAATTTAATATTAAACTTTACTGGTGCTCCCAGTAAATTTTAATACATTCCAAATAGCGCCTACGGCCGTACAAAGGTAGCTGCGACCATGAAAATCTTAGAATATGTAGTTGTGATATATAATTTCGGAAAGGGAACAACTAATCAGTAGATTTTAGACAAGAAACATTGTTTTATAGCTTAATTGACCTCGAGAGGGAGCTATATAACATAAAGAGTTTATTAATTACAATTTCATAACTTTAGACTCGATTTCAACCGCGACAACAATCACTGAATATTGTAGGACCGCATATGCGTCCAATATATTCATTTGAACCAAATTCATGACCCCATACAAACTTTGTATTACCTTTAACTACACTGTATATTGATGGTGTCCCTAAAGAATTTCAATCTGTAAGTGTATTCAGAAGGAATAAACATTTGAATTAATCATTGAATTACTTAATATGAGACTTATACTGTTTTCACACTGGCAATATTTTGCTTAACCCCGTACTATAGGTGGGGTTAAGGGGGGTCTTAGCCCCACCTATAGTACGGGGTTAAGCCTATTCCACCTTCTGTTCAGACTGGCTTTTACCAAAGTGGGCTAAAGTTGGCTAACCCCACCTATAGTACGGGGTTAACTAACCCTGCAAAATAGCAGGGCTAACTCCGCAATTGTGGTGCTAACTCCTGCTAACCCCGCAATTGCGGTGCCAAGCAAATGAATGAGAACAGAAACGAAAAATAGTCCGGTACTACGCAATGGAGCGTATCGCAGCTGGCCAGATGCGAAGTATGTCCAATCATAACATTCACGATATCCGGGGTTAACGATTTGCAGTGAGAACAGCGTGAATTTTCTTATTCCGGAATAGGCGCTAGTACGGGACTAAAAACAGCGTGTGTGAAAAGCCAAAAAAAATAGTCCGGGGCTAAGCAAAGTACGGGGTTAAGCAAAACCAGTGTGAAAAGAGTTTTATTGTGTGATCTTCTTGTTGAACAGGGTGACATGGCTGCCTCGGTTTGTGAACTTACCTTATTTTTTCTTGGATTTTGATGGAATATTGACTTTGTCGCACCTACATGTACAGTACTTTTTAGAGTATAAGGAGTAATGTACCTGTAAATTATTTCGGGAATATAAAGAAAATCCTTGTTAAGTTTGAAGTCAAATCATAGGAACATAAACATAGGGACTCTAAATTCAACATTTAGTGTACATACATGTACATGTACATGTACAGTGTATTTAGTTTTAATATTTGAAATTGTACTCATTAGGAGTCATAACTGCCAAAACTCATATTCCTGAACTACGACAATTCCCCCACCCATCCTTTGGGATAATTACTGCTTAACCATATTCAAGCTTATCTGGAGTGCAATGAAAATATCTATTTATTCTCATTAGTTTATCATCCATTACCAGTACAGCTGTAGGTGTTGTTTTTTTATAGAAAGAAAAAATAGAAAAATACTACTTTACTCTGAAAAGCATGATTTACAATTAATATTTCTTTGCCAAGTACTAAATATTCAGTTATTAATTTATACCAAAATAATTTGGCAGCGATCACTTACTTGCAGTCAAGAACATGCAATGTAAGATTTGATTGGTTCTGTTAGAATGTATTTCCAGCATTTAATACAATTTCTAAATGTTCTTTTGAATGTACTAAAATATTACTAGAAAAATATCCATATATGAAAACTTAAGAAGTGGGTCAAAAGTATATGTCATGTGTTTATGGGCATTTGCTTTGTTTTTCATGGATAACACAATATTAATGTATACTTGATTCTAGCCATTTTCCCATTGACATCATAACATGTACATGTGATACATGTGTATCGATGTCTGTCATTTAGGAAGTATTACAAAGGACTAAGAAAGAGAGAGAAACAGAGAAAAAAGAAAGACACAGAACTAAAGAGGGGAGAGAGAGATAGTACTGTGGAAATACACATGTACACAACTACATTGTGCATACCGGTACATGATTACATGATTACATGTACCCGAGCCAGACCTACATTAATGTACAGCCTACTGAGCCTACATGTAGACATAATGGTGGCTTATGAGATTCTCAGATCCTACAGCACATAGCATGATAATCTAATAATCTTGTATTAGTTATTTAATGGTGTTTGAAATGTCATATCTATTGTGTACTTGTAGCGTTGACAATGACACAACACTCTAGGTCAAACTTGTTAACCATTGGGTGAGTCATTCACTGAGCATAAAGCTTGTAGGCCTATAAGATGGTAAATATTGACCTTTTCTTCTAGTAGGAGATGCACAATGGTATGTTATTTTAAGCTTTGAAGGTGATCTTTATTTGTTTTATCAAGCTGAATAAAAACAAGGTGCGTCTAAAATATATTACAAATCCTCATATTTCATACCACTATCTCTACACAGAAGGTCATGATAGAACAATGATGCAATCATAGGTATACAGTACATGTACATGTACATGTAGGACAATCTATTAGTAATATAAATACAATAAATGTTTTGCAAATCACATATTTTCCTCAAACTTATGTAGCAAATACATGTAGGTAAATACCTCTTCAAACTTTAAGATGAAAGTTAATTGGATTCTTTGAATAGACTTTTTGCTTGTAACTTCCTTTACAAGGCATTCTAGACTTTTTATTATTCCTCACATAACGATTAGGATTAGACTGAAAATCCTTGTTATGGAGATGGAACAAAAATACAGCTAAGCCAATGCTTTGAGCTCCTTGTGTGTAGTGCTAGTGGCTTATGGTTCTATATCATGTCCGTGGTGTAGCCATGATGATTAGTTTTTCATGCATGAAGCTCTATTCAGGAGTCCAGGGGTTCCCAATAATTCATGTTTTTCTCATGCAGTTTGTGTTTATTTCCGTTCTTCTGATCCTTCTGTGTATCTGAAATATACATGTATGGGCAAAACATAAAGTTTTCAATGTCATTTTCTTTGCAAGAAGACCACTTCTTCATTCATTTTTTCCTCTCTTGTTCTCCTTCTTCTTCTCCTTCTTCTCCTTCTTCTCCTTCTTATTCTCCTTCGTTTCCTTCTTCTTTTCCTTCTTTTCCTTCTTCTCCTTGTTTTTGTTGTTGTTGTTATTCTTTCTCTTTCTCTTTCTCTTCCTTTTTTTTCTTCTTTCTTTTTTTCTTCTTCTTCTGCTTCCTCTTTCTCTTCTTTTATCCTTTTCTTTTTCTCCTTCTCTTCTTTCTCATTCTTTTCCTTCTCAGTTCTGCTCCTTTGTCATCTCCTTTTTATACTCTTCTTCTTCCAAACTTATCGACCCACTGAAACGACAAGTAAGGATGACACATTGACATACATGTAGGTCATATACATGTAAGTACAGTTATAACGGGAGGTGTTCCCATTTGAAAATCAGTGTTTATATACTTTTGAAAGAAATTAAAGCTACCGGTTCATGTATCTAAATACTGAAAATATTATTTCAAGGTATAACTACATATGTAGAGATGTAGTTCCTGTACAAAACAGTATTAAAACACTGAAAATTCTTTGGAAAACTATTTTAAAATCCTATTTTGAAATTTGCTTCATGTACACATGTCAGTTGCTGCCTTGTCTTTTTACAAAACATTTCAAAATAGGATTTTAAAATAGTTTTCCAAAGAGTATTCAGTGTTACCTTTTGTTTCCCTGCTATCATAATTTGTAGGGAATCTCAGCAGCTGACAATTTATCTCTTATGTAATCTCTGATAAATGATTTATTCTAAATTTAAACTGAATGCACATTTGAAATTCCGGGTACCTGGATTTGACATGAATAGGGTGTATCTTCTTTTGTACCATATTACAATTGAGATAACCCAATTTGTGCTATGTACAATGCACTACATGTTGTATCTTCCCATTACCCCACAGAAAATTGTTCAATGTCTACATGTAAAAGCTATAATGAAATCCACAGTTTCACTGACTGTACATGTAATGTCAAATTATCCTTGAATTCACCTTAACACATCATACATATGTATGTTAGTTTGTCAGGCATACCTCAGGTAAACTTTCATTATCCAGGGCATATTTGGTTCAATGAAAACATTGGAATAGAATTTGAATGCATTGTTGATACAGGTATATAGCGATATGTACTTTGATATTGCTGCTATCGTACCTGTTATAATTTGTACCGGTAATGCATTAATTTTTTTTTTTTTACCCATTGTAGCCCCATTGCTATTTATACAAACCTTCCTCTTTACATGGCCGGTATGCGTCTGTCTGAGTACATGTACTTGAGTCTTGGAGTCATAATAAGTGCATTTAGTTTCCATCCATTGATGCTTGAATTGCACCTGTGTGTCCTACATGTATAACTGCATTTATATCATGGGGCACTGGGCATACACTACTTTGTACTTTAGGATTGCAGTTAGTAGCTTTTACATGTAGTTTAGTCCTCCTGTTTGCAAGAAAATACAGATTTTGTACAGTTTTTGGTTTTAATTGGATGTACATGCATCATTCTGCGTAATTTCACAGATACTCATGCATACTGGGTATGATTTATTATGAAATAAACAAATATATAAATACATACAGAAATACACAAAATAATGGTAATTTCGAGGACCCATACATTGCAAAGGATGGATATTATATACATGAGGAATGCATAATAGCATTGACACGCAAGTAATGTTTGCCTATATATTTCCAATGAATTTAGCTTCCTGCTGATTTCTTGGATGAGAATTTTGGGAATCATAATGCACTCACTCTAATTGCTCTCTCTTTTGAGTGCAGAGACTAGAGAAAAACTAATGTATAAATGTGCATCCATATAATTGATCTGTTAATTTTAGAATGCTTCTGGTATTTGATGACCATAAGTCATAATGATCGATAATGGACTTTGGTTGATTATCAGTGTAGATAGGATTTTAATGGATTTATTATTACCAAAGCCATGACATTTGAACATGCATCATTAAACAAAAGTGAACAAGCGAAATTTGTGAATTGGTTGTGAGGATAAAGTTTCCTTCACACATTTATGCATATAATAGGCATGGAAGCATCAAGCTTCTCCACTTCTTTAATACAATATTTGTGAACACCCTGTACATGTATTTACATTTAAATGATGTACATGTACGTATTGAATCAAGGATTTACTGCATGTGGGCAACTTTTAGGCAAGTATTAGAATCCTTTTAATTTGTGGCAAGAAAAATTGTACAAAGTATTGTTTTTTAAGAGGTAGGCTACATGTATACTTGTAGGTATACAAAGACAAATGATAATGATAATGATGTTTTTTACCTAGAAATGATTGATAAATATTTAGAATGTCAAAAGCTTTAATGTGAAATTTCAGCTAATTTATTATTTTTTAAACAGAGAGAGAGAGAGAGAGAGAGAGAGAGCCGGATACATGTAGAAGAAAGAGACTAAGTTGTAGTTATACTGTAATATGCAGTTGATTGTATTTTGACATTTGAAGTGTGTGCATTGAACAACTCTATGTACATTTGTCGGTAGTACTCATAATGCAATAAAGAACAAAGAAGGGATAAAATGCCTGCATGCAGTAGTTATTTACTGTGTAATGTCTTATCTTGAGAGCCTAGAATATCCCCTAAAGAACCTTTGATATTTCAGACTTTTCGTAAATTGTTTGTTCTCAGAGCCCCAGAGACGTCATTTCTTGAGCTACAGTGTAAATGTAAATGATTGTTTAGTATTTCTTTTGGAGCTTGTTCTCATGGCGGTCTGATTGTACTTGTGATAGTTGTGGTCTATGGACTCTGTATGATATACACTCTTGCCTACTGCCTAAAAGGTTTTGGCACTTCGATTCGGGCAGGGGCATTGGAAGGAGTCCATTGACTGATCAGGAGCTACCTGTAGTTTCTTTGTTTCAGCGTCCATTGCAAAGTTTCCGGTCGCTATCGGGCAGGTGTCGGGCGGCTATCAGGCGCAACTCGAACTACGGTTATTGGAAAGCGGGTGCGGCTCGAAATGCTTCAGCTAAGCGTTTCAGGCTTTTGGCCATCCCGATGCCAAAACCTAATAGGCAGTTTCATGTACTGTATGTAGTGTCTTTAAGTTTATTGGCTTTTTTTCAAATCAACTACACTGGCAGAGGTTGAGTTGAAGGAGCACATGTATGCTTTCCTGGCTCAAAACCCAATCTGGCAAATATTAAATTAGAAAGGAGGGTGTTCTTCCTTTAGGTACATGTCAGAGAATTAATTTGTAATATAATGATACAAGGAATTAAAACATAAAAACACTTGTTATTCTCAGAGAATATTTTAGTTTAAAAAAACGGCCTAAATTGTGGTGACCCTTTAACTGTTTCATTTTTGGGTCGTCACACATTTTGTTCTCCCCCTTCCTCCAACCACCCCCTCCACCACCATACCCCCCCCCCCCCCCCACCACCCCCCCCCCCCCCCCCCCCCCCCCTCCACCCTCTGGATTCTGGATAACATCACTCTATACATATCGTGCTGAGCTGAGTGCCTTTTGAGTGCCAATTGAAATGCACTTTAGGCTGTTGTGTTGACTGAGAAATAATAATTATGTACTGTACAAGTAGTGTATACTGTATTGCTGTAGACAGATTTTCAAGGAAAAGTCTATCCTGATATAATCCACTTCAGAGATATATCGCTCACAATGTACCAATGGCCCCCAAATATCCACTGATCTTTTACATATTTTGTGTGCATTTTAGAATATAATCACTGCCAAAGTAATGGAGGCCGTGCTTCATGAATATCTTTTGTTTGCCTAGCTCTTGAATAGAATACTTCCACCTGTGTATCATCATGTATCATGGTGCGTAAATGAAAAATGATTACATAAATGTCATGAACATGTGTCCAGTACCGTAGTCATCTCCATGGGTTTTACAGTTTTGTACAAATGACATTTATCTGCCCATGCGCAAAGAGAATCTCCAACGTGGCTTATTAAAGGCTGCACAGGTGTAGCTTGGCAAATACTGGTTAACGCCATTTATGTCTTCTTTTAAACAACTGCACGTAAACGAATAGACTTGATTAACGGTAGTCAGCTACTTGATCTCTACATGCATGGTCAGCGTCAGCGAAACAGACTGAAGTTCCCCTCATGCCTCGGTTTCACATATTTGTTGCACTCGCGTGATTTCTGCGACTGTGTCGTCCGTAGTTGTATTATACCCGATTTGCCCCGGGTCAGGCCACGGGAAAGACACATAGTCTCGTCATATCTACACTCCCTTTGAAAAGAAAAGAAATTCCTTGTGAAAAAATTACACATGGCACATATTCCCTCCATGTGTTTGGAAAAATTTAGAAAAAATATTTAGTAAAAGTTTAGGAAATTTTTAAAGAAAGATAAGAAACATGAGCAAATTGTACACTGTGATTTAATTTGTGTGCACTACTTTCATTTTATTCCTGGGAAATGGATGAAATGATAAATTCATTTCATGAGGAGATACGTGTACATAATCTAGGGCACAGGTTAAGTGAAATATATTCTGCGGAGACATTTTTTTTTTACATTCTACATGTATATTATGAAAGGCTTGAAAATGATGCACAGACTTGCCAATCTGTGTTTTATTGATTTGATTGTTTACAACAACTCAAATCGTACTAACTCATCTATTTCTCAGACTTTTTTCTTGTCAGTTACTATACAAACCACATTTTTTATCAAGGTGAGCTTCCCCTTATGGTGTGCATTACCCTGCATTGTTATGAACACTGAAGTAGAGGTTACCTAAAAGTACATATACATGTATACATGTGCACATAGATAGTCAATGTTGAAATCATTTAGATGCTTCATGTACATGTATACATGTGCACATAGATAGTCAATGTTAAAATCATTTAGATGCTTCATGTCGGCCACTTATCCCTCCGTGCATGCACTGTACTTCACTCTTTTGGTTTAATATTCAATGCCGTTTATATTTGTATGCCTGGATGTTATTTATTATATTGAGATACAGTGTGTTCTCTGTCAATGTTAACATTAAATTTCTCACCATTTATTCTCCCCCTCTCTCTCTCTCTCTCTCTCCTCATTTTCATTCTTCAAATTCTACAATTTTTCCCATCTTCTTCATCATTTTCATCCTTCTCCTCCTTCTTCCCCTACTCCTCCTCTCCCTGTTCTCCTTTTCTTCTCCTCCTGATTCATCTCCTCGTAATTCATCATCATTATCTTTATTTCTTCTTCTTCTACTTCTTCTCCTTCTTCTCCTTCCTCTTCCTCTTCCTCTTCCTCTTCCCCCTCCTCCTCCTCTTCCTCCTCCTCCTCCTCCTCCCCCTCCCTCTCCCCCTCCCTCCCCTGTTTTGTTCTGTACCTTCTTGTACAGGCAGGCTTTAATTAGAATCAACCCTTCACTCTGGTTTCAACAAGACAAGAAGCTCAGCTTCACGCCGCCGACCTAACCATGTGCTGCAATATCTGAATAACATGAGGCAAACAAATCAAGCCATCTTCTAATAACTCATCGATTTAACGCAATCTGATCTTGGAACTCGATGCAGACTGAAAAATGAAATCTCTAGCTGTGTACGAACAGTGCTTGTGTAAATCACGAACAGTGGCAACGCAAAAGATGGAGGGTATAAGGAGAAAATGTTGTGGATGTTCATCAAGGGCTACTGGTTTGACCTTGGACTGGAGGTCATATTGGGGTCAAAAGGTCACAATTCTTGTATTCATGATGGTGCTATCGATTTTACCAAGTAAGTACAAAGATTTTTATTATATTTTTCTTCTAAAATGTATGTATTATTTGTGGTGTATGACTATGGGAGGTAATTTTAAACCCATTGCCAATAGGAACTGGGTGGCTCATGTATTAAAGCTTTTGGGATTGAGAGAATTCAGAAGTCATTTAAGGTTCAGTGTTTGAGATTTGTCTCTTTTTTTCTATGTTTTAAAATAGTAATGTATGTTGGAATCTATAGTTGGCACGCTTTAAATGAATAATCTATGTTGATTTTGATTAAATTTGTTAGTATGATTTTCTGCATTTGGAATTTTTCAAAAGATCATTAAAAAAAAGATATTTTCCACTCGATTCAAATCATGTGACATACTTTTTTAAACAAAAATATCTCTCCCTTTAACTTTTTTTTTTTTTATCTGTTTGTCTCCTCACAGATTCCATTGATGGGTCATGCATAGCAGGAGAAAAAAAGGAAGGCTATGTACCCAGCGATGTGAATACATTAAACACCTACAATCCCCATTCAGAGATTTACTCGTTGGATGAATGCATTGACTTTTGTTGCCGTTCAGATGCGTGTGATATGGCATGGATGGTAGAGGATAGCTGTTATTCTGTGCAATGCGTCAGTGAGGAAACGTGCCAGTTCCGAGAAAGCACAGAATTGCAGAGGGACTTCGTGGTAGTCAAAATTACCCACCAACTAGGTAATCAATTTCTTTGATATATTACTTCTCTTTTTGGAGTATGATTTTAAAAAGATTGTTCAAGTTCGCCCATCTCTATGACCCGTTCTCATTCACTTCGTTGGAGCGGTCTAACTAAGACCCGTTCCTCAGGAGCGGTTCTTAGGTGAGTGAGAACGGTCAAAGTGGTCCAGGAAGTGGACTTCTGGACCGCTCCAGAAGACCACCTCCGGAGGTGGTCTTGAGGAACGGGTCTTATTAAGAGCGGTTTGGACCGCTCTAACGTGCAATGTGAACGGAAGCGTACTTTGAGCGGAAGTGAGCTAGTGACGTTCCGTGCGAAACGTGTAGAACGGTACATAAGGTTTGTATTCCGCGCGCAAAAAAATTGACCTGCTGAACTGAGCTGCCATAGCAACAAGACCACTTTGACTCGTGGAGCTGTTTGAGCCATAAAAAACTGCTCGGAGTGTGAACGCTCACAAACCGCTCCTCAAGACCCGTTCCTCTGGAGCGGTCTAACTAAGACCACTTTCAAAGTGAGTGAGAACGGGGTCTATGAGCATTACCGATACAAACAATGGAAGCTCACAATGCAGTGCCGCCATCAGCGGCTATACCGCGCCAGTAGTATCCGGTGTGCACGCTGCCGCGCCATATCTGCTGGAGCTAGAGGCGATCGCAATGGGTGGTATGATCTGTCTAGCATATTGAGAAGATGAGGAAGACCAAAGGTGTTGTGGAAGGATATGGTAAAGACTAAAGAAGGAATGCAATAAGGTTGCTCTCAATTGTGAGGAGAAATGTGCAGAACAGGAAGAAATGGAGAGAATGTCATCACAGAATGAAAGTCAAAAGTCAGGTACCCCATGTAACTTGTAAAGTTGTAAAAAGGAAACTGCTGTCATGAATAATGATGATGAAATAGCAAAGAATTTCATTTCGTTTATTTCATTTCGTTTATTTCCATTTCCAACAAAATAAATAAAGTACATAGGATTGCATTGTACATAGTAAAACAATGAAACTTAACAATATATTTGTAATTGGTCCACAGTGTACAATAGGCATATAAAACAGGTTGGTCATGGAGGGGCCTCCTGAAAAGCTGGGCTTGTAGATTGCAGCCCCCTATAACTTATAGTTGCAAAAATAGTATATCAATAATAAAGGAACGCACAAATACATAAACCAATTAAACATAACATAGAAGGAGTGAAAGGGACAGGGAAAGAAGGGAGACAATGAGAGAGGGCAGGGCTCTTACCTACCTATCATGTATAACACACACAACACAACACGGGCCGACTGGAATACGAATGGCCGGTACAAAATGAATCAAAATATCCAAATGTATTTCATTGAATTAAATAAATTTAAAGAGAGAGAGCTAACGCTTGATAATTACACAAAAAATATTTCTTTAATTTGAATTTAAAAGAATTTAAACTGGGGGCATTCTTGATGCTAACATCGAGAGTGGTCCATAGCTTCGGGCCTGCGTAAGTGAATATGGATTTAGCAAGTATAGTTCTAGTTAATGGCAGATGAAATTCGTCAGATTGGCGCGTAGGGTATTTGTGTATTGTTTTATTTTTGATGAATATTACATTGAAGGCTGATGGTAGCCTATTATTATTTAACTGGTACATAACTGGTACATAAACATAAATTTAGGAGTATCATGGGTTCTAATTCAATGGAAATTTGTATAAAAAAAGAGCCCCTGTCTTTACTAAAATTGATACCAGTAATCAAGTGTTTTCTATGACAGTTATATCATACAGTTACATTATTTATATTCTAATATGAATTCTGTTGATTTAATGGGAAGTATTACCAGCAGTAGTGATTTTTACTTTGCAACCTACACCCGTATTAAGTGCAAACAAGCTGAAGTCCCACAATCTGCCTGCCTGCCTGGGAAATCACAGCTGTGAGATTGGCCATATGGCTCATGAAATTCGACCTTCCAACAGCGGTCTACCACCATTTCTATTTCGTGAAAGCTCTTGATGGACTTCAATCAATCATGTTCATGTGCTTGGGTGATAAGCTTACAATTGGCTTTATCTAAATTTATTTTAACACATCCGGTGTTACATGTGTGATTGAAATAGTTGGTGTGATTGGACATGTACATGAACATTAGTGCTTGTTCAAGTAATTTTGCCAAATTCGGCCCCCAACCTAATTCCTACAATATGTGTATTTTTATAGAAAGTTTGGATGTTGCATTAATTCCCATTCTTTTCTAAAGTGTGTGTCAAAATATTATATCTTATTCATTTTATCTTTGAAAGTAATTTTACAAGCGTTATAATAATTGCGATTTTCAATCTTTTCCATAAACCAATCAATTCAATTCAATCCAATCATGTTTGTTTATTACTGACACGTGATCGATATTGATTTTTCTATTTTCTTGAGGAATCAGTGATTTTAATCTCTCTTGTACATAATGTAAAAAAGCTGTCATATTTATACTCATATTTTATCTCAGAGTTCTATCAAATCATTGTATCCCCATGATACATGTAGTATCAACTCACAATGATTGGAAAAATGAAGACATACATGTACATCTGTACAAGTACATGTATTGTACGATGTAGATACATGTATTTATGATAATATTAATAATATTTGGTTCTTGTATAGTGCATATCACATTATATAACGTCTCTCGGAAATCTTTGGAAATTATTACCCTAGCTTTAGCTCTGGCAGCCATTATCACCGCACAGTGCTGTGCATGTCAAGGAATAATCCTACCTAGAACCCATTTACCTCACCTGGGTCGAGTCTGGCAAACGTAGATTAATGTCTTGCCAAAGGACATTAGTGCCGCGGTGGGACTCGCACCGCGAACCTTGTAATCGACAGTTCGGTGACAAATCCACTCGACCACGACACCTCTACCTTTATCTTCCTGCATCTCACAAATCGTATACATGTCATACTTGTACATGCACATGTACATCTGTACATGTACCTGTATCTGTTGTAGACCTGCACTATTATTGTACATCAGCTGGCATATTGGAAGTGGGCTATTATGTGATATACATGTATATCAAGATCAAATATTTGTTTGATATTTAGTTCGTTTGTAATCATTTATATTGTTCTCCCTGTACCATGAAGGATGTAAATATACTGGTATCAGGGAATGTTTACATTTCAGAACAAAATTTAAGCTTTGTTTAATACCACATGCTGCCTCACAAAGAATACTATTGACATTATTCATTAAAGCAAACTTCATTCTCTAGACAGTAAACAGTATGTTTGTACAAACAAGGACATGTACATGTACATGTACAGTGTAGGCATATGTTTACAATGTTTTCAATTCCCAAATTGATACCCATTTTTGTTGTTGGTGTATTCATGTTAAAGAAATCTTTTTTATAAGTCCACTATCAGCTGTTATATGTTATAAAAAACATTCCAAATTGCTAGATAGTAATATGATAAATTTTGGTTCTCCAGACATCCTAAATGTAGGTTGGTGTTTTTTGTTGTGCTGTAGACAATGATTCAGTTTACACTTCAAAACAAAGGAAAACTATGTTAACATACCCTACGTTTAGATCAAAGTTTTTTCTGTCAAAATGTGTGATATTAGAGAGAGCTACATGTACATGTACATGTACATGTATAGGGCTGAGCTTTTGTAACTTGCGAGCTTTCTCATTTTATGTCAGTCAGTTTGAAACAGTGGCTGATCTAAGGTGGGGGCATGGGGGCCCCGGGCCCCCATTCCAGACAACTAAAATAGGTTGTTTTAAAGATGATAATGACAATTTTACCTTTTAAAAAAGAAGAAGGGCCCCAACCCCTTGGAAGAAAAAGTAGCTATTTTATTTTTGTTTTACTCAAGGGGGGGGGGGGGGGGGGGGTGTTGCGTAAAAAATAAAAAAATAGTGCTTACTTCTCCGGGATTCTCTGAATAGATTATGTACCAACATCCAGAAGGGAATGTATCCCGGGCCATAACGACTGCCAGTATACCGTATTTGCCGGCGATAAGGCCGTACCGCCGCATAGGCCGCAACCCCAACTTTGACATTTCGTAGAGAAAAAAAAAAAAAAAGAATAATTGTAATTTTCTTGTAGAACTCTATTTTTCCTACAAACTAATACCAAAATTATCAATCATTTCATAAATTTACAGGAAGTTTACCTAAAAAAATGATCGTAATTTAGAAAATCTTCATCGAATTTTAGGCAGATTAGCACATTCATGGGACACTAAGAGGGCACTTCGCATGCATACAGAAACCTGAATGGCCATCTTTAGCTTGCATGCAGTGAGTCGGCACTAATAATGTTATCCGGTCTTACCCCTATCGTACTACCGTCAAATGGAGAAAATAAACAAGCTTTTGTATTGTTATTAGAGATCTACCGAGGTTAGTTTGTCACTTTAATTAATTAGATAGTCTCAATTATAATTTAGAATTATCTTACTGAAAAGTTAAGAACACCGACGATTGCGCGCTGTGAATCTCTGAAGGTGCGTTGGATTTGTTGGCAACTCCCAGCCCCAAAGCTCCCCACCACAGAGTGAGTGAGCGAGGTATGATTTTGGTTACTAACCCGTGCGCTGTCTAAGGACATTTTTACAAGTACGAATTTTAGTACGAGTTTCTGGTCAGTTTTCTTCTTATTTCTTTGGTTGCACAACGATTAAAAAGATAACTTCTTCAAATTTGCTGCTGACGTGGTTCAGACTAGATCTTGTCCGATGTGTTTTCAAGTAAATTTTGTTAATATATTTTTTTGTATGAAGTTGCCTACAAATAATGGACGTGCTGTTTTGACTTGCGATTTTTACTGTTTCGGCGTAAAGGCCGCACCCAAACTTTTTGATATTTTCTCTTCCAAAAATACTGCGGCCTTTACGCCGGCAAATACGGTAATGATATCTGCAAGAGGGACCAAACACGTGGAGGGAATATGTGCCATGTGTTTGTTTCACAAAGAATTTCTTAGCTTGACAGGATTTTGTCTTCTTCTCCCTCTCTGTGTTCTCATTTCCAAATAGATTATGTGCCAACGTCCAGTAGGGAGTGTATCCCGGGCTACGATGACTGCCAAGACAATGAGATGTGTAGGAGGGATCAGACGAATGGAAGGAATATGTGCGTGTGTCAAGTTGGTTACACACAAGATGTATATGGGGACTGTGTCTACGATGATAGTGAGTTGTAATTGCATCTAGAAAATCAAACCTGAAAGCAATAAGATTATTATGATTTGTAAGATAAAAATATTGTCAAAAAACCTGCATGTATTACACATACAGTGTACCGTATTTGCTGGCGTAAAGGCCCCAGTATTTTTGGAATGTCAAAGTTGGGGGTGCAGCCTATGCGGCGCTGCGGCCTTATCGCCGGCAAATACGGTAGGTGTCATGCAAACCACAAGGTCATAAATGCAAACAAAAAGTGATTACATGTAAAGCTGTTTATTGTACATTTGAATCTTAAAAGTGCTGGTTGGTATTTGAACATGGCCATGAAAGTAATCGAATTGGCTTATGATATAAAACAAACAAAAAAACATCTGTGAATTTTTGCAAGAAAAATAATTTTTCTTTTTTTTTTTAATTAAAAAAAAAAAAAAAAATTGTAATCATAAAAAGTACACTTCTTTTTTCAATGACGTAAATTAATATTCTACTCAGACCCTGGTACAAAACAACCATAATATCATAGCTTTCATCATAACCTGAAGAGTAATTATAAACTGATGCTTCTCAACACCTTTTGGATTAATTTTCTTTCTTATCACATATTTTCAAAAGTTAATTTAATAATCAAACTATTGAAAAGTCTCATAGTACCTGTAAACATTTACAGATCTGAAAGCAACAAGATTACTATGACTTGTAAGATAAAAAGATTCCCTTTTGTGGGGTAGTCACAAACCTATTAATTATTCTGATGGTACCTGTAAACACATACAGACTTTTGAAATACTATCCGATTGCAGTACGATGCACAGGTGATATTGATCAAATATACCATGCACTGAGAGGCTCCGGTTGAAATTATCGATTCTCTGGGTTAACTGGCATAGCCCTACAGGTACTTTCCTAAGGGTACAGTCCCAAAGAAAAATGGTCACTTTGTCAGTCACTGAAGTTCCCAGATTTTACCTGTGCCTCAAAAAAGAGTGCATGGTATATTTGATTTATATCTCTCTGAAAACTATTTGGGTATTCACAATGGCACAAAATACACTCGGCTACGCCTCATGAATTTTATTATACAAAATAATACACATATGTGAGTGCGTTATGGTCAATGCAGCACATGAGGGTATTCACTATGTTGCAATAAAATTCATGAGGCGTAGCCAAGTGTATTTTGTGCCATTGTGAATTCCCCAATAGCGCTGCATCACCACAACGTCACGAACGAAAACCTGTGTATTATTTGTTTTATAAAATGGGTCTACTATCAAATCTTAACAGGGCGATAACACTGTAAACCTGCAATCTTCATAACAAATGATGTGTCACACAGACGATTGCGGCAGCAGTGGACTTGTAAACAGACTGTGCAGTTCATGGTGCGATTTCTCGTAAACATGCATTGAATCAAACGCGGACGTGCATTATGCCTAATTGTTGCACCGTTTTTTGCAAGGTTGTTATCACCAAAATGCACTCCCTGTGTGCGTATGGTAAAAGTTAATGCACACACACATGATCCATTTTGATGCTTCTCATTGGCTACATTCTTGAACCCATTTTATATACACCATAGTGAATACCCTCATGCGTTGCATCGACCATAACGCACTCACACCTGTGTATTATTTGTATACTATCACATGAGTCATCTGTGGCCAATCCTTCCAAGATAATTTTTTTTATTTGGGATATTATTCTATTTAGTTTGTATGAAATACTTTGTGTGAAGTACTTAATTTAGAAACATACATACGAAAATTGACATTTATATAGCGCCTTTACATAAACATGCTCAAAGCACTTTACCTTATTAAATAAAACTGAATAATTACTTTGCTCTCCAAGCGCATACATGGGACTAGATCGTTTGAATATACCATTTGTTGATACAAGGTGTGCACCATCTCCTCATACCTATATTTCAAAATCGATTCAGAATTCCTTTGACAATAATTCTTCTCTTCTTGCAGGATACGACAGCAGACCGCAGACATCCCAGCCTCAGCATCAGCCAGGGAAGCTAGACAACCTTCAGCTGTGCAGCAGCGACAGTGATTGCAAACTAGACGAGTTCTGTTTCGGTCTGAAACTGTACGACGATGGCATATGTGCCTCAGGTAGGAACGAGCACATGGCATGCCAATGAAACCATGCATACATGATACGGGGAGTGTTTCACAAAGACTAAGATTGACTTTAAGTTGGACTTAACTATGGCAAGCCGTTCATGCCACTATTTGCTCTCACCATTTACTGGCATTGGTCTCTGAAGGGACGTATAAATCGTGGTCACAAATCTACAGAATTTACATTTTTTGATAGTTCATTATTGAAGGAAAAAATATCATCTAAAGATCATAATGGTGAAAGCAAACAGTGGCATGAACGGCCTGCCATAGTTAAGTCCAACTTAAAGTCGATCTTAGTCTTTGTGAAACACCCCCCACGGATAGTTTTGGTTGATCACAGCCTAGAAAAATCTAAATGCCTTGACCAAGGTGTGCTTTTATTTGAGGCTGGATAGTGATGATAATGTGTGCCCAGTGTAAGGAGACACATTTACATGCACTCAACAGGCCTGATAATTACCCAATTTATTCCCCCCCCCCCCTCGATTTTACCCCTATTTTCCCCTAATCTTCTTACTCAAAAGGGGGGAATGTCGTTAGATGCCAATTTTTTTCACTCAAGGGGGGGGGGGGGTGGTTGGTTTCTTTATAGAATCATTTTGTTAGACGTCCTTCTTACAATCTGCCTAGGTTTTCTTCATAACAAGATTCTGACAATAAGCTAGTATTCTTGGAAGGGGAAAATGGCAAGGAATATCCAAAATGAATAGTAAACATAGAAATACAGCTGGTAAGTTGATTGGATATATGTGTCATATTCATTCTTTTTCAAGTGCAATATCTTGAGATGAAATCAATGCCCCTCTAAAACAGGTCTCAAAGCTAAGATTGTATGTTTTTTTATGTTTGCATTTCTCATGGCAAATATATGCATTTATATGTACCTAAAGTGCCTGATTGTTGTCTATGTCTTCTGAATCTAATTTTTGTAATTTTCTCCTCTTTTTTTTTTATCATTCTCAAATTGAACTGAAAATTTGGGAGAGAATCCTCTTCATCATTTCATGAAAGTTTAAGAAAAAAAATAATAATAGCAAAAATATCACTCAAATCCATATTTCTCTGATTATTCCTGTTTTCCTGTAATTCCTGTAATTGTAAACGATTTTACACTGTAGTTATATATATAGGCCTATTGTATATGAGAAGACACATAATGTTACCAATGGTTAGTCTTTGAAATCTAGCACTATCAATTGGGGGATTCACTTCTACATGTACCGGTATGTACATTTACTAATTGAAATAAGTAACTTGGAATTGATATTTTCACTTTTATATGTATCAAAGCTGAATTACCAAAAGATTTTCATTAAAAATGAGCCTCAATTAAAATATTTTCCTCTGTAGGCTTTGGAAGATTTTGCATGACAGCATGTATTTATTTTTGATAAACCATAAATCATATCTGTGTGTCTTGAACAGTGTACAGTGTACGTGTAGTATCTTTTTATATGAATATTCAGTGTATGAAAAGAATATTTCCTTCATTTCTGAATTCTAGCTTCGCATTTAAAAAGAATACGTAAAGGTAATGATGATATCTATCTTTGATTGCATGACGCTTTAACTATGACTTTCTACTTGTGTTGCTTCTGTTGATGTTTGTGCCTTAAATTTGCTTCAACTCTCTGCATCATTGCATGGAAAATATGATTATCTTTATGAGTTTCCAGAGAGATGGTCAAGCAGGCTTATACAAGCCTGCATTTCATAATTAATGCATTTATTTATCCTCTAAATGATCTAGGTATCACTTTCAGTGCAATGAGACATACACATGCATCTTTTATACATGAAACTGCATTCAAACTTACATATTGAAATGTGCTGTGATATTCCAGTCACACCGATGGACTATTTCAACACACCAGCAATAGACTGTTCAGACAAAATATCACATGACTCAAAATAGCACATGGCTCAAAATAACAATTTTTTAAATTTTTTTTTTTTTGGAGGGGGGGGGGGGGTTAGGGGGTTTAGTTGGGGAGGATTTTTTGTTATCAGTGTGGCAGTGTGACTGTGGTTTCACATTTTTTTAGTTTGGACTTCAATTTTTATATATTGAAGGCGATGATAGATACTCACTACAAGTATTTTATTTAGAAACTTTTTTGCAGCACCACCAACATTTTGAACTACCGCCTGGCACCAGTGCTAAACCCTGTGAATTTCCCTCTGTTTATCATAAACCCTTATTTCTTTCTGATTATTTGCACATTATTCAGCAGTAGCGAAACCATAACTTTGTAACTTGCTTCCACTCCCAATCATATCCCTTCTCTGCGTGTTGAATATATATTCCGACATCATACGTGGCAGGTTTTTATTGACTTTATTGTGTCAGCTTTAACAAAATTGCGAACACTAGAAATCTGGAACTTCAAAGTACAAAGTTTTATTACTGATACACATTCATACAAAAATGTGGTTCTTTTGTAAAATTTTAGACACCGAAGTGCATGATCATCAGCAAAACCATATAAAAACGTGTTACTGTTTTGTTCTATATGACACTTATCATGTATTTATAAGCCCAACACGTTCAGAGTATATGAAGTATAATGTAGACCATATTTCATTTCATGTGCACCAAGTCAATTTTTTTTTAATATATTTTTTTTAGGAAAAGTGTCTCAAGAAATGTCTCAAGACGAAGTATTAAATGAGATAATATAAATGCATGCTGGGGAGTGTTTCACAAAAGTTGTCACAGTGACAAATGACAAGTTTTGTTATAAGCTACTGAAATCCTTGCTTCTGATTGGTTATCAGCATATTTGTCACTGATATTTGTCATTTGTCATTGAAAAAAGGCTTTGTGAAACAGGCCCCTGGTCTTTCACCTCAGTACTGAATCAAAGATTTTAAAACTTTCAATCAATAATTTGTATTGATTACCTCTTCCCCACCCCCTCCCCAAAATAAACAATAAATTTAATTATATTAGCGGCATTGTAGATTTTGTGTGTTTCAGGTTTTACAATTGGTATTATACGCTTGCATGTCTGCTGATAAAGCCATCTCCAATTTTAACAGCTCTAGGAAATCAAAATGTTTGGTGTTTTTTTTAATTGGATTGTCTTTGATATTTAAAGATTAAGAGCACGCACACACCATTCAGTTTTCTAAAGATTGCAAAGTACACAGCAGCTAAACCTTATTTTCTCTTAGACTTTGATAAGTGAAAGAATGACATACTGTACTTACAGTACGTAATACAGGTTTTATTACTATATCTTGCAGTATCACAACTCCACGCGTATGTCATTAAGCTATAGTGTAGTTGAGCTAGCTCAGATTCCCTTTCAAATTATTTGGCTATTTTCCAATTATTTTTTATCATTGAAGCGATAAAACAGATATTTGTTTTCATGACACAAAGGATGCTCTATCACAATGTAATCCTTTTAAACAATCTAGACAGAAGTAATTGCAGGCAAATATATGTATGTTGATATGCATGCAGAATTTAACCATTGCATTGGGCTGTAAAAAACAAAGAGTAGTGACATAAAAATCAATATGTTATTATTACTACCGTTACAATATTTAATTCAAAATTTTCTATTTTTTACACGATGCCTTCTCGTTGGTATTGTACCAGTCTGTAAATAAAGGTACAATAAATCATTTATCTATATAAATGGTAAATGTTATTGTTATGAAACCTGCATGTGAAACAAAATAAACTCTACCATCTCAATGCAGTTTCTGGCAGCTAAAATGAGAATGTCATTATGATAATCATGCTTTTCTATGTTTTTTTTATGAGCCCTTGCTTGCATTGCACTCACATTTACTGACGTGTTTGTTTTGTTTGATTGTTTGTTTGTTTTTATTTCTGCGTTTTCAAAATAGAACATAATCATATAATGTTCATAAAGTAACAGTTATTTCTTCATTTTACATCTTTATACATTTTTAAGAACATTAAATAAGATGCATATAAACACAAAGATAAATTACAGAAAACGCAGGAGACCGCCATCATAAGCGGTAAGCTTGAAATCGATGTTTGCATGTTTGCATGTTTGTTAAACCCCATTTTGATTATGTTTGTCTGAGTGACCGAGTTATTTGCTACAACCGTTTATAATGTAAAGCATATATAAAAAGTTGTTTAGTAGAAATATTCAGTAAATTAATATCTTGCTTACTGGTGTACAAAATATTGTTAATGAAGTTTAAAACAGCAATTAATACAATATTTAGTACAGATAAACTAATCAGTTGTCTCTGTATTTTTTCCCTTTTAACAAAATGCTGTACCGGTATTCAAATTTATGGACACACAATTTGTATACCATCTCCACTCGCAAACAAACAATGCTGAGCAAAATTCCATCCAGATTTTAAATTGTAATTCTGTGACTTGAACATCTGCTGTCTTTCTTCCATAACAGATACTTTGCGAAGTGTGGACTCCACGCAACCTCCTGTACCTGCACAGACGACAAGACCTGATCTCCTTTTAACTAGCACTGTAAGTACATGCATCAATAGATTACCGTTAATTATCATTTGGAAAACAGAGACATTTAAAACTCTTGTCAACCTTATGTGTAAAGATCAGTTAGCGTAAAGAAGGAAAGAAGAAAAATCATCATTATGTATGTTGACAGGTAAGTCTGTAACGTATGATGTTAATGTTATCAGTATCAAAAACATTCTTAATACTCTTGAAAATCAGTATTAATCTTTCAGCGATGTTTGCTTTTACATTCTATAACAAATTGATAAACAACTTGATGACTTTGATCAAATCTTAAAAACAGTCAAACCTGCTTTAGTGACCACCTGTCTGCAAAGACCACCTGTCTACAAAGGCTACATTTGTTGTTTCCCTTGATAATGGTTTCTCATTGAATCATGTACTAAAGGAACCGGTCTACAAAGACCACCTGCCTACAAAGGCCACTTTTTGTATTTCTCTTGGGTGGTCGCTGGTTTGACTGTACATGATTTTTACATGCACCTTTGACAGGCTTTTAATCAGGTTTTATGTTGTTCAGATATACATTTTCCGTTTATATTTTACTTTACAGACACCACCACAAACAGAAGTAGAAGAGGAAGTCACAGATAGTCTGATGACCCCATCTTTAGTAGAGGTGCCTGTCAAGAAGGATGGCAGTGATACAACCAATGGTATGTAAGCTGTGATAGTGCACCAGTCTTTGTCACTACATGTCACAGCAAATGGTTACATGAGAGAAACTATACTGAAATCCAACCGTTCCATACTCTCATGAACAATAAAAAACAATAGAATTGAAAGACATGTACAGAAGATTTAAAACCATATCCATCAACTTCTTGCATACATTTATATATGTTTCAAATTTTTGTCCCCGAAAGATATTCCATTGTCTTTTTTAATATTGATTATATTACTACAAAATGTTTGTAAATTACCTAAATGAAAATGATGATTTTCAATAGAGACGATGATAAAAGGTGAGGGGGGAGGAGGTGTTGCCTTGCAGTCCTTGTCATTCTTTGTCAGGAGTTCAAAATATGTTTGTGTATAAAGATTAAGTTAGATGGTTCTTAAAGCCCCACTGCACTACTTATAGCTACTTGCACCCTCTATAAAGAAAACAATGCCTAATCGGTGCATGTTGGTCCCCCATGATCCCTTTTTCTTATGTTAATTGAGAGCTGATTTGATGAGATAACCACTTGTCAGTGACCTTGCAGGGAGGTCTAATCCCCCTAGCCAAATTAGTGCAGAAGGGCTTTAATGGAGAGATCCAGTCTGATGTCAAGTAATTTTGAATGAAATTTGGAAAAATCACAGAAATAGCCCAACCTTTTGAGAAAAGGAAAGTTAATTTTCAATTTTTTTTTTAAAATAGAAAAATGTACATTTATTACATAAATTGTAAAAGACAAATGTAGAATACGTCAGAGAGGAAATCATTGAGTTGCGAATTGCGTAGTGATCTACAAAACTATTGAAATTTTAATTTTCTTATTCCTCATCAGAATTTTTTTCAAATTTCACTGATCTGCTTCTCTTGATTTTTCTGCAGTTTTTTAATCAATGTGTTGTCGGTGTCGGGATATTCTTCCAAAATAACATACACAGAATAAGAAAGCTAGCACTTCATTTCTCACCTGTACTAAAACTTGACCTTCTCACTATACCCCCCCCCCCTTCCCCCAATCTCTTCTTCTTGCAGGTACCGAGGTATCAAGTGGTGTAGCAGAGGGGTCTATGAACACCTCTGACGGTAACAAACAAACCTCTGATTCCGCCCCCTCCTTGCATGATCAAAACCCTGCCACAAACCCCCATGCAAGCGCCACTCTTTCATCTCCTGCAGTACCTGTCACCACTGCTACTCCTACTTCTACTACTTTAGGTAGCGGGGGAACACGCCCCTGTGAGTTTTGTTCCTCTTTTATGTAGCTACTTTTTCCTAATATTCTTTCCAAACATTCAGGGCTTTTTTTTCTATCTTCTAGCTTTTACCCCAAAAGTATTCTTATTTCTAATGTGATTAGTGAAGAAATGGAAATGGCAAAACATTTGTTTTGAAGTAATTTTGTCGTTGTTGTTGCATGTACATGGGTTCTACTCCCTGGTTCTACCGTACTTGTATTTACTTTCATATACCTGTACTGAGCTTAGCATGATGTGCCACTTACAAATATGTTTAAATATGCAAATAAAAAAAAATTGCAGCAGTTCCACCATGCATACAATTGGATGAAAAGTGATTGAATATGTTTAATGTTTGGCAGTGTACAATTATATATCAGTTTTTGCTTGTAAGAATATGCCACAAACCCTTGAACAAAAAGTTTTGTTATGAGGCGGTTCTTTTGGTAATACTTGTATGTATATTTAAATAACCTACAAGCATGTCCTGTTAGCCCACCCTTGTATTTTGTTAACATGACATAAAATATTAAAAGTTCTGAAATTTCCACAGGGCTAGATTTGAAAAACAGAATCAAAGATTGTAGAAACAGATTAATAAATGCCAACCTAAAATCTACTTTAGTTTAATATTCTAGGGTTTTGCCTGTAAGATTAGAGCTGATTTAAACCAATGAAATGCATGCATGCAGCCTGTGTATTCATTTAGTGTGTCTTTGATAGTGCATGAGTATTATTTTTATATTTTTTCCCCAGTGCATGCTACATCACATTTTCTATGCCTTGCATGAGACATAGAGTACATGTATGCCTAGTAGTGTGTTTTGTAAAGGTACAGAGATCACTGATCAAACCCACTTTGGCTTGGCGTCATGTATTTAGGGCCCATGTGGTTAGCAGTTTTATAAGCCTTTTACTGGCTAATATCTCTATTGTCTGATTATAAACAGGTATACATGGTCCTAAATACGGGAATGAAGTCACAACAGATAATATTGTAAACGTTATTTGAACAAAAGCCTTTGCATATCAATGAGTGAAACTTATACATGCCCAGTAATCTAATCTCCCACTGTCCATACGTGTACCGGTGGAAAAAAAATCATACATAGGTGCGGTGAGTCATTGTAGCTCTCGAACAGAGCTCCGGAAAACTTTTTAACTACTTCACACTTAGAAAGAGCTGTGGTGTAAAATAAAGTAATATATAGAACTTGTTATAAAACATCAAGTATACTATAGCAAATCTAGAAAGTATTTTTGACACTGATGTATACCTCCACACACAGTTGTTCAGCTGATAGTTTCGTTGGGTGAGAGCAAATCCCTTCAGCTGCCGGACGAGACTAGCGTGAGTCTGCACGCCTTTGTCCTCCAAGATGACCCTCCGGACGGTCAGCCTTACACGTACCAGTATCAGGTGGTCACTCAGCCGGAGGACAGCTCCGCAGAGATGACCTCCAATGGTCAAGCTGACCCACAAGTTACTATTTCAAATGTGAGTAATAAAGCCTTGCTGATTCCTCATTTTATTTTCTTCCCTTGCCCCCCCCCCTTTATATATCTGGTTTGGGATGCAAAAGCTAGGTAGCTGTCGTGTTAGAAGGTGTGGAGAACATAGCAGTTATTTTTGTCTGTCCATACCTACACATTAGAAGCCTGCTTCAAACATCTAGCACCTTACAACTCAATCTGTTTGTATCATGAAAGTTTCTAGAAACTAAGACAACTATATGGTATGATATAAACTCGGAACTGGTGTTCGAATGGCTTTTTGGAAGTATTATACCTGCACATGCAATGTACAAACTTTGATTCAAAGGTTATAGATAGATACATGTAGATTGACTGAGGAAAAATGGTGTTCAGGGCAGGAATTGCCTCCTACAACCCTACGACCAAACTCATGCAGACCAGAGTTAAAAATGAACAAGGGCTTAGGAAAAGGATCCTCTCAAACTATCATGATGGAATTTCTGAAAATAGATAAAGAATCCCTTTAAAAACCCTCTGTTAGTAGTTATAATGCATGAAATAACCAGACACAGTAGTCTCATCTGATTTTATATCTTTGGAATACACATATACATGCAGCCCTCAAAATTTAATGTCATTCACTATGCTGCCAATCGTGATCTCCACCTTATATCATTATTAACATCCCTTTCTCTCTCTTTCTCTTCTCCCTCTAGTTGATTGCCGGTTTTTACCAGTTCAAAGTGGCTGTGTCCGGATCCAGGTCAGAAGGTACAGGTCAGGTCAATGTGACGGTCAAGCCCCCACCCAGGATCAACCAGCCTCCAGTAGCCATCATACAACCAGCTATGCAGGTGGTACTGCTCCCCAACTCTGCTACCATACTAGATGGATCAGGTAGGTTTCAACACATAATAGTATACAAATATACACTGCCTTGAGAGGTTCTGGTTAAAACTATGCGCAAGAGGTGACTCCAATAGTACTATTTGCTGAGGGGCGCAGCCCCGAAGCAAATGGTACTCTTGGAGTCACCGAGGCACATAGTTTAACCAGAACCTCGAATAGAAGGCATGGTATATTTGTTTTATATCCTGCATCAAAAATTTATTTGAAAAAAAAAAAGAAAAAAAAAAAAACATTTTTGGGAAAATCAAATTTAGAACAAAAAAAATGTCAATTTTTATCTACAAAGATTTAAAATATGTTGTTTTCATTAAATTAAGATTTGAAAAAAAAATTGATTCAATTAAAAAAAAAAAAATTAACATTTTTTTTTCAACTCCCAAATAGTAAACCAAAATAGTACTCTCATATAGTACTTTCTAAAAATAGCTCAAATATTTTTGGTCATGTGACGAGCTCTCAACCAATCAAAAGCCAACAAATTTTTGATGCAGGATATAATAGTTATTAGATTAGAGTGGTAATAATATTGGTAGTGGTAGTACTTGTAGAAGTGGCAGTTGTAGCAGTATTACAGCTAGTGATGGCGTAGAAGTGTAGTAGTCGCGTGGTTTAAGCACTTGACTTGTAATTTGAAGGTCGTGGTTCGATCCCTGACACGGCACTAATGTCCTTTGGCAAGGCATTAATCTTCATTTGCCACACTCGACCCAGGGGAGGTAAATGGGTACCTGGCAGGAATTAATTCCTTGAAATGCTTTATGTGCTGCAATGGCAGCTAGGCTAAAGCTGGGGTAATAATAAATGCGCCTCGGAATAGAATTTCTAGATAGAAGGTGCAATAGAAATGCCTATTATTAGTAGTAGTAGTAGTATTGATATTGAATTTTAGTAGTGTTGGCAACCATGTTCATAGTTCTATTGATGATAATAATGGTGTTAATGGGAGTGATAATAGTTGCAGCAACATCACCGACAATAGTGATGGTGTAATTTGGAACAGTAGAGAGTATGTAATAGTAGTGGTGATAGTGTAGTGGTAGCGGTAACGATTGTAGTAGTGGTAGTGGTATTAATGGTAGTGGTTGTGGTAGCAGCAATAGCAGCAGTGGTCGTAATGGATGAAATTTCAATATTACTTTCATTCTGATGTTTTTTTCCTGTCTGCAGGGAGTACTGACGATGATGAGGACAGAATAGCAAGCTACAGCTGGAATCAGGTCCAAGGACCGCTGAATGATCATCAGATCAGCGGTGAACAGGATACGCTAGAACTCACTGATCTCAAACCAGGCGTCTATCTCATCAGGTAGTTATTCATTCTGTTATTAAGAAGGGGTGGTAGATAAAAGTAGGTCGATGCAGGGTAGAATAGTATACAAATTATACACAGCAGTGAGGGTGTGGAAAATCGTACTAATGCCCAAACAAAATGATGTGTAGTATTTGTTTTATAAGATTATGTTTTATTTTTATATAAAATGATGTTTTATTTTTATATAAAATGATGTTTTATTTTTATATAAAATGATGTTTTATTTTTATATATATAATGATGTTTTATTTTTATATAAAATGATGTTTTATTTTTATATAAAATGATGTTTTATAACATGATTTTACTAATGACCGGTCATTAGAATTGGATAATGACCGGACATTATCCAAACTACGCATTAGGCCATTAAAAAAAATATACATGTTTAGCGTCCCCGCCCGCTTTCTTTTTTGGGGCCGCCTCCTATTTAAAAAAAAATAAAAATTTTGGATTTTTTTTGGATTGAAAAACACTGCTAAAATGGATCAATTTCTGATTTAAAAAAAAAAAAAAAAAAATGTCGGCCGCCATCTTCCTATTTTTTCGAAAAAACAGGACGCTAAACATGTTTTTTTTTTTATTTGGCCTTAGGCAACATAGTGCCTGGTCACGTGTACACTTTCAACCAATCATTTGATTAGGATCCACGTCATCATTTTATAACAAACTACTGTATGACTGGAATCATAGTTGTTTTATCAGTTAGTTATACTGTTATTGGGAAGGGTGGATGATAAAAATACATGAAGATGTTTGCTTCCAGCAATAGCAAGCTACAGCTGGAATTGGGGTCCAAAAACCACTGGATGGTCATGAGATTAGTGTTAACTAGGATATTCTACAACTGACTGTTCTCAAACCAGATTGATACCTATTGAGCTACATAGCTATTATTGAGTAGGGGATGGTAGTGTGTTGGTGGACTAAGAAAGAGGGGGTGGAGAAAAGGAAGGACAGAAGACAAGTAGGAAGAGGACAGAGAGGAGAGAGAAAGGGGGAGGGAGAGAGAGAGGGGGAAGAAGGGAGAGAGAGAGAGACAGGGGAGGGAGAAAGGGAGAGAGAGAGTGTAAGATTTGATTGTAACAAAGATATAATATTTCTCTTTTGTCCCACTACAGGTTGACTGTCACAGATTTTGATGGAGCTTCCAATTCCACCGTAGCAAATGTTACTGTTAAAGAAGGTAATTTTATCATTTCTCATCTCTTCCTTTGTCTGCTTTGTATTTTATCTTCATTTCTCAATGTTTCATCTCTTTTGATATTCCTGTATATACTCCTATCCCTTTCTGTCTGTCAAAATCTCTTGTATTATTTGTAAAAAGTGGATACTACCCTTCCTGTTCACTATTTTCTATAATCTAATATTTGCTCTAGCAACCTTTTTTTCTCAGAGGTATAGGGTTAAAGTCAGGGTTTCAATATTGGGTTTAAATTATATGGTTAGGGTTTGGGTATAAAGATGTAGTTTTCATTCCAGCATTGCAGTTAGAAATTCAGTTTGTGTACGAAATTGACCCTGGAGCAGTTGTCACAGGAACATATCAAGGGTTCAGTGACACAAAGACTTAACTCCATTTTGGCCTTTTTGAGAAAAAATGGTTTATGTGTCACTGAGCACTTGGGCCTTAGGGAGTTGTTTCACTAGCCATTGACTTAAATGGGGTGTTGGGTGGAGTTAAGTCTTTGTGTTTTCTCGAAAGCCCACATTTTTCTGAACATTTTGATATCAAACATGGATTTACTTAATTCACTGAACCCTTGATATGTCATACAAACAAAGTTTTCTGTTTTTGTAACGCTCTTTACTTTTTACTTGTTATTAGAGGAGGACTATAAGCCCCATGCCCAAGCTGGGCCAGATGAAGAGATCAAGCTTCCAGTAGACTTCACCACACTGAATGGCTCTAAGAGCAGTGATGATCATGGTATTACCAGCTATGAGTGGACCAAGATGACCGATAGAGTGGCTGATATGACGGTAAGGGCCTATTCTACAAAATCCTTTTCCTGAACAGGTCTTCCAATATAGAACTTTTTATTTTTATGGTGATGACATCAGTGTCATTGTATGCCTAATCCTGTGATTTTTTTTTTGTAGTCACAGTCACTTTCATAATATTTGTTCACAAATTTTAGGGATCTTCAACCAAAATACTTCATCTAACTGGCCTTGAGGAAGGCACATATGTCTTCAAACTGACCGTCACAGATGTTAAAGGACAAAAAGATTCTGATTCAGCGACTGTCATTGTCAAACCAGGTCAGTAAACTTTCTTTTATATTTTTGCTGTTGTTGTTGTTTCTTTATATTTTGTGAAGGCATATCTGCTGAAATCGATCTCAAAGAGTGTGGTAAGTAATGAAATCTCTTTATTAAAATTAGATACATGTATGATTATTCAATTTAGATGGACAGAAGTAAGATATTTATAATGTAGGGTTTAGTGGCAAATGAAAGAGACGTACAGAAGTAAGGGCGGGGGGGGGGGGGGGGGGGGGGGGGGGGAGTGTGAGAAAGAAATGATAAAGGAATGAATACATTCAATTGTTGGATTTCCCCAAAGAAAAATGAATCTAGATACCCACACAATATGCATTGGAATTGTATCCAGGAACATTATATCACAATTCTTGCTGTTTTTCCTCATACATGTAGTTTGTATTCAAGTTCCATAAATCAATGCAAGAAAATCAAGGTAACATTGATTAACAAATTACCCTTTCTAGTTATTTCTGTAAGGGAGAAGTTTATTTGTAGGTCATTAAACTACCCAGGTATCATTGATTGAGAGGTTGTTCATTACACAGGAAATACCAGCTGTGTGAAATTCACACTAGCAGTATGTTCAACAATAACAAGCTTGGGATATGTACACTTATGGAATTAAGAAATCTACAAGGAAATTATTTCTGGGCCAAAATCTATAAACAAGGAGGAATGTAATTTACAATAAATCAATAGGAGGCTGCCAATTGCAGCTTTTGAGATGCTAGAGTTCAAAAGTTCATGTATAATCTATCCAAGTTCATTGTAAATGAACTCATCAAGATATTATTTTGTTGCGTTTATAAGTTAAAAGTGCTTCATTACGATTGTATTCTGCTTGATTAATAATGATTGCTTAACTGATGTATAAGCATTAATCATACATGTATTTAATTGACATATGTAAAAACAATTAGTAATAATTAATTGAGGCCGTTTTAGCTGTTGCTGAAAATAATTCAAATTTAATTTAATTTATCTTACCCTTTCTTGTTGACTTCATCAGAGCATAATACCCCACCTACCGCCGATGCTGGGCCTAACAAGGAGTTAACACTGCCTTCTGATGCCACGACGCTGGATGGGAGTGGCAGTACAGACGACCAGGGTATTGAGGTCTATCACTGGGAACAAGTCAGGTACCGTAGATGAATTTTTTGTTTTCCAGGCAATTTCTCGATGACATTTATAGCGCAGTGATGTCATCAAATAAAACTTCTCATGGATTCCTTCTATTGTAGGCCTTGTAAATGCCCCATTATTTTTTCTGTAGAACAGTTGCTTTGGCTCAAAATGGTCTTTTGCAGTGACATGTTATTGTTTACTTGGCTGGATCATGTGGAGATATGTGTGCAGTGCTTTGTAACTGCAATTTAAATATGCAAATGTATATCATATAATTATGGATTGGATTGAATTATATTGCATTTACATTTATTATGACTCCTTGTAGACACAGAAAGGAAGCCAAAGTACTTGTTTTGATATTCCATGTTAAGATCTTAAAAGAGAAGCTTGAGTTCTGGGAAAGGTGCAAAGTACATGACATTTTGCTCATTTACTCTGATGTAAACGAATGTGTTTCACTGAAAAGGATTGCTCTTATAGTACTCACATATGTATTTCAAATATGATTAAATCTTCCCAACTGAATACTTAAGTCTGATAACAAGTGTTTGTGTAACCCTTTATACCCATAACTTGGATCAACACATTTTTAATTTTTGGGAGATTTTTAAGGCTAATTTTAATGATTCCATTACCTCGAACATGTAAATACATAATTCTTTCTTTGTAAAACACAATTAAAGCAGTCATAATAAATGATTTCTTCACAATGCTATTGCAAAGCATATACTCAATTTTATCTGTAATCACTTTTTCTATCCACACAGTGGTCCTAGTGATGCTATATTGACCAACCCTGACCAGGCAACAGTAGATGTATCTGGACTAGAGGAAGGAGGTTATGTCTTTAGGTTGACCGTCCAAGATGGTCAAGGTGTATCAGGCACTGCTGACGTCACTGTTGCTGTAAAAAGAGGTACAGATATCATGAAAAGATTGATGGATAGGGGGATATATAGATAGATAAATATGTTGATGGATGTATAGAAAGATAAATAAGAAGATAAATAAGTAGGTAGGGAAAGGAAAATATTGCCATTGCGCATTTAAGAGCAGTGACTCACTGCTCGTAAATGCGCAATGGCCCTACTGAGCGTTTAAAGAGCAGTGCCCGGTCTAGTTAAGGACGTATATCCGTTCACACACAAAATGTCTTGCTCTCTAGATACGGGCTTTGTATCTGCAGCCTGCTTTGACCGGCGTATGAATCACGAATTAGTATCTGTCCAAACATCGTATAAACAACGTTCACAAAGGGAAATTTTCTTTAAAGCTGTTTAATTAAACTAATCAGCTCTAGATACAAGGAATTTTACCCCTGTGTGAAAAGGCGGCTAGATAGATAGATATACAGACAGACAGACAGACAGACAGACAGACAAACAAACAAACAGACAGAGATAGAGATAGATATAGATGGATGGACGGACGGACAGATAGAGATAGATAGATATACAGATACAATGTAGATAGATGGGCAGATTGATACAGAAATAGTTGTAGATGGATAGGTAGGTAGGTATGTTGGTTAGAGAGAGAGATAGGTTGATAGCTGTAGATACATAGATGGACTCAATTGGGGAATTGGTATTCAGATTCAGCGAAATGTAGAGAGGTCGAATATGGACATTCATATCGAGGGTTTTCACAATAATCATGACTATGCATGTATCTTACACAGTGGTTTGTTATTTAAAAGGTTAAGATTACTTTTCAACAAATGTCTTTTAATTTTATTGTTTGAACAGAGAGCAATCAAAAACCAATTGCGAAGATTGGACCAGATCAAGAGATAATACTGCCTTCAACGTCACTGGAGGTCGATGGGTCCCAGTCCACGGACGACAAGGGAATAGTATCCTATCTCTGGACAAGAAGTACTCAAAGTCCAGCTGCTGGGGTAAGGATAACAAATGGTGGTGGTGGTGATGAGGATGACGGTGGTGGTGATGATGATGATGATGATGGTGATGGTGATGATGATGGTGGTGATGGTGATGATGGGTATGATGATGGTGATAATGAAGATGATGATGATGAAGGTGATGATGACGGTGATGATGACGGTGATGATGATGGTGATGATGACGGTGATGATGACGGTGATGATGACGGTGATGGTGATGGTGAGGATGATGATGATGATGATGATGATGATGACGGTGAGGATGATGATGATGAGGGTGATGATGATGATGATGATGATGATGATGATTAACAAAATGGTTTCTGTAATATGCTTGTGTTCAATCATCCTTTTGTTTTTGTTTCATGCAGGTGGTTGTTGGGAACTCCAATCACGAACCAATCCTACGAGTGGTCGACCTTGTCCCCGGCCAGTATAAGTTCACTCTCAATGTGACTGATGCGAAGGGTGCCTTTGGCACAGATACTACCATAATTACAGTCGTGGAAGGTATGTGAACCACCGCATGTTATAGCAAATGCTGAAAATTGATGAAGTCGTGTATTATAAATTTTGTATAAGTTGTGTAATTTTATGTATGATCACCTCGAAGGAAAGTTTCTTTATAGGAAGAACACAATAAATTATATATTTATCTATCTAATGTTCCCATAAAAGCCCTCTAAAAACATGGCCAATGGTTTCAATTGTAAAAATTGTTGTGAAATTGTGCAGAAATGGAATGTGCTCATGATGGTAGTTTAGTCTGCATATATTATGGCATAATAGAAAGTGTAAATAAATTGTCATTGTTTCTTTCCATACAGATGTTAATATATTGCACAATCATTTCATGGCCAATTACAAGGGGTCTATAAAATACAAGCCATGCTGTTTTAATAGACTCCTCCACTATGTTTTACCACTGTGCCAATCTTAAATGATTTATTTAAATACTTATATAATCATTTGTAACATGTTTGGTTTGTATTATGTTATTGAATTTGTATATTGCTTATTCATTTGATTATGTTATATCATGTGGAAAATAAAGAAAAACCTTGAAAACCTTGAAACCTTGATATAAAAAGTCTGAAGCACTACGAATCACTTATTCAAGCAATCTTTGAAATTTAGTTATTCTCAAGTGAGCATGAGCAATGATAAAGAAAGATAATTGATGTTTTTCAAAACACATTGGAATATCATCGTACCATGGATAGTTATCTGATCAAGTGTTATTAACATATTTTCTTGTCTTTTGTTTCCCAACAATAGATCCACATATTCTCTCCCGGGTTCAGATTGTGTTTGATGAAGATATAAGACTATTTACAGAGCAAGATAAGGTAAAGATATCTTTCATAAATACGATTTCTTTATCTGTTAAGTATTGCTTATCGTTTTATAATTCTATGTGCACAGAGCAACAAGTGGCTCTATGGTTTGATGCACACAAACTCCTGGTAAGTTTTTTCCTCCAAACTGGAGTGGATTCTATACAACTTAGTGATATTTGTAAAATCAGGTTTATCTTCACAAACTATAGTTATATCCAACCGTCTGATCTTCTTGGCTTCTACATATGTACCGTTTTTAACTTTAAAGGTCAAATCTCTTTGTGTATACAGTATATTTATGTCTTTGTTTGTGCCATGTTTAATAATGAAAATTGTTGTTCTGGATTTTGCATTCATTCACAACTTTTTACAGTGATGATTAAATAATATGAAGTTCAATTCAACTCAAATATTTGGTGAAACACAGTTATGTTTCTGCAAGATAGCAACATTTGTAATGAAGAATGACAAATGTAACTGTAATTATTATTAAGAATACTACCAAGTGACTCTAAAGTTGATGTTAACTTCAACATGCTGCACTATATATCTTCAATTTACAGAATGACCTGATAATGCCCTTAGCTGTGATGTTAGGGGTCAACAATGGAGATGTGGTCATCCAAAGAATTACACTGACAGACAGTAACATGTAAGTTTTAATACCCTTGCAATTTTTTTGGGGGGCTCTGTAACCCTGATGGGGTTAAGATATTTTGATGATGTACCATCCTCATTTGTGCATGTGTGTATGTGTGTGTGCGTGTGTTTGTAGGGGTGAGCCCAAAAAGCAAAAAGTTAAAGATTGCTGCAAGGGGAGCGGATTCATTATCAAATCTCACTCCTCATGTATAAACCTGTACAGCTATTTCGAATTGCAAGTGTCTTGGTATTCATATGCTAGATTTAAGAAAATTTTACTATAGAATTATGGCACATTCTGTAATGCTTTTTGATAAAAAAGGCAAGTATGTGCTTGCAGATATGTAACCATATTGGGCTGTATGAAGGAAATGGTTCTGTAGTTGAGGACGAATGCCTTACCATAGCTCACTCATGTCAGAATTGTCTTGAAGTTGAACCCAGGACCTTCCGCTATGTAGACCACAACGCTCCCACTGAGCCATTATGCCTTCTTGGCTATGAAACAACCTTTATTGTTTCCCTCCTTTACAGGTTGAAGGCTGAGTTCCTAGCATTCAACAAGACATCTCACAAGCCCCTTCCAGGACCAGAGGTCTTACAGAGATTGAAGAGCAAATACATCATGTCACAATCAGCACTACTCAAACATAGCATCTTAGAATATGACACTGTTGGTAAGACAACACAAAATCATTATGATCCACAAATCTTTCAAGTTCTCAATTTGAATTGAGATTTCTTATCGGGATGGCGTCATTTCAAATAAATACAGTCAAACCTGCTTTAGTGACCACCTGTCTTCAAAGACCACATTTTTGTTTTCCTTAAATAATTTCTCTTTGGAACATGTGCTAAAAGAACCTGTCTACAAAGACCACTTTTTGTGTTTTCCTTTGGCGGTCGCTATAGACAGGTTTGACTGTATTTCCAAAATCTGCAGTAGCATCAGAATCACTTGTAGATGATATTCTAGTGAATACTCTTTAAACGATTTCCCTCCGTTTTGCCGGGGGAGGGGGGTCGTATTTATCCCTCAACTTTTATCAAAAATCTGTTAAAATTTCTTCAAAATACTATTGGAAAAGTTTGCACTAGTGTTGACCATAGAAATTGTTTTCTTTTAGCAATTAACAGGAATACATTTATCAGTATGTTTCCATCAAATTATTTGTAATGTTTGTATGAGGAGGAAAGGAATTTCTATATATGAACACACTTATTTTTGTTGCTCTAGGTTAATGGTTCTTCTTAAAGTCAGTAGATGCAGTAAAATTGGCAATAAATGACTGCATTTGGAATCTCTTTATCTACATACATTCACTAATCTAACTTTTTTCTTATTGGCATTCTGTCCCTATGTCTCCTTATTTTTTTGTCGCACACAGTTTGTCAGAAGAACTGTTCCAATCACGGTCATTGTGATCCGTACACAAAGCGTTGTGTGTGTGAGACATTCTGGATGGAGAATTTCATCCGGGTCAAATTTCAAGATGGAGAAAGTAATTGCGGTGAGTGAGAAGAATAAAAGGCTCAATGCATGTTTGCCAGATTCAAATCAAAGTCAATTTTCCTATGCACAAAATTTTTAATCTTGTAACTTGCACGTGTATCAAAATAATGTAACTAAGTTTTATAACTCTGTTTTTTGCAACTTCATTGTGTAAATGTGATGTACCGGTAATATGATAGTGCTTCCTTGTTTAAAGTAATTTTATTGTCATATTTTCCATAGTATCAATAGTGATATATTGACTGACATCTTTCTTTATTTAATTTTTTTCCTCAATCTTATAATCAAATATATGTTTTTTATTTTTAATGAATCAATATTTTTGTGTGCGTTTGACAGTAATAGACGTTTGATATTTATTTAATATTTATATTGTTGAATAAAGCTTTAGATTTTTCACAAAAGTGTCATATTCTGGTGCTGATATATTGTTTCTTCTCTCCCTCTCTTTCTCTCTCCCTCTACCCCCCTCCCACTCTTTCTCTCTCTTCCCCCTCGCTCTCTCTCTATCTCTCTTTCTGACTTTCTCTTCTCTCTGCAGACTGGAGTATTTTGTATGTAATCATCGTATGTTTTCTGGTGCTGGTAGCTCTGGGCGTCTTTATATGGTTTATAGCCTGCTGCTGTGCAAGGTAAGTTGAAAGCAGAAAACCAAAATTGCATTTTATGAGAGTTTGACGTCCTGTCGCCAATCAGTAAAGGTAAACAGCATTGCTGGTAGACATTGCAGCGATTACATAATATATTTCTTCCGCAACAGTATTATTCCAAACTTTGACTATAACCCAGGAGAGATCGGGTGCCCCCCCCCCCATATTTCCTTCCGAAAATTATCAATTTGTGATTTCATTTCACTTGATTGAAAAGCCCGAGAAAAGTATGAGAATCTTGATAATTACTGTTGACTTCTTTTAGGGGTGGGGGATAGGCCCCACACTTCAAATCCAGTTTTGCAGCTGTTTCGCTGACAATGTAAGTTAGAATAGTTCGATACAACATATTTTCGACCTAAAGTTCAAAGATTCTATTTGTGAGATTGATGCTGTAGGTAGAGAGAAAATTGATTTTCTTTTTTTTTTCTATACATATATAATTTTGGCATTTGGGGAATAGCAAGCTTTTATTTTTGTTTAGACTGTATATCATTTATGACACACTTTGTAACACAAACTTCTGAAGGGTTATATAGTGTATTGTCAAATGGTTGTACATGAGGACATGGGACTAAAAGAGAGTATTCCATTGTAGTTTTTTTATATTCATGTTTTGAGATTGCATTTTTGCTTCATTTTGATCAGTTTATTTCTAGTACATGCATGAAATTTGGATTATATTAACCCAAACGTGATATTGTTATGTGCTTGCATTGGGCTTTGGAGTTGTCTAATATGCTTGATTTAACAGCATCATATTTTGTTTTATTATTTTTTGTCCTTGTTGACTGCTCATAAGAATGCCAATATTATTTTTTCATCTGAATGCAGTAACTGTTCCGTAGATGATTTTGAATATAGAACACATTTCTCCGCTCATGGCATTGATGGAAGAATTATTACTTCTCTAATAAGAAAATTGATTTGAATAACATTAATTGGCGCGCTATCTAAGAAAATCAGCTAAATTTATTATCAAATTAAAAAACGTATTCTAACCTGAAACCAAGTACATAATTGTACATGTATCTTTAGTCTTTAACTTGTAATGTTTTGACACAGAATTTGATTTGACAAACCATTAAAAGTTCTGTTGAAAATCAACAAAAAGTTTTTGCTCAATATTTTTGATAAAAATTTTGAGGATATACATGTAATATTCAAGTTTGACCCATTATTGTACAACATTCTTCATATTCTTATGTAATATCTTTAGAAGGAAGAGATATTCAGACAATTCTTTGAGCGAATTCTTGAGGTACATGTATAGCAATTTTCCATCTCGCATCACTGGTCAAATACAAATGTATCTCTTTATTTAAGCAAACATCACCAATGTCTATGCATGGTGCGCATGTGTTTTCTGTTTTTGCATTTTGGTCAATGTAGTCAAAGAGAATGTGCTTGTACATTTTTCTTTATTTTTGTTTTTCTAGCATGCTTTTATTAGCCTATTTTGTGTTTATTTGTATTCAAAATTATATTGTTAATAAGTAGATAATCTAGCATTTTTATGTTTTACTTTTAATAACACATAAATAATTAAGATGGGAATAGAATTTCTTTTCCCATTTTACTGTGAGACCTAATATTTAAAGAGTTCATGCTTTGTGGAATATCTGAGGCATTATGTAATCAAGGTGGAGCACTTTAAAATGAGTCAATCATGAGCTTATTGTGTAAGTTCTAGATGAAAGATCAATGCTGATTGGCTGTTATTGAAGAGTACCGGTATATATATGCGACAAAGACTTGCTGTGGATCTCTTCAGTGTATATGCATTGCCCAGGAAAGCGGTGTAATGGATTAAGGCAATTTTAGATATTGAAAAAGTACTAACCTCTGTATGAAATAAAACATGTATGCATGATTTTCTGAGATTATGTCCTTTTAAAAATATGAGAACTCTATGACCAAATCCCTAGAGTGATATTTCTGTCTGCAGCTTGTATTTTACTACCATGGTTCCTGTAGATTTGACATTTAATTATTTTCTTTGTTTGCTTGCATGTGTTTTTTGTTGCATGGGCATCATGTATCGTTCTGCAGTGTATTGTAATATCTGCATGTGTTTTGCTTGTTGTTTTTTTCTTCTCAAATTCTAGTTGTATTTTGATGTACACAAAAGTATTTTGTATTTCTTGTCGCTTGTGTTAGGCTGAGGTTAACTAATATTGATAATTCCCATGTCTTGTAGGTTTTCTTTTTTCTGGACAAACTATATCATTGTTCATTTCACTACTCCTTTTCTTTACTCAGCTTTATTTTTGGTCTTTTTATGCTTCCTCTCCTCTCACTCTTTCCCTCCCTCCACCTCCCCCCTCTCTCTTTATCTCTCCCTTTCCCTCTTCCTTTCCCTCTACCTTTCACACTCTCTCTCTCTCTCTATTCTTCTCTCCCTCTCTCTCTATCCTTCTCTTCCTCTCTCTCTATCCTTCTCCCATTCTCCCTCCCCTTACATTCCTTATTTGTCCTCCACCCTTCTCTCTTCTTGCTCCTCCTTGTTCTTGTTGCTCTATTTGGGCATCTGCTTCACTAACGATGTGTATTAACATTCTAATGTCCTGAAATGTACAATGTACTTGAATATTAATTATATAGTCCAAAGCTATGTGTGTACTATTCTGTAATATTTACATGTTCATCGTGGCATATACTTTTCAGCTGTAAGTGGTTATCAGCCAGCCTTCATAACTTTGTTTACATCATGCAAATATTGCCATGTGGAAATCAGAACATAATGAAAAATTAGGAGTAATGTCAGTTGCAGCCAGGCTATTGAACAAAGTAAAGAAACTTCTCTGAAACTGATTTCAGACTTGCTTGATATCAAAATACAGATATCCAGTATTATACATGACTATCCAAGGATTAAGATAAGACTTTAAGAAAGAAGTCTGCTATTTCTAGTGGTAGGTAACCTGAGTGTTAAAGTCGAATCTCTGACTGATACAAGAGCTTGCTACTGGAGCTAGGTGTATAATTATTCATTATTTTGTACATGAATATGATAAATTCAGATGGGTAAGATACTTGTGAGTAGTACTAAACAAATTTGAAGGACCATGTTTTAGACTTCCCTCATTGAAAGAGCTTTTTTTAAAGGTAATATGTCCCATTTGCAGTCAACATCAAATTCTGTAGAACTTTGCAGGAATTATGAATATGTCACGTTTGTCCTATCTGTGGAATTTAAACATTAGCAGTGTCCTAGTATTCAAATTATGCAAGGAAACCTGTTTGCTTTCTAGACTTCACTGTCAGACACTATTGAGTGACTGACCGACTGACACAAAATGAGCTGTAAAAGGGTACATGAGCATTTGTGTACATCAATAACCCACTTCTTGTAAGGGCCAAAAGTAAACTGATTGAATCTTTGCATAGCACAAAACGAACACTATTCGGGACAAGAGTATTTTCTTAAAGGATTGCAATCCCTAAAGTCGATTCAACAACGGTCGTTATTTTCCCACAAAAAGACATTCTCAAGCCCTTCTGTTTTGAGGGAAGTTCTAATTTAGTATTATCTTTCGAATGCAGGCGGAATTCGACCTTTTCATTTTTTGGCCTGCAAATGGGACATACTGTAGTACCTTTAAGAAGAATCCATGTTAGAGACTCACTTTGGCTTGTTGTAATTTCCATGTAACACCTTCCTTGAACAAAATGTGCTTTGTTCATCGATGATGGAAGCGCAACTTTCGAGTTTTCTCTCGCCGTCTTTCTTTGCAGAAGAAAAAAGAGAGGTCGGAGGCGGCATCGCTACACGCTACTAGAAGACGAAGGCAATGACATGATGGAGATGCACCCCAAGCTGGGAAATGGTATGTAGCAGGTCTTTGTTCTGTGTTAACTTGTAGTGTACACTAGGTGTTTATTCTGTGTTGTGTGTTTTATTGGAGTCAATCACAGGTGCTTGATGGTGTAGGGGTATGGTAAAAATTCCAAGAAGACCAGGGGGTGTTTCACAAAGATCCTAAGTTGAACTTAACTCTAAGTTGGACTTAAACACTTTGGAGAGCCATTTGTAGCCTTAAAATAAAATGCATTCAAGAGCAAAAATTGAAGTATTTTAGACTTTTCATAAATTCCACATCACAAACATGAAATCTCCTTGACAATAGAAAATATGAATGATTTTTATCAACATTTTATGCCTTTTAAAATGACTTTAACAAATATTTTTCGAAGATGCTAATTAAATGGCTTTCAATAATTGTTAAGTCCAACTTAGAGATACTGTAAGTTAAACTTAGGATCTTTGTGAGACACCCCTCAGGAAGGCAATGACATGATGGAGATGCATGGGACATGGTTAGTAGCAGGTGTATTTCAGGTGTTGACTGGTGGTGTTCATTAGGTGCTTGGTGTATATTATGTGTTGGATTGGGGTCCATTACAGCTGCGTGGTGTATGTCATGTGTTGACTTGTGGCCGATATGCATTGGTGGAAGACCAAGTGAGCATTGACATGAGGAAGATGTGTCCCAAGATGGGAAGTGGTATGTAAAAGGTGTATATCAGGTGTTGACTCGCGGTTGGTGACAATTAGGTGCATAGTGTACATGAATGTTGTGTGTTGACTTAAAGGGATCGTTTAACAATGTTAAACCTGAGATACACGGCCCTACGTGTTATCAGTGTCTGTGATATGGTGTAATATTGAAGCCCTAAAAAAATTGCGCTTCAAAATGATCAAGAAGTGCCTCAAAAAAGAAAAAATCTTTGAGTGACCAGTTTTACCATACTTGTTTTCCCCAATAGAGTGTAGTGTTATGAAAACCGTCAGGCGAACGGTTTTCAAAATTCGTAATTCCAATCATAAATATCTTGATAATCAGACAGGCGATCGGCTTGTAAAAGTCATTGGGTTCCTGACTGACCTAAAGGTTTATAATTATCATTGCATCATGAGCTAAATCCAGAATTTTATTTCAGAATCTAAGACAAAGTTACCGGATCCCTTTAAGGAGCACATTGTCTGCTTACTGTATATCAGGCGTTGACTTGTGATGTACATTAAGGCACATATTCATACAAACTTAGTAAATCTAGTTGTCAATGTACTATTGAATTCACATTGTAGGTTCGATTCTTCCAATAAAATGCTAGATTTTGGATTTAAATGTACTTCCGATATTGCAATGGTAGTTTGAAGAATGACTGTTTAACACAAGGAAGAATTTATAGTGTAATTGTGTAGGTTTAGTAGGGAATGTCATAAACTTGTGTGAAAGAGATTGACCGTCACTATCTATAATGAGTAGTGCATCTACCTACATGTAATTATGTGTAACAATGAATTATTGAAATTTTCTGTTCTGAAAACAAGGAATTTATTTTTCACAGGAATAGTTGAGGTATACATGTACAAAGGATCATTCTATCATAAGTTTTTGGTGTAATCTTGTAAGTCACTCCTCCTTTACTAACCAATTCATTAGGTAACCATGGAAACGTTCTTGACAAACTAACAGGCAGAGGCAACTCATCAGAAGGACAAGGTACCTGTATTGGTCTAGATCCTGGTCTAAATCCTGGTCTAGATCTTGTACTTCATGGTTTTACCCAGCTAGCTTATCGTTCCTTCTCTCTCTCTCTCTCTCTCTCTTTTTCTTTACCTCATCATCTTTTCCTTACCTCATCATCTTTTCCTTATAGCTTTGTAGAGTTTCTCTCTCCCTATCTTGTGCTATTTCTCTTTAATATGCAGTCTCTCATTCTCCCTCTTTCTCCCACCTCTTTCTTTCTCTCTCTCTCTCCCTTTCTCTTTTGCAGTCTCTATTTCTTTCTATAGCAGTTTTTCTCTTGCAGTCTGTCACCCTCTCCCCACCCCCTTCCCCCCACCCCTCTCCCTCTCTCTATTGTCATTATTTTGCTTTGACTTCACCCTTCCTGTTCATTGTCTCTCTCCTTATCTCACCAATGTCTGTTTTATTTTCTCTGTTCTCTCTACCTTCATGCCCACATTTTATGTGTAGAAGTCTTATTCCTCTCTAGCTCTTTTCACATCTCTCTCTCTAACATGTACAGTGTATTTCATTTGAATTCTTAGGTCACTCTTTCCAATCCTTCCCTTTCTCCCTTTTCATCTGTTTTTGCCTCTTTGCTGTCTTTTCCTATTTTGTTGTGCTCATTGCATACCAGTAGCTCTTCCTTTATCTGACGTTTGTGTCCTGTCTTTGCCTCATCTCTTGGCCTTTCTTGGCTTTTCGTGTGGATCAAGTTCATAAAGCTGTTTTTTTCATTCAAAATTTTTCCAATGAAATGTGATCCTGCACTTTATAACCTCTAGCTCTTCTCCCTTCATTTTTATATCCAACTATTCTCTTCTCATCGGGCTTTCCTTCAAAGCATACAAACACCCTACATTATCATCTATCTAATTCTGATCATTCTGTTGTTCCTCTCGACTATGCTTACCTGAAAAGACCATGCAACGTGCAAGCTCCAAATTGCCTCACTGATTTTTGTTCAATGCAGTCAGTAGCCTCCCCCACCCCGCCCCCGATTCTGTGTCAAAACATATATGTAACAAGCAAAACATATTGATATTATCAGTACATAGCCAATTGTATAAACACTATATGCATGTATACATGTATAACCTTAGTCACCTTACAGCATCTACCAATGACTTTAGCAGCTCCAGTGCATGAGTACTTGATCCTCACCACAAATAGCTACCCCCCCCCCCCCTCTTATGATGGGAAATTAAACAATGATGCGCTAGTGTATAGCAAAATGACAACTGTGGTCAAGATCTTTAACTATTACGGCTAACTTGTCTTCAGTTCTGGAAATAATGGCATGTAGAAAGAAACTGGCTTGAAGTAATTCCAAATTATTTATTATAGAGTTTATGGGTTGCTTGAACCACCAAAATATAAATAAATTAATAATAATATGCTGGAAATTACATTCAGTACAAAGTGTAACTCACCTGATATACACACATGATGTTGTATGTTATGCATGTGGTTGGGATTGCAAGTTTGATTTCCATAATGTCTAAGCTCAATTACACAGCTACATGTATGATACATTTTCTACCAATACAAATAGATGGTGGATATCAGTTACTTATAATCATGAACATGCATTCAGTGAAAGGATTACCAGTGCTCCAGGTTACGTTTGAATGTGGATGGGCTTCTCGATTATAATCATCGAGAATCCAGATCATGTTTATTATTGGGAAGTGTATGAATGTATGAATGTCTGTATGGCTTTTGTTTGGTATGAATTGATGATCTATATTCCTGATTGCAACCTACTAGTAAGTGCTTCCATAATGTGCTCTGAGTATCAGTTTGCATATCTTTCCATTTGTCAAAGCATTTTTTTGTATAGTCAGAAACATATATTGGGAGAGTGATGCAAAATAGTGGTCTTTTGTTATGGATTGTTGACCAATAATGTGCTTCTCGTAAAATCACCCACGTTCAATCAGTGTTTGTGTATACATGTACATGAAGATTCTGTATTTCAAGACTTGTTGAAATGGTTACTAATCTTATCCATTCCTCTCATGTTGAATTGACCCTAATGTTAAAAAAAATGAAAATGACCTTGCAGCTTGCTACCAATGTGTTCAAGATTTTTTTTTTAATTCTTCAAGTTGTAGTATGTTTTATACCAAGATCTGGCACTCTATAGTCATTTTTCATGCAACGGCAGCCGCCCTGAAAGTTATTAAAAATTTAAGGAATAAAAAAACGTTATCTATTTTAAGAAAAACATACAGAAGCAAAACAAACAAAACGCCCCTCAAAAGAGAAAGAGAGAGAGAGAGAGAATCGCACATGTAAGTTGATGGTGTGAAGACATCACAAACCATGCAATTTCATTCACAGAATGTTTGAGCTGTACATCAGAGTATAAAGTTCACATGATTTCTTGATGTTTTTGAGCAGATTAGTTGTTGATGCTTCATTGCCCCCCCCCCCATTCCCTCAAAAACAAAACAAAAGGAAAGGAAAATGATAGTTGCCTTTATGGAAGCATTCACCTTGCAAATTGCATCTCACCTTTTGCTACATGTGGGTCCTTACGAATCTCTACATGTATTGTCAAAGAGATCAGCAGTGTATTGAAGACATGTCTATGATTGTTTACTAGTTTGTCAGGTGTAGCTCAGTGAATTAATTACATAAAACTGAGTCACTTTTATTCTTCATTACACCATAATGAACTTTTGTTTTATTTGTGTGACAACAGTGCAGTTGGTACATATATACAGTGTGAGTCAACAAAAAGTTTACACCTAGAAAATTGCTAATTATTTTAAAAATCATCTATGAATAGTAATCTATTATACATCTCATGAAAGAGTGTTTCATCCCAAATCATTTGGTATCATTTTTGTGTGGTATGTGTTCACGCTTGGATGAACAGGAGGCATTGTTTGCAAGAGTGCAAAAATCGACTTGCGCCAAAGTTGCTGATCTCAAGTGTAAATAAATCAATTGGAATTTGGGTATTAAATCATTTTTTTTAGATCCAAATAATATCCCTGACAAAATTAAACATGCCACACATATCAAATATCAAATATCAACCAACATTTGTGCGCGTGTGTGACTTTGCTTCTGCAAAAAGCATTTGCAATGCATTTCATTTGATACATTCAATTCATTCTCTCACTCCGCTAATCCCAACATAATACATGCTGTAGGCATCACTTTGGCGCAAGTCGAATTTTGCACTCTCGCAAACAATGCCTCCTGTTCATCCAAGCGTGAACACATACCACACAAAAATGATACCAAACGATTTGGAATAAAACACTCTTTCATAAGATGTATAAAAATTTATTGTTTATAGAGGATTTAAAAATAATTAGCAATTTTCTAGGTGTAAATTTTTTTTTGACTCGCACAGTAGATTGTATCGATTAGATATGGGATGAGGAATATTTTTGTATAACCCTTGTATTGTATTTTCTCTATGGATACATTAATTTCTTATTTGAAGACTGGCATTTGTCAAGGAAGATCAGGGGAGCAGTGCCACCAATTCAAAGAAGAAGAAATTGAGCCATGTTATATTGCTCTCTTTGAAGATATCACTCCGGTCCCATTTATTGTCATTCATGTAGTATACTTTAATAGTCTTACCCTTATTTTATTTTTTTCACAGGCAAGCAAAGTAGCAGCATCATGATATCGGAATCAGGAGAAGAAAGTGACGACGAGACCACAGTCTTCGACATCAAGCGGCAGGATCGGAACGGATCCAAGCCCGCCAATGGCTACGTTTCGGGCAAGCATCGATCGAACAGGACGCCCAACAGGACTGACAAACTCTAAAAGGGACAATCATTCTCCTGATGCGATGAAGTGTCATGCGTAAGGAGCCAAGGGCAGTTGCTCTGTCTTAAGCCTGGATCAGTGACTTGACTAAAATGGCAGATTGGATACCTTGATTTTATTTATGTTTTGAGAAAGCGAGTGAGGCGAGCAGCATTCTTGTGAAAGGACAAAGCCGTCCAGTGATGCAGAAAACTTTTGTAACAATCGACCTGATCGGTTGATTAAGAAGAAAGCGCTCTGATTGGTTGACTAAGAGGAAAGCGCTAAAACCACCGACTTCAAAATGAAGGCATTGGACTGAGGTGAATCCAACCTCTTTGATGGAAAGTCTGATTTTTTTTCACTCTCTATTTCTTTCTCTTCTTAAGACGGATAAAGAAATTTTAACTAATCTGTTTACAAATTGCCCTCAGAAGATATTTCCAACATCAACATGCAACCCATGTTTTGAACAAATGTGGATAGCAAAATGTCAGATATCCCCCCTTCTATCTCTCTCTCTCTCTCTCTCTTTCTTCTTCTTCTTCTTCTTCTTTTAGCACACTTCTTATTTCTTCTCAAAGTTCTCAGACACAGCTGATCATTATGTTTCATTTTTACTTCTCTTTTCCCCATGTGTGAATACATGTGATTAGATTGTTTGTGCAAGATGAGCTGAAATGTCTGCCATGGTTTTATGCATTTACAGTAAGCTGCATCAGATTTTGTTTTCAATATGACTTTTTGAATTACTGATTCATTGACTTAGGTTTAGTTTTAATGAACTATGTAAATGTCCTAAATAGATGACATGGGCTCGTTGTTTTGATTGCAATTAAACAGTTTTTTTTTCACAGTAGTTTCAATTTAATACAGTATACCTTATTTTTAAACTGCAAATGTTAGAAAAAACACTGATTTAGCCATCCCTACTGCCAAAAGTGAAATTTTGTGTCATTTTCATGATAAGCTAAAATATATCCTCACTTGTGGACATTAGCTGCATTTAAAGTGCAAGCAAAAACAGTTTATTTTTCTCACATTTGGGTGTTGTGCTGAAAGTTGCTAAGCAACTAACGCTAAACTCAACGAAAACCTCAAATAAAAAAAGCCCATCTCTGGAGTGCGGTTTTTTTATATTTCGGCAGAAATGTCACCGATTTTTGAAGTTTAAATTCTCGCTCTCAAAACATTGGTGCATCTAAGATCTTTCTGGTCTTTGGTCTTTGGTCTTGCTTCTGTGTGATTGCATGCAGAACAGCGACAAGTCACGCATGAGCACCAAGGCCAAATAACAAAAATGAAGTGTTTCTTGTCCCCGCCCCCCAAAAAAGCCTGTGATATACATTTTGTTTACATACCATAGCTTCTAAAGTGATACAAATCATTTGTTTTGTCATACATTGCATCAGTATACTCACATAGCACAATATCTGTGAATGAATAGGCTTGGCCAGCTATAATTAGCATGGCAGCCATCATGGAAAAAAAAATTGCAAAATAGTAAATAGGAATGCCCTGCCTCCTCCTTTTTTTTAAAGTCCAGAAGAGAAACACATTATTTTTGTTTTTGGCCTTATCACCGCCCCCCCCCCCCCTCCCCAAATAACAGAATGAGCAAACACCAACGTTTTTTAAATGGGTTTTTCAGTACTGGTAATGTAAATGGCAGTAAAAAGAAAAATGGTTTTGGGGCTGTGTAAATATGCCTTAGTGTCTCAGTACTTTTCATTATCTCCTTGATGGTTTATTATATATCAATGCAAAAACTGAATGAAAACAATCTTTGACTTGTAATAAAAGTTTGATTAAGTACATGTATGTACGTGTGAACTACTAGGTATGACGGGCAGAAAGTATTTGGACTATTTAATCAGCCAATTTTGAAAAAGGCAAAGAAAGTACTCATCACATGCTTAGTCAAGTACTATTGTATAGGTACTATTTTGTAGGTACTATTCTCATCATCTACTGTGACATATTCTAGAGCATTATTTTATTATTCTCCATCCCTTTGATTCTGACACCTTGATGGTTAGGAAAGAGATGTACCTGATTCAAATATATTGCACACATTCGCACGACATGAAATGAGAAGGATAGTTTACATACCTTAATTCTACCTTCTACTTAAACTACAGTTATACTGCTGTAAGTAAGGCTTTGAGTTCTGGTAAGGGCAAATTAAATTTCTCTGAGAATCTATAGAAAAGTTACAAATAGATCACACCTTCCAAATGAATTTGATTGAAAAATGATTAATGAAAGCTGAAAAGTAAGCCATGAAAGAACTCATATGGAGTTCCAGATGTGTACTTTGGGAGATTTTTCTTTTCTTCCCCAAGTGTATGGATATTGGCAAGTCTGTATAGCATTTGCTTGTCCTAAAGCTTATTTTATATATTGGGGTAATTTATAGTCTATGATCAACATTATCGAGCTGAATTTGGGGCAGATTCTCTCCCAATATTTCAGTGTTATTGACAGAATGCAGGATTACCTTATAATGCTGTAAGTTTTAATCTGATTCTTTATTTCAGTGCATGATTTTTAATGGAATCATAACATCAAATTATGTATCATCAATTTTCAACTCAATTACTGTATGAGACAACTCATGTGTTAAGCAGTATTTTTTATACAAAGTAGCCATTTTCACTCTAAAAGTGACGTGAAGAACTGTTCAGAATGATTTTTGCATGTTTTCATCGACAATGTTGGCTGTTTTTGGAATGTTTATCTTCTGGTTGAATGTGCAGTTTCCTTTTATGCATGCTTTATACTCCCAACTTCAACTTTGTTAGAAATTAGAATCATAATTAAAGAAATGCAGGTAGATTATATATATATTTATTGGATTGGAGACTCTCATCCTCTCTGTTCATAATTGGGGTAAATAAATTTGATTAATTTTCAACATTTAATGTGGAGTAGTATGGAGAGGAATCTGGATTTTACAAACAGGGTAGTAAAAAAGTACAAAATTTTGATCAATCTTAACAAAAGTTATTCATGTATTTCATTTCTAAAGATTTTGAATGGAACTTATCCAGGAAACTATTAATACATGGAAGGAAGGTCTAAAAAACTTACTTAAGGAAAAATGGAAAGAGCCGTAAATACTTGTTTATCTGTTTCATCAGAGCAAAGTGATCACATACATGTACTCTAATGCCCCTGTCATATTCTCTGCTTAGCTAATACAACTGCACTCCAGTCCTTAGCTGCAAAATATATGGAAAGTGAGTGTCAATATTGAGTAAACAATATCAAACAACTTTCCACTGGAATGTTTTACATATATATGTTCCATAAATAGCTCTGTACATGTGCAGTTGTTTAAATGGATATGAAATTTACATGAATGTGGTTTTAGAGACCCAAATGGCTGTGGTACAGGGTTGATGCTATCATATATGTCAAATACATGTACATGTATATAAATATATATATATATGTATATCAACAAAAATCTATTAATTATTTAAACATGAATTACTGCCTTGGAGCAATCTTACTGGAGAACTGTATCATCGTTTGGAGCTTGTTTATGTATTTTTCCTCCTACCTTTTCTCTTCTTTGTGCAATGAAATATGTTTTTATATAACTGTCCGTCTCATTACAAGGGCTTTATGGAGACTGTCTTATGTTTATATGAAAGCAGTCCTATATCATATATGTGTGTATGTGAATTCTTGTGTAATTATGGCATCAATATTTTCAAATTCATCTCTTTTTGTGAAAGCAACAAATAATTTGTCATTGATGTGAGGGTAGGCCTTATATGGTGCTTATTATGATATTGGATGGCTTATTTTATTTTTGGTTGTATATTTTATTGAAATATTATTTTGTTTTGGATTCATGTTTTTATTCAGGACATATTGTTAATGATTTACTTTGTTTCTTGCATTACTGTTGACTGTTTTATGCATTATTTATTCAAAGTCCATGCATTACAACTTTTTTTTATTTCACTTTATTTCATAGATATAAGTTTGATTTTATTTTAAGTGGAAATGGTTGCAAATAATATTATGCACTCATTTGTAGTTTGGTTGATAGATTGCGTATTCATGGATTCACAACATTTCTTGTATAATAGAGATATCTAAAAGTGATGCATTGCAATCACAGGTTACAAAAAATGAAGAAATGGGAAGAGGTCGTTTAAACTAAGCTTTATACAGTGCATATTATAGATATTTAAAATCGGTCATATGGACATAACTTGGCAGAATTGTATGAATTTAATGTATTTCTTTTGCTAACCTTAGGACATGTTGATAACATTATATTTGCAGTACATTTATGGTTTTGGATAATTATTGTCCTGTGTAGCAAGCGACATCTTTCCAATATCTGATTGTGTTGAATGAACCGAAAAAGTAACTGTATTCGTATGTATATCAGTGTAGGTATGTTATGTCAAGTATGTCTTTAATAGGATTGGGTGCTTCCATTTCAATAGTTTGAAATCTAGATGTTTTGTTTTATACTGTCGTCAAGTGTTTGTGTGTGTGTGTGTTTTTTTCTTTGTATGTAAGTATGATGTCTGTCACACTGTATGTACATTCCAAGGATCTGTCCTTAAAAAACAGCTGACTGTAAATATTTCTTTTCTTTGTTATATTGTAATTCAAAGAAAAAAATGAGGGATATACTATACTATTGCTTTTTGCATAACTCAAGAATGATAATGTGCAGTACAAATGAATATAATTTTCAGTACAAATGAATATAATTTTCGTGATAATCAGAGTTTTTTATTTTGGTGGGCAGCTTGGGTAGTACTAATCATTTTATTGTTGGAAATATGTATGTGGTGTAACAGAGTACAATCGCAAATATTTGATTTTATGACGTCATTATTGGTAACCATGCTTGTTGCTATGTAAAGTAGAATGCGGAGGTCAAACCAGTCAGAGCTCATGCATAGAGTACAGAAGTGTGATGTCATACTGGCCAAGTTGTCAAGGTTGCTGGTTCCAAACAATTTTGTGCTACACTCTGAATTTGCCCTGCTCCAGCTCGTTGCTTGAATGATGTCACGGTGAACCTCATGCAAATCTCTGTTGTTTAAATCCAGTAACCTGGACGACGCGCGAATATGGCGTTAGCACTTAACTGCTCTATTATTGCTCAGCAGTACTGCTCAGTACTGCTCATGTAATGTTTTAAAGTACTAATGCATTTTGTGCAAATTTAATGACAATGATATTGTTTTTAATTTTCTTTGGTGAGTACAAAAATTTCCAGAGCATCAGTCCTGATCATTTTGAAAAACTGTAGACATCCAAGAGTGAAAATACATATTTAATGAAAGTTTGGAATATGGAGAATTTGAAATGGTATATAATGGAATATTATTTTTAATGAATTCTATCCCAATTTGGCATGATTGAAATTATGGAAAAAATGCTTCATTAAAAACAGATATATGCAGCAAGTTTGAAAAGTATTGATATAATATTTGGATTTCAAGAACAAGAATATAAACATTGGCTAACAATATTATAATGGATTTAATATATTATCAAAGAATCTTTACAGAGTACCATGGTCACTTCAACTGTATGTTCTTTTTGTTCCTTCAATCCACTTATAAGTTTTTATAACCAGATCCCAAAGCTCGGTCTCGTGCAGTTTAGTCTTGCCACTATTGCATACTGATACTTGAATATAGTTTATGTTCATTAGATGTTGCTAGGTCAGGCCAACTTCCAGCAGACTAAAGAGTACCTGTTGTTCAGAAAGGATACACTATACAATTATACATTAATTAAAGTAATAACATTAATGGTCTATTTAGGATTGTGTATTCCAGATTGAGCTCCCTAGTCATGACTATATTTTGAAGAGCGTTGTGCCTAGGTCACACCCATTTTTTTCTTCATTTCGATGTCAGTTTGTTTCTCGATTTTGAAATACATGCGTTTCCACTCTATAATGCATTCTTGGTTCGAAGTATGCATGCGTTTTGATTTCAGTATCACTTCGAAACCGTCTCGATACCGGTTCGATGTAGATAAACGAAGTGGAAACGCAGCTGAAAATTTTAAATTATGAGCATTTCCATAATTTTCTATGCCTTTGCGTTTTCGATCCGTTTCCTCTTTAACAGATTGATGTCGACAACGAAATAGAAACGCATTGGTGTGACCTAGTTAAATCATATCAACGGAATCCATGAAACTTAGATGAGTATATGCACTTGTTCCTAATTCAAGTAAAACCTTGGCCTAGTATGTGTTTTGCTAATCTTTTCCAGTTTGGATGAACAACTGGCATCATTGTTTGTACGGTTTCTTTCATCTAATTCTCCATTGTAAAATGAACTTGGAAATGCAACGAAGGACAACACGATTCAGTATTTCATAACAAAATATATGAAATTGATAAACGATGCATCTGTCCATGTCTTGTTATTTTTAATCTTCACGTATATTATATTCATGTATGAAAAAATGTATATTCAACGGGAAATAAAATATTGATAATGAGCGGAACTGCAATCATTATGATAAACAAAGCACACAAAACAGACAAAGTTTGAATTTCTTTCTCTAATGCCAGTGGGCAGATTTTTATATCACTTTTCTCATGAATATCACACCACTGTAAATCAGAGAATCTCCAATATTATAAACAGATTTTGAGTTGAAATTCATTTCTGGCGGCTTGTGGTTGGTTTTATGGTACAGAGTCACAATTTATTCCACATTCCCGATTATGACATATCAACCTAGACAAAAGTACATTGTAATTATAAGTGATAAAAACAAAACAAACAAATGAAAACGCAAAACAAAAGCAAACCAATAAAAAGTGCTTTAGGAGGGGCACATATTGGGTAGAAGAGAATTTGAGGAAGAAGGGTACTGGTATTTATGATGGGTAGTTTAAAGAGATGACTTGAAGAGAAAGAAGTCGAGTGATGAGTACTATAACGAATGGAGGAGGCTATAGACGAGAAAGAGAGAGAGAGAGAGATAAGGAAGGGAGAGGCCGTGATAGAGGAAGGGGAGGGTGGAGAGATTGACAAAGAGAGGAGAGGGAAGGAGGAATAAGAGAGAAGGGGTATAGGGAAGGAGAAAGAAAAATATATAGAGAGAGGAAGGGATTGTTCTGTCCTTTTAGTTCATTATTAAGTAATTACCCTTTCACACCCGTCTCTTTCTCTCTCTCTCTCTCTCTCTCTCTCTCTCTCTCTCTCTCACGCTTTCTCTCATTCACACACTTTGTTTTCAATAGTTTTTTTTTAATTGATTCATGATTATTTATATACCGTATACAATCATTAGCGGGGTGTGGGTGCAGAAATTTACGAAATGGGCGGAACCAGGTTTTGTTCAAGAGGAGGCACAATGTTTACTAAAATTTTCTGACGAGGAAAAACTAAAATGTAATCGGTATTTTTTTCTTTGCACTTTTTACCCCTGAACTTATTAACAAGCAATCAGAATAAGAGGGTCCAACATTCTTGAAATTCGTATACTAAATGTATGCCACTTGGGTTTCAAAGAGTGGGGGGTCGGGGAAGGGCTGGTTGTGCCCCTTAATCCGCCAGTGATTGAGGGGCACTGGCGTGGGGGTACTGGAAATAGGTAGAGGAAATAAACATTAGAACAAGGTCGCAGATTGATGGATTGCATGCATGGCAGGGATCCAATCAATCCCCTTACGTTTCATTCGTTCCACACACAAAACCTTTTGTTTTCTATCATCCAATTGCAGTTATCATGTTAACTATTTTCTTTTTAATGAGAAACGTAAATCAAATCACGGTAAACTTCACGCTTAGAATCAAATTTTGTTTACATTGTTGAGAGAGTGAACTCTTTACAAACACTTCTTTGGCAGTTACTGTGCATTTTTTTGTCCATGAAGACATTTTGCAAAACGAATTTATATTGAGATGTTTGTTGTTGTGGGGGGGGGGGGGGGGGGGGGGGGTCGTGGTTGAAAGTGCAGACTGAATATTGATACTGGTTTTGTTTTAATACGGCATTCATTCATATTCGTTTCTCATAAGATGCGTAATTCTCGTACCCGATTCATTCAAGGCTTCACAAAATTATGATGATTGACACCATTGAGTGCGAGGTCGCAAAGCAAACGAGCAAAATTTTGAAAACATAAGCAATGCATTTGTTATAGTTCCCGATCGATTGACCTGCGTCCTATTAGAAAAAGACCAGGTGATACATTTTTTTCTCTTTCCCACTTTCTTCATGTATATTTACTTGCTTTTATCGTTTTTTTGCTGAAGCTTCAAATCTGATCAATGAATAAAAACGAAAATTAAGATACACGGTCAAGATATTACGCTATTGAACTGGTAGTAGCAACTAAGACAGCAGTCTGGTCTGGTACATCGCGTTGTAATACGGCATAGATGTCTCCACCACCTCTCTGACGTCATCAGGAAGATCATCTAGGGAAGGAACGGGAGGAGGGGGCAGGAAATTAGAAGTATGGAAGGCGTTATGGCAAAAGATGCGGATGAACTCGAAATCCTTGACCGGCATGAAAGCACACTTCCAGATATCCGTGATATCTGGATTCGCATCCCAGGAGAGAAGGCTATCATTGTACGGTATCCCGACTGCCTTGCAGTATTTGGAAAGCATCCCAGCCGGGTCAGCAAGCAAATCATCACTCTCCATGACAACCGGAGATGGATCAAGGTCTTCCCGGACGTGGACCCAAAGATCGTGAAGCTCTTTGTACAGCAGATCAGTGAGATTATACTTCTCCGGCACATCGCGTCTCAGGTCGAAATCTTGTAGACTTTTCGTGATTTTCTTCCCCGTACCATCCCCGACGTCTTTGAGAACGGCATAGATGACTTTCTTCCAGGAGCTATAGACCTTTGCTGGGTGACGGAGTAGGAAGGAGTGCTTGTAATTGCTGGATTTGTCTGGGAGGAACCGGAAGTGCTTACTGTCGATAGATTGTGAGACACCCTTGTAAAAGATCACCCTTTTGTTTGGTTCCGGGTTATCAAGCATCGACTTGACCGAAGGATATCTGTTAAGAAACCATAATTATATCAGTCTGTGCATCCAAGTTTCATTGTTCAGTTTAAATGTTAATGCTATCGCATTTTAATGTCATGACTGTTTTAAATACACAAAATAAAATTTTGTTTTGATTGATTTTATTTTATTTTTTGCATTTTTCCAAATACAATAACTGAATAACAAAGAACATGTAAATGCAAGGTATAATACAAAATATACAATAATAACTTCATGTCAAAATGATATTTACATACATGCATATAATAACGAAACTTAGTATTTCTAAAACATATTATTATAAATTTGAAGTATTATCCAAACTTCCTGAGTTTGTGTATTATGTGTGCATGTGCGTGCGGGGGTGCGTGCGTGTGTGCGTGTATGTTTGTGTGTGTAGCGAACGGTGGGTGTGCATGAAGCTCTGTGATGTATATGGTGGAGTGAAAACAAAATAATGTAGCCTTTTCAATAAAGGAACAAAGAATACGAAATATGCAAAAATGACTTGCAATGTGACCAAACTTTGAAATATCAATAATTGCCTATTCTGCATTTGCATGTTTCGCTGTGACTATATTTTGTTACCAAGATGTGATATGGTTTTACAATAATATTATTGCATCAAAACATAAATTTTTGTCAAAAGATTTTTACAAGACAGATGAAAGACCGTGTGATAGAATAAAGTGATTCGAGCGAAGGCAACTACATCTTGAGTATACCATCCCAAACAAAATATCCCGCACAACTACCCCCTAGAATCTTGACCTTGTGACCCGAGGTGTCCTAGACACTGAAAACACTTTTAGGTGAATCTTTAGACTGGTATATTTCTGGTCTCATGAGCTTCCTGATTAAAAGACAAAATAAAGAAACAAACCTGTAACAAGATTTCATTCATTACCACAATTTTATCATGATTTATAATATATTAATTTATATTTGATCAATTCACTATTTCAAATGTTTCTTTTTTCTTCTTCAAAATGTAAAATTCAGGCATATTTTATGGCTTGTGCATGTGATAGTATGGCAGTTCAATACCGATAAATATAAATACTTAAAGGACATCCATTCGCTGCAATTGAAGTTAACTGAGTAAATAAGTAAATATTTAATTCAAAAGCTCTTTTGTTCTCGGAGGACCTTGGACCCATAGTGTATAAGTAACTGGTATAATGACTAAGCATTTCTGTACGTCGGGGGAACAAATAGTCAAGGGTATGTTGGTTCTTCGTATAACGTACAAGTGGCTAATTAATTGCTATTATGCAATGGACCTCGTAATTTCCACAAGTAATTTGCCATCGTCAAAAGCGTAAAGTTGGTCCTTAATTTGGTCCTATGCGGTTATCATGATTTTTTTTTCTTCATATTTTTCCCTCCACAGGAACTTTATTGAATTTCATTTGAAACAAATTAACAAATACATATTCAAGGTAATTTACATTAATAACATAAATAAAATTGGCTTCTCAAGATGCAAGTATTGTTAAACTGTATAGTTAACAGAAAACTAACAAAATCAATAATTCATTTCTGATATTCATGGAAAGAAAAAAAAAATCAGAAAAATAACATTTATGTAAATAAATTCCTGAACTGAAACCATTATCTTGTGAATATATTATTTCTACAATTCGAATCTGCTATATACTTTACGCTTTTGAAGTAATTTACAATAAAAACTTGAATATTATAAAAATCGGGCAATTGTTTCTTTATTTTGCAAGTATACACCATGATTATGGTCAGGGACTCAACTAGGGTTAGGTTTAGGGTCATACGTATAGGGTTAGGGGAAAGGACCTAGTGAGAGCAATTCCAAATCTAAAAAAGAATGTCCATATCCCAGACCCTGCATATACAAGAATAAGAATCAGTTTCCCATGATAAAAGAAATGCAACAAATTATGGTAACGTTTTCCAGCCCCTTTTAAGTATTTTGCAGGCACAAACCCTTATGATCGCTATTATGCGTATAAATGGTGTCTACTCCGTGAGACTTTGGCCATATATTTATGCCGACTGTTAAATCATTGGCTGATGGGGTGACCAGAGTTCTCGGAGATTTTGAAGATATTAGGAAATGTGACTATCCTATTCGATTCATGATTCTTCGTATTATACAGAGATTTATTAAGTTTAATCATTACCAAATGGACGGCAAAGTTTTAGACCTTGAATTGGTGCAACTAGAAAATCTTATCGTCAAACAGTTTCGGAGATTTCGCAATCTCAAAATAACGGCAAAGTGACGAAAAAGTCATTAAAAAAAAGAGACCCTTTTCCCTCCAAATCCGTGAGAAAATATTGAGCGCCGAGCCAACACCCCCCCCCCCCTTGCGCCAAGGGGAGGGGCCCGTCTTTTTTTATATTTAAAAAAGGTTAAGTTTACCTTTTTTTGGCTAGGGAAGAGGCCCCCCCCCCCCCCAAGATCCACCACTGGCATGACACACCCACCCATAACTCGAATATTACACACATGTGGTAGATGTCTGCATAACGCATTCATGTTATTATGTACCTTCAGTTTACCTTCAGTACACTTACTTGAGCATGTCTAGTTTGATTCGATCACCACTACAGTCCTCCTCGCATACCATCCCCGCCGCCTTTCGCCAGTCGTCATCACTCAGGTTATCGGCGTCATGATCGACCTCCTTACCGATGGTCGTCAGATTCAATTCGGCTTCAAAAGCAAAGTAGTACGTGTCGAAGAAGATGTCGATGTCGGGAACGAAGCTCATACATTTGCAGAAGACCGATGAGATTGACCTAGGCGTACACCACATCATAACACGGGCCTGGTCGAGGCTGGGCGATTTCGAATCCTGAGAGGACGCCATGATAGTTGACTAGCTGTTTTAAGCTGATGGTATATGAATGTACGTAGCCAGGCTTCTTATAGAGACTTTGGCATCCTCTCGATCTTGAAGCACTGGTGTATTTACAGAAGGGGCTAGCTAGGGAGGGGGGTGGGGTAATTTGCTCCTGTTATGTACAGTGCGTCCCAGAAAAAAACGAAACCGAGAATTATCGATGCTTTATCATAACTTAGTCACAGTTATAATTAATAAATGACACCTATTTGTAAAGGTAAGATCCTCCTCTTTCATTTGATGCAACTCATATGATGCTATTTCACGCATGAGTGATTAAAAACAATCTAAAGAGAGTTGTTTTCACTGGCTGGCTGCCGTAGCAACAAACAGAGTTGACAAAAAACCTAACTCCGTTTTGTTGACGCTCAGCCATCCACAAAGAAGACGAAAGACTTAATGCATGGCTGATCGTTAACGAAACGGTTTTAGGTCTTTTGTCAACTCTGTTTATTGCTACGGAAGATCCCCCTTAAAAAAGTGATTCCTTTCCTGTAGTATATTGATCACAATATGTAGTAAACTTACAAACTTTGCCCCTCCTGAGGCAAAGGTCTGGATATGCCACTGATTTTAAGTGTGCTCTTTATCTAAATATTGAACCGATTTGTTCACTCATGGTCAATATTTGTACTAGAAATTGGATTCATTGTTGAGAGGTGAAGCACGTAAAAGGGTCGCGATCGCCTCTTTTCCGTTCTTTTTCCAAAACTACAGATCTTTCCCTCTCACTTCCTATACATGTTTATTTTCTTTTTGGTCTTTATAGTGGGTCTATATTTTTAGTTCTTCTTTCCTGTCACTATATCTGTAAAAAAAAAAATGTTCTGCTCCCTCTTCCAGTGCCCCTCGCCATGTTTCTTTTATCCCTTTTCTTTTACCCTAAGCCCCTTTTTTCTTACTTTATGATTACATGGTGTTTCTAAAACACCACAGTGACTTTCCCGTCATCATATACCCGGCACATGTATCGCCATGTATCGCACCCTCACCCTCCGCCCTATCTCTCTTAAACACACACATTTCTTGATCTATCTATCCCCACCTTTCAAACTACCCTCTCGATGAGTAGTGACGTATCAATTTTAAGGCAAAGGTGAACAAAATGTATCATCACAACTTGCAGTGGTTTTATGGCACGTAAGGTAGAACCCCCTCCCCCCCCCCCCCACTCATCGTTTTAAAATATAAATTTCTGAATATACCACTAAATGTACCACATGACCCTATTTTTCATAAGTCGAAAATAATTGTTGACTTGCCTCTCGAACAATATGTGATAGTACGTGAAAAAGTCTATATCTGTATTAATATGGTTATATAAATGTATAGGAATAATGTTAAGCCCCCATCACACCAAACTAGTTCTCACTACGTTCTGGAACCGTCCTAAAAAATCGTAAAACGGGTTGTGGTCGGGGTAGAATGTGTCAATAATATGCCTTTAATACGATCCTAGTTCGTTCATAAACAGTCCTCATTACGTCCATCTCGTCTGTACCCCGTCCATATTCAGTTTATATCAAGCTCAGATCGGGTAAATTTGCCATTTCCAGGCAGTCCAGGCCCGTCCGTAATCAGTTTAAACTCGTTCTTAACTAGTATTCCCTCGTTCCAAATACGTACAAACCATTCTAACTAGTTCGCAAATTGTTTTCACGAAGTGACGGTAGCGAGGAAAATCGTAACGCAAAGTGAATGCAATTTTTTTTCACTACCGTCACTTCGTGAAAACAGCGACGGTTTGTAACCCGACCATACCATCCAGATACAGTTCAACTCGTCCCCATCTCGTTCTTAGTGCGTTCGAACGCGCTCCCAGTGAGAGCGTGTGCAATCCCATCCTGGCTCGAGGGCTAAACTAAACAGACCCAGCGCGTTCTCGCCATTCCTCATTAGGGACGTTTAGATTTGCGTGGACTGATACGTGTGACGTCCATTCACGGCAGTGCATTAACAGGACGTCGATCGTAGCATAGACCTATTGTCTTCGTGCGAATCTAAAAGTCCCTATTCCCGTTCAACTTCAACGCTTCAAGCTATGCAGATCAAGACTTTCAAGTAAACCCCCATCACACTAGTTCTAACTACGTTCTTGAAAATGTTGCCAAACGGGCTCAAACTGTGTGCAAACGGAGTGAACGTAGTAGCAACTGTGTACGATTTGTTTTGTATTATAGTTATACACAGTGTCACATTGGATGGACACTCAATATTTTGACGAAAGTGATGAAACAAATATCTTTAAATATATCAAAACGTTATGTTCGTGATACTGATTAACAAGAAAGGCACATGTAGTCAGGGGCGGCAATCCTGGGGGGAACGGGGGGGGGGGGGGGTCACATCCCCCTCAATTTTTTGTTTTTGTTTCGTCCCCCCTGAAAATTTGAAAAAGTGCAAACTATAGCAAATACTGGCTAAAGACTACAACAAACTTGTAGGCTCTGGAGGGCCCGATAGTGCAGCGTTTAGACAAATACAAATCTTCTCGCTCGGTAGCTACGCTCTCTCGCATAATATTAAGTAAAGTGTTCAAGTAAATATTGTAGAAAATTATTTTTTTAATACATCAAAAGTTAAAAAAAATGTGAGGGGTAGTCATTTTCTTCACCTTCACCCCATGCACTCGTTCACTATATACTCCCTCGCACTGGCATAGTGATGTAGGGGGGGGGGGGTGCTTTGGGGCGGTTGTTTCCCTTAATAAAATTCAAACGTGATTTATTTCTAATTCGATACCAGTGATTGGCAAATGTTGCTGAAATGGCATGGTTTTTCCCTGAGCTTCCGGGGGCTCCTTTTGCTCATTAACCCACTGCTCCCTCGTCCCTCGCACCCCCCCCCCCCCGGGCCATGAAAAGAAATCGGCGCCCCTGCATGTAGTATCTAATTTTAAACCTAACTGTTATTATCATGATACTCCATGGGATCGGTTCACATAATAATGACAGCAATAAAGCTTCTATAGCAAATTATGTTTCCGAGTCTTTGTAATAGTGACATAAAATATTCCCCTTTCAGGAAGAAAAAAATCTATTGAAATCTAATCAATGATTTTCGGTCAAATTACTAGAAATTATGCTTCAAATCGCGCCAAATGTGTTTGAAAATTCGATTTTCTTTCAACTTCTGAGGGAGTCACACCCCCCCCCCTCAGACACTTCGTTGTCCGCGCAACCACGGGACGTCGCGCTAACGCACCATTTCACATATAACTTCATTGTGTCCCCTCCCCCCGCACATATTAAAAAGGATTGACGCCCATCATGCTGGCTGACAGCCTCCAGACGGCCGCCAAGAAGTGTTTTCTATAGAACACCTCCACAATGGATCAGATAAAAATTACGAAAGGCAACATTGAGTGACAAAGCTGTTTATCTTACATGATGTTGTGATTTCTATCTATCAAGAATATAAAAAAAATCATATTTGCACAATCATTTCATGAAAAGAGGTTAGAAAAATATGTTTCAACTTGAAGGGCAACATTCTATTATCTGCATGTATTATCCTGGCAAGCGCATCATTTCGCTCACCAGAATTTACGGACTCCAACAGCGCCAGGACCATCGATAAGAGGCTACTTACTAACAAGCACAGTCGCGTACGCAACGGGTGGTTTTGGGGGTTAAACCCCCCTCAATTTATTTTAATTGTTAAAAAATATATAAAAAAATGCTCCCCCAAGGCACATATCTGTATAATTTTACCCCAACCCCCCCCCCTCCCGCTTAGGCCAAAAAAAAAAATTGTTAGTTGTCCTCGATTGCTTTTCTGGAGTAGTGGCGGGCGGGCGGATTTTTTTTAATTATTATTTTTTATTTTTTCCCCATTTTTTTATTTTTTTTAAATTTTTTTTTCCATAAAAAAAAAAGTCATTGTGATTGTCAAGCATTTAAACAAACAAAGTCTATATAACACTTAAATATGGTAAAAGACTAGTTTAATGTACAATGAATATCAAGACCAACACAGAAAGTATTTTAGGCTTTGAAATACAGCAACTTTTAAATCTCCATTGTACTACTTAGAGCTACTTGCGCCCTCTATGTAGCAAACAATGCCTAATCGGTGACCATTGGTTCCCCATGATCCTCATTATCTTATATTTACTGAGAGCTGATTCGATGAGATAACCACCTGTCCAGTGAACAACTGGCATCATTCTTTGCACGTTTTCTTTCATCTAATTCTCCATTGTAAAATGAACTTGGAAATGCAACGAAGGACAACACGATTCAGTATTTCATAACAAAATATATGAAATTGATAAACGATGCATCTGTCCACGTCTTGTTATTTTGATCTGCACGTATATTACATTGATGTATGAAAAATGTCTATTCAACGGAAAACAAAGAATTGATAATGAGCGGAACTGCAATCATTATGATATAACAATTCAATTCAATTCAGTTTATTTAACCATAAAAATGAAACATGTACATACAAATGAGTAACATAGTAAACATAATACGGTAAAGGACACCCTTAGAAGCAAATTGCTTGTGGTGGGGCCTTAAAAAGAAAAACAAACTACACATACATTATACAGTTTAAAAACTTTAAAATAACATGATACAAACACACATGCACGCTCACACATATACATACACACATACATTCAAAATATCCTCCTCAGCTCAAACTTGTTTACATAAATCATTAAATAATAACTGTGTACATCGTAATTTAATTCGAGATAGAGTTGTACTTTCCTTAATATCATTACTCAAATTATTCCATTCCTTAATGCCATTTAAATAGAATTTTTTGTGTGCATTTGTCGTACGAACTTTAAATAAATGTAAATCATTTTTCTGACGAGTAGAATACGAGTGAATATCACTATTAATAACAAAGTTTATATTAGGAATTTCCGGAAATAGGCGATTTTGAAATTTAAACATAAATATGCGAGTATTAAATTGAATCAATTACAAAATTGGGACTCGTGTGTTTTAACAAAAAGTGGCCGTGATGGGGCTAAATAATCAGATTTAGTAATAAGACGCACGGCTCGTTTCTGTAACAAATAAACCTTAGCCTAAATTATGATGCATAAGTATTTCCCCAAATAATATTACAATA